AAGGAAAGTAAAATCAAAACTTATATTTTATACGGAAAAACCAGCTTTTTTACTCAACACACAAAGGCCAAGTCCAATAACCTTTTTTTAGAACCCCTTCCCCTATCTTTGACAAATCTTGAAGTGCTATCTCAAACTAAAGTTAGTGATTAGGAATCAATTTTTTAAAAAGACTCGGATCTCAATCCAATTCTCTTTTTCCTTCCTCTATCTCTCGATAGATCTTAAATCACTAGTTGGAACCGAAGTTGGTGATTAAGAATTTATTTCATAAACGGACTCGGATCTCAATCCAATTCTCTTCTCCTTTCTTGTACATCCGATAGAACTTGATTCACTAGCTGGAATTAACGTTGGTGATTGAAAATATGTTTCTTGAACAAAATTAGATCCTAATCTAATTCTCATCTTCTTTCCTCTACTCCCGACGGATCTTGAACCACCGACCTCTTTATTTAGTTTTCTTTTTCTTGATCTAGTATTTTTCATCTCATGAATAACAACAAAGCTTGAGTGAGTATTATTCCGGATAATAACCGAGCTTTCTTGAGTGTTTTTAATCCCGAAAGAGCAAACTTGACTAGTATTGTTTCCACCATCCTTTTGTTTGCCCTCATAGTATAAAGAAATAATAAGCTATCAAATTAAATATAGTTTATAAAATTATTAAATAACTTAGGATCTCGGTTTACATTTTCTATCAATTGTCTTCCTATATGTATATCATCATAAGATTGTAGCCATTCATTTGTTATAAGAGGTGGACTTGCTTGAACTTGAAAATACAAAAAATCATGACTCGTTGAATGCATACACAATATAGTTGTAGTTCGTAAAAATGAATAAAGTTTAAATTAACTAACCTTCCTTTCTTGATTTTCATAACATGTTAGACTATTATGTCTCCTTTTTGTGACATACACTACATGTCATTCTTTTACCTTTTTTAGATAGTTTAGAGCCTTGCTCTCCTTCCCAAGGTTTTAGAATCTTATTTTCTATTTTTTTTCTGCCTAGTAACTTTTTAATCTTAGGTTGAAGAATTACGGATTTGTTGGTCTTTGTTCTATATGATATTGCAATGATTTTAAAAATTTATCCACCTTATAATATTCATTAATATGGTCTTCTATGTTCAATTTTTTGAATAAAAAAACACCCATAACATATTCACATAAGATCCCAGTCAAATCCTATTTTTTTTGTAAGTGTAACTATAATTTTTAACCTTAACAATATACTTATCATTAGTATTTTTCTTCCAAACAATTCATAGCCACATTCACCATTTCATTCAACCTCAAAATTATCTCTCAATTCCTTATTTGACTCAATTTTTTCCCATATCTTCGGACCAAATTCTCTCTTAAACATCTTTTGTTTGAAATCGCTTCTACTAACTACCTTATCTCATAATAAGCAATTTAATATCCTCCAATAAAGAAATAATACTCTTGTACCTAAATTGCAATATGATGTTATTAAAAATCTCACACATATTGTTGTTCTCAATGTCATCCTTCATACATGTGCTGAAAAATACCTAGCATTGGTTCTCACCTTCTTCATTTTTCCCAACTCTTTAATTCTCAATCAAACACTTCTTTGGTTATTGACTTGTAACATTTTAATAACTAAACATGTAGTTATTCTACTTTATATGTCTTTCTCCAATTTGTAAAAATATGCATAACACACCATCTATGTTCAACATAGGGCATCAACTCGGTAATTGCTTTTGTAAGTCACTTAATAAATACAAAATTATCAATAAATGTAATGTAATGTAAGATAAGAACCATTTTAAAATCAAACAATTGAAAAATATAACAAGTTTGAATAGTACCTTCTATTGGTCTAAAATTAATATCAAACCATCACTATTATAAAGATGGATATGCGAGATAATCCATTAAAGATTACAAGAATCATTTTCATGTTTCATAATTCTCCTATCTCACCACTTCCTAAACATATAGAATACATTTGATTGTTAGAATCATTCCTCATTACAACCAAGTAACTCTCCTTTTAATAGGCTTTTTAGAAAGCATCCATCAACACCAATAATCTTCCCGCATCCTTCTAAAATTTTTTTTCTTATTACTCTAAAGCAAACATATATCCTTATGAACTCATTGGTATCCGGCTTAGATTCCACGAGTAATAGGTGCTGCCTTTATTAGTTTTTCTAATTTCTTCGAGCATAATCTTCAAGTTGTGCAAATTCAACTTTTATGTCTCCACACAATAACTTTATAATTCTATTTATTATAGAACTTCCCTAAGTTAGTGAGAAATTCAATCCCAAATCTGTATGAGCTTGCATAACAATTTCTCTTAAAGTCATCGTCAAACATAATCTTTCATGCCTTTTGATTAACTAATCAGCCAAAATCTTGTAATTAACACATATGCTCATGAAGTCGACATCGCATGTGTGTTCTAGCTTATAAATCTTCACAACTCAACTTGATGTCCCACTATATAGAGAACACAATCAATTCTACTTGTAATACTCATACTTGTATTCAACCTCTAATCTTACAATCATCTTTTACAAACTTAATAGCTCTTTTGTGTTTCATTGAATGCTATATAATAACTTCTCTAAACATTTTTTTTATTCAAAAACACCATATAAAACTAAAAGTGAGGGACTTAAGACTCATCATCATCATACATTACGATCTTTGCTTTCATTCTTTTACCATATTCACGTATCTGAATCATCTTTAGTGATTTATAAATACATCACTCATTCATCAAGATCATACTCATTTTTCCTCTCCAATTTTACTTCTCTCTTAGCATAATTATCCTCACAAACCCCCTTAATATTTTCATCATCATTTCCCTTCATATTTCCCTCACTAACCCCTTTATATTAGCATTTTCATTCCCATCTTCATTCCTATCTATATTATCATATTAATTCTTATCTACATTCATATTTGTATTTCTATATGTATTTTCATCCGTATTCCTATATGTATCCTTATCTATATTCCCACCGACTTCATTTAACTCCAAGTAATTCTTTGCCCTTCCTATGCTTTGTACTTTTAACACAACTCCTTACAGTGCTACACCTTTTCATTGTTATTGTCACTCAGCCAAACATATTCAAAATCAATATCTTTTCCACCTCCTAATTGATCATCTTCAACATCATCTTTATATTCATTAACATATTTCTACCTTTTTACCGTCCTTGCTTCGTTTGTTCATGTTCCGCATCATCATAATTCTACTTATCTACGTACTATTCTTTTATTTGCTCAAGTTCCTCCTCATCATAATTCCGTTTTTTATTTTCTTGACCTTTGTCGAGTCATTATTCCTCTCGAATACTCTCTTAATAATTTTAACTTCATGTTCTCCAACACCATCATTTTCAACCACACAATGACTTGAACTTCCATCGATAAAAACCGCACCATAATCAAATCTATGATGCACATCAAGACTAAGCTCATCACATACAACTTTCAAATTATTCACATTAAAATAAGAATTGTTTTTGTCACCATGTTCATGATACACATCGACACATTCAATTTGCATTAGAAGGTCAATCATAGGACGTACATTTTTTTCATCATATATCAACCTATATTAAATCATTTAAGTTTTTAAAATGAATATTTTATATATCGAGTAGATTTAAGGTGCATGATAAATTAGATACATACCTCTTAATAATTTAAATAATTTAGATATTTTGGTAGAGCACTTATGTAGAAAAAATTTAATGGTTGAAACAAATGATTAAATCTTTTGATAGATACATACCTCATGATCTATTATCTCGATTGGTTAAAGCTTCATGCGATAACGTGTTATAAAAGAAATGGTAACAATGATAGAATTAGAGAGAAAGATGATAGAAAAATGAATTCACTATAAGATAAAGTGAATGCAAGAGATAACAACTTTAAACAATTCTCTTAATCTCTATAAAATATTTGTACATTAACTAATAAACAATTAAGCATATTTATATGCTTCAAAATTTGAAAGAGAATTAGAAGAGACTATGAAACATTCGAGAGATGCATAAATAATTTAATAAATTGCATCACCCTTTCAATTTTTTAATTTCTCATACTGAATGGTGAATTAAATCACATGAGTAGTGAGAATATGTAATGATCATAGACATTCATTATTTCATAACAAAACTATAATTTTTCTAACATTTCTCTCATTCTTTCAATGTTCTTACATAGTACCTTGCTGTGCGTAAATCTGGAGCTCCCATTCAAATCCTTCTCATCAATGAAACATTTTACTCACATAAAAAAGAATAATTTAAACACCCAACGATTCATAATTAAATCACTTATTGTTAGATGTTAATAATAAAATAATCAAACAATTATAATCATTTTATTCTCTTTCAATTTCATATGGAAAGAAAAGTAACAATATATTTACCGAACTTATGCTAAAAACTAATTTTAATTGTTAAGATTGACAATTTTAAAAGATAAATTGTTATTCGATTGATTTGATAATCTTTATGTAAACAATTTATTATATGTATATATTATCATTTTTTTATTCATGGGAGAGATGAAACTCTAAACAAGACAATTTATTGCATATTTATAATAGTAAAAAAAAAAAATAACCACAAATAATTACTTGTTCTTATCTAATTATTTTTAAATATGACAATTTTATTATTTTGCCACGTATCCAATCCGCAACTCTCAATCTTCTCCCACAAACTACTCGTTTGCTTGCCCAATCTTCATTATGTCTCGTTGAGAAGCTTGAATTTTCTTTCTATGCTTTGCCTAATCAATCCAATCTCATAAGATACTCATCAACACCACCTTTCCGTCAAAGACGAATTACTTGATGAGTTTTAGGATCTCAACACTTAGATATATATATATATAATCTTCGTATTTTTTTTTTATTTTGACTTTTCGGAAATATGGTTTAAAAAAAGAAGAGAAAACGGAATGTTGATATCCCATTAGCACTCATTACCAACGTGATGTATTGCCCCGTATGAAAGCCTCTTCCATGGCCCTTATGACTGAAATTAGCTCTCCTTCAGATATATCATTGGCTACGAAATCTTGAATGTTGGGCGTGGGCGCTGCACTTCCTCTGGCTTGGTCGCAGAGTACAAACCGACAAACAGGGCATTGCCCATTACTCTTCACCCATGGCACAATACATTCCTCGTGGAACATATGATTGCAAGGGGTAAGCATCACCAACTCTTTAGGCTCAAAATCATCTAAGCAAACCGCACATCTCTTGCCATCATCTTCTGTACCCTGTGCTCTCTCTTTAAAAACATCCATATTGGAACGGTCTCTGTAATACCAGCTCAATCTACTTGATATCCTTTTTGGGATAGGGTTATAGGCTTCTTTCTTCAGCTTTTTCAATGCTCTGTTTCGCTCATCTTGGGTTAGTCTGGAGAAATCTGATTGTGTAGAAGCAGAGGCTTGCAAATTTCGTTGGCCTATAAGCCTTGGAGCTGGTATCTGTCTTGCCACCCCAGTATTTAGGATAAGAACTTGCACAGGTGGAGGCGGCGACAAAGGATATCTGCAACGCACCAAATGCTAAACAGTCAAGGATGAATAAAATTCATGAATATGGTTTATAATTATAGAGAAATCCGCATTTATTTATCTAATTTGATTTAAAAAGTTAGGTAATGAATGAGAAATTTTATAATACGAAGTGAGAAACCAAGTGACATATATAATAGTTATTTTGTGGACCACTTTTGAAGAAAGAGATAAACCACTTTTAAAGAAAGATAATCACATACGGACTCACCAAAAGTGATAAGAAGATTTTCAGATTAGCATAATTTTTTTTAATTTTCTTTCTATCCTTTTTTTATGTGTCTATCTCTCTCCTTAAAATAGATATATGAAGTAACTATTATAAATGCTACTAATTATTCTTTGTGTATTATAAAATTTCTCGATAATGAATGTATTCTATTTTTATTTTAATTGAAAAGTTAATTTGTAGCAAAGGCATACAGTATAACCAAACACATAGTTAGCATGAAGCAGCAGTTACATCAAAGTTTCATTAAGGTATAAATATAAGTATTTGATTGAGAATTTATGAAAGTCACTAAAACATTTTAAACCTAAATATTCATTAACAAAGATCTTTTTGACACTTGAAAATTTATTTTCAGAATACCGGAGATTGTGTGTCAGAGAAAGATTAGTTTTGAAGTGTGTGAAAAATAGTTCTGCTCCCGACGATTCAATTGGGATAGACGTAATAGTTTCGGAGTAAATTTATCCTTTCCCTCTAAATTTACAATGCCTATTATTGATTAATGTAATTTAAAATGTTAAATTTTAGAGTTTAATAGTTTGCACATGCGGCCCTATACAAAATTATAATTATTCAGAAATAAAACTATAATGATTTTCATAGCTATATAAAATACGTATAAATGCATAGTCATCTGAATAAGATATATAATGGATCATACAAGTGCAATCTGGCAAGCACTACTCGCAAATTTATGTATTTCAGAACAAACCATGACACACTCTATGTATGGCAAAAATCAGTAGGTACCCAGCTAAACCGAGAGGTTCTGTCATCGCTCTTTCCTCTGTCGCCGGCCGCAATGTATTTTGTGCACCTCCTCTATTCGCGTCCTGATCATAAAACTCATATATATAGTTGTTAATTGTTATCGTTTAACGCATTAAACCCTGTGCTTCAAAAAACAACAATTGAGTTCTTGAAATTTTGAATCCAGAACAAAGTTATTTCTTCCTTCTGTTAAATATTTTTGTTAAAATCAAAATCATATACCACAAGCTGAATAGCTAAAATTTTGGCGAAATTTTATCAATTAGAAAGGAAATCGATAATGGAATCGCTCGGACGAGCCAGTTAATTTTATCGCAAAATTCATGTCTCAGTGGTCCAATTGCCTTCACTGAAATTAACCTTTTCTCAATAGATTTCCAATTCAAACATTTCTTTTGTAGCAATAAAAAAAAAAACAATAAGGGCTATCAAACCGTATGTGTATATCAATAGTTAATGTGCAACTCTTGGCTGCATTTCTTGGCTATTTAAATCTAGCATGATAAATTGTACTCACCGGACGGGCTTGGAAGGCGGAGCGGCGGGACTGGGGAACCGTGGGCATCCGGCGAGAATTCCTGTTGTTGTTAGGAGCATAGAAATTATCATAGCCATACCCACTGTTCCAATCCCAAGGATTTTGGGTGATATTGTTGGTGCTGCTGCTCATGGTGACTGCCAAGCACCCCGCTGAGATGATGATCAGTAATTCAGTCCTTAAAACTAAATATTAGTGGCTTTCTTACGGGGTTTTGTAGCTTTTATTCCTTTTCCTTTTCCTTCCAAACGTCATGTATCTAGTGAATATATGTGATGAATCTGGTTCCCTGTCAGTCACCCTCAAGCTAGCTATGAAGGAGAGAATAAATGCAATTTTTGGGGTGCAACGGTTGCCTTTTGAAACGAGATTAATCGAATATAGATATACCTGAAAGTTGGTTTATAATGATGGTTAAAAAGAAAAAAAAAAAACCCTTGATGAGTTGCAACAAGACAAATGGAAAGCTATCGCATTTACAATATCACTATTCGATATTAACTTATTCCTTTAGAATTTTAAAAAAGAAATTTTATTTCAAAAAAAAGAAAAAGGAAAAGAAAACTGTTTCGAAATGTTCCTTTTGAATTTTCACGAGTCATTGCAGAAGATGTACATCAATGTCGTCATTGTTTCAACCGATATGTGCCCTTCTTTTTCTTTCTTTTTTCGACGTCAAGCGTTTATGCTTTTCCCTATATCTACTTTTGGGTAAAGTTGTGATTCTACTCACACTTTACAGATGCTTGCCTGGTGGGAGGTCATCAAAACACAGTAAACGGAAGATAAGTAGAAAAGAAAGGAATCTAATCCTCTAATTTCTTGTTTGCCTAATTGTCTTCTTCCTGACCAATATCCTAGTAGCGTGGAACTAACTCCAGAATTTGCCCGCGCATCGCTTTCTCTGAGGTCTCTTCTTCACGGTGACTTCGGAGCATAAATCCTAGATCAATGCAGAATATTACTTAGAGCATTTACTACGTGCTTGTATGCTTTTACTTTTTCTTTTTTTTTAATATATATATATTCGAATTCGAGATTTTATGAGTAAAAAGTTGAGGTACAATTTATTAATAAATGCTTTTTTGTTATTTAAAGTAGGGAAAGCTTCATCATCCCCGCCCAGCCCCCCGCCCCCCTCCCCTCCTCCTCCTCCTCCTCCTTTTTTTGCCAACTCAAACTCATTCGCTCAAAAAAAACTAGCTGTAGAATTCAGGTAGATAAATAAAAGAGTTGAATATTTTAGAATTATGCCAATAATTAGTATAATGAGAAAAATAACTATTTACTCTTGTTGAAAAAAGATTTATCAAACATTTTTTACATCCTCGATTTCATAATTAATGAGTATTGTATGATAAGGAATTTGGCGAATATGATTTTTAAAAAAACTAAAATAAATAAATAAGTAGAAGAATTTAGTAAAGGATGTCATGCTTTGGCATTTCGGTCTAAGTTCAATGGATCTTTATTTATTTTAGTTTTGTATCAACTTAAATTTGAACCGAAGTTTAAATGGTTCTATAGCTTGAGAAAACATGCAGCTTCTATGTGGATTTAAGTTCAGAATATGATTTTTATAGAGTAAATTATAAAGTAGTCCCTCTTGTTTCTAGAAACGAATTAATTACTTTCTTTCATTTTAAAAACTAATTATTTAATATCCATGTTTTTAAATCTGTTTGCAACTTAGGTTTTTTTTTTTTTTCCTTTTTCAATGTATTTAAAAATTTTTTAAGAAATAGAAAGAAAAAAATATATGGCAAGATTGATAAGGAAAAAAAAACCCATTTGATGAAAAAAATTAATATTAAATTAAGCATAATCAATGCTACTCAAAAGATTAAATAATAGTTTTTTAAACAAGAATGATTAATTAATTAGTTTCTTAAAACTACATGAGTGAATTTATAATTTTTTCTAATTTATTATATTATAATAAAACAAAGGATACTCTTGAATTCACCATTCAAATTGTCATTCCCACAATTTTTTCTAAACGACTACCAATACACTCTCCATCAATATTTGTTATATAATAGTTATTGGTAATTAGTTAAGGTGTAATGGAGGATGCATTGGTAATTTTATGAAAAAAAATGGTGGGAATAATAATTTGATTGGTGAATTTAGCAATACTTAAAAACAAACTAAAAGATTTGGAGTGAGTTACTATTCATCCAAATTCATGTGCATTATTCATTTTCACTAAATAGCAGCATTTTCGTAATTTTTTTTCATTCATAGGTGAATTTGACATTGTATTCTATTTTAGCATCGGATGTTTTGAAAAAATATTTTTGGTTCTTAAATGAACCGGCACACATGCTTGCTTCTTCTTCTTTTTTTAACTTTTTTTCGATAATTAATTTTTTTTTATTATTATTGAATTAGATGTGAAAATTATGAAAAATCAATTTTTTTTTCTATACGGACTAGCGATTACGATTTATAGACGATGAATTTTAAAATTTTATAATGAACATATAAATTATATTATGTTACTCTTATTATTTAAAATTGATCTTTTCAATTTGTCATTTCTTATGAAAATTTTCATCAAATTATTTTTTATTTTTTCTTTTCTTTTTTGTAATTTTATTTTCTAATAACTATGATTTTTTTTCTCTATGTATGGATTTTTAAATAATTTTTTAATACATAATCAATTAAAAAATAGAATTTATGTGTTTTATTTGCTTATTCTTTATATAATCAAAATTTATTAGAATCAATTTTATGATTGTTTTTATTGCAGTCTATTAACTTGAATATATTTTTTATAACTTAAGTTTTATAAAAACTATTTTTCGATTATTACTCGTATACTCGATCCACCGAGTATGATCATGATGTGCATAAGAAATTGAGATTTTTTGTTTTATTAGAAATTAACTATGTATTTACACACATAACATTAACCATTTGCTTTTTTAAATATTTTAAAATTAATTTATTTCAAATAAAATAAGTAAAATAATGTATTAGAAGAACTACCTAACGATTCAAATATATTTTTTTATACTAATATTATTGATTATTTTATAAATAAACGTATATAAATCAAATGTACATATTTTTAAAAAGGTAGTCTTGTCATCAATAATAAACAAGAATATAAGAGATTCATTTGTTAAATTTTATACAAGTTTTATATTAATCGTTGCTTTATTTATTTATTTTTTATGCAATCTTATGAAAAAATTATTATGATCAGTTTTTTAAAAAAAAGATATTAAATTTTATATTTAAATTATTATAATTTTTTGTTTAAGAATAAATACATAAATAAGAACAAATCGTTTTTTTTTTAACTATAAAATTTATGAAAGACATGAAAAAGAATAAATTAAAACAATATTTTGATTAAAAATTATGAAATTAGATAAAAAAAAATATTTTTTTTTTATATTTTAATTGACAGATAATATAATATAGAATATTAAATTAAAATAAATATATTTTGTTCAGGATAATGCATGAAGTGGACTAATGTTAAACTAAAATGCTAAAAGCTTCAGCTGTACCGATTTTTTCCAAACACGGCACTGCCGGTTCCAACATGGGCAATGAAATTCTTGATATTTGAATGTTACAATTAATCCTTTCTTTCAAAGTTAACTCTGTGTTACTTTTGACTTCCAAGGTAAAGGATGGATCCATGTTCAATTTCTATTGGCTTCAATTTCAGAAAATATTAAAATCAATAAAATTTTAAGAAAAATTGACGAAAAAATTATTTGCTGGTTTTTATTTATTCGTGCAGGCTGATTTTTTCATTTACACCTGAAAATTTTGTCTGTTTTATATTGGCTACTTTTTCTCTTTTTTTCAATTTTTTTTTATTTATGATAGCAAATTTTTTTAAAAAAAAATCCAAAGAAAGATCTTTTAAAAATATATGTTAAAAAAAAGTAGAAAAACATGAACATGAAAAACAAAAAGTTTCATGAAAAAAATAAAATAAAAAAATATGCTATCAAAACTTACACATCTGCCACCGTTAAATTTGTTTCATAAAAAAAGTCCATTGTTTTATTTTCATCGAATATTATTGGATTAGTTTTTTATTTAAAAACTCACCTGACCGTATGGTATTAACTAATCCGTGGTGTGGTGACACTAAAAAATAAATAAAAATATTTTATCCAATGTTTAATTGTTTTTACATTTCTTATAATTTATAAAAGTCCTCTTTCCAATCACTACAAAAAAAACAAAGGATTTGTGAGGAAAAATTAGCGACGGTCTCAAAACCGTCGCTAACTTACTAAAATTGTGACGATCTGAAGCATTTTAGCGAGAGAAATTAATGATATTTTTTTGTAAAAAAATCGTCGTTAATTTTAATTTTTTTTAAAAAAAATTTCTACAGCCAATTTTGTGACGGTTTTTGTAAAACGACCGTCACTAATCATGGAAATTAGCGACGATTTTTTGCAATAGTTTTTTTCAAAAAAAAAACCATCACTAATTTCAATTTTTTTAAAAAAAAATTCTACAACTATTTTTTGCGACAATTTTTGTAAAAAAACCGTTGCTAATCATGAAAATTAACGACGGTTTTTTACGATGGCTTTTTCCAAAAAAATCCGTCGCTAATTTCATGTTTTTTTAAAAAATTTAATGAACCATTTTTTGAGATGGTTTTTGTAAAAAAACCGTCGCAAATCATGAAAATCGATGATGATTTTTTGTGATGGTTTTTTTTTCCAAACAAATCGTCACTAATTTCAATTTTTTTAAATAAATTTCTTCTAGCCTTTATTGAAATGGGTTTTTTTTTACAAAAAAACATCACAAAATTAGTAAATTAGCGAACGTCTAAAAATCGTCGCTAATTAAGAGGGAAATGGCTATTTTTTGAACTTTTTTATACATTTAGCGACGGTTTTTAGACCGTCGCTAAAAATTTCAACCCTTGTATAACAATTTGTCTGAAAATTTACAAGAAAAAATTTATTCTCTCTCTTCTTCTTCTTCTTCTCCAACGCCGATCTCCCTTCCATTTTCATGAGATCTCCCCCTCTCCTTTTTATTTCCCTTCCAATCTCCTCCTCTCTCTCCTCCTTTCCTTTCTCTCCCCTTTTCTTCCTCCTTTTCCTCTTTCTTTCTTCTTTTCTCCCCGCTTCCTCAACTCGGCCATTTTCTAGTCGGAATAGTTCGACGAAGCCTCTCCATCGGTGCGAGCCCACTCTCCTTCTTGTGTTGGTGAAAGGTCCTCCCTCATTTAGCTCCTTAATTAATTTTTTAATTATTTAATTAATTTTTTTTTGTTATTGTTAATTTAGTTAATTGTTAAGAAATTTTAATTGTTATTAATTATGAGAGTTTAATTGTTTAATTTTATTGTTAAGGAAATTTAATTGTTATTAATATTTCTTGTTAATTTAATTGTTATTTTTATTAGTTTAATTGTTAATTGTTATTGTTAATCGATAATTTTTAATTGTTAATTTAGTTAGTTTATTGTTAAATGTTATTTATTAATTTAGTTAGTTTAATTGATGGTATTTTAGAAAGTTAATTATTTTAGAAAATTGTTAATAAGTTATTAGAAATATTTAAAATTTTTGGTAATTACAAAAATAATTAGTCATTAAAAAATTAATAATTTTTGAAATTATATTTAGTAATTAAAAAATAATTAGTAATTAAGTTTATTTAGTTGTTGATTAAGTAAGGGAGTTAAGTAATTAAAAAATTAATTAATTTTGAAATTTAATTTAGTAATTAAAAAATCAATTAGTAATTAAGTTTATTTAGTTGTTGATTAAGTAAAGAAGTTATGTAAATAAAAAATTAATTAATTTTGAAATTTAATTTAGTAATTAAAAAATCAATTAGTAATTAAGTTTATTTAGTTGTTGATTAAGTAAAGAAGTTATGTAAATAAAAAATTAATTAATTTTGAAATTTTTTTTAGTAATTAAAATTAATTAGTAATTAAGTTTATTCAGTTATTGATTAAGTAAAGGAGTTCATTAATTACGAAATTAAGTAGTGATTAAAAAAATAATTTTTTTTATAAATTATATTTAGTAATTAGAAAATTAACTAGTAATTAAGTTTAATAATAATAAACTTTCTACTTTTTTCACGAATTTAATAATTGAATAATATTTATTATATTTTAATAAAATTTATAATAAAACTTATGAAATTTTAAAATATTATGTTTTGGGTATTTTATAGAATTTTAAATAGCAATTGGTTAATTTCAAATGAGGATAAATAATAATAATAATAATAATAATATTTTAGCGACGGTCTAAACCGTTGTTAATTCCAAATATTAGCAATAGTCTAAAACCCTCGTTAAAATTGTTGCAAAACTACGATGATTTTTTCTAATTTTGCAACGGTTTTTTTCGTCGTTAAAATAACGACGGTCCAAAAACCATCACAAAATTTTAGTGATTGGCATTTTACCAAAGGTTTTTGGACTTGTCGCTAATTAAAATTAGCGACTAATTTTGTCGAATTAGACCATCGCTAATTCTATTTTTTTTGTAGTGAATGTAAATAAAAGTTTTTGAAAAAATAGCCCATATAAATAAATAGAGTTGCTGTAAAAAAATCATTTAATTAATCTATTTTTATAAGAAATCGATTTTTTGAAAAAATCCTTTTTTTAGAATTTAAATCAATGAAAATTTGACATCTGTCTGCTTTTTTTTCTTTTTTCATGATCAAAATTAATGGTCAATCACTCGTGGAGATGACTAGCCTCTATCTTAATATCCCACTGTTAATCTTGTAATTATTCAGACTGGAACTGTACGGCCGTAAAAATCGACACGATAGAGACCTGTATTGTCATTAACAGTCAAACCGAGCATGCATCTGGGGTTTTCTAATTCTAACGACACTAAAGATCCACGTGGTTCTAACCAACACAACTTGTGGTTTCAAAATTACTTGAACCTTTAACATTTTGTTGATGTTTAAAATAAATATTTTAAATATGATACGCGTGTGAGATTTATTCAATCAAAACTCCATAGTTGACATGCTTGATATTTGAAAAGATTGTTTGGCAAGACAGGATCAATTGAAGATGATTTTGAACGAAAGGATTAACACTTTCACAAAATTGAAATGCCAAAATCCAATTACTCATTTTGAAATCATAAAACTGTGTGTTTCGTAAAATAAACCATCAGTCTTTGGAATGCCATCCTCTGATATTATAATCACATTAAAAAAATACTCCTATTTTTATTTCACAAGAAATAAAAAGTAAAAAAAATAAAAAAAAATCGATGGGCTGGACTTGGAGAGACTAGATAGGAGCGCAGATACAGGGAGAGAGGGAAATCAAAAAGAAAGAAAAGAAATATCTGGGTTTGAGGGTGATTAATCAGCCGCGAGTAAAGCGCCACGTATACCATTCCAAAACCACACCCAAACTTATTTTCTGTTTTTCTGAACGACCGAGGGAGATAAATCCACACCAACACGTAACGATTCCGCCTCTCCTCTCCTTCAAGTAGTTATAAAGGAACTCTGACAGCTTAATACTTAGTATCTGCAACCGCCAACTGCATTCATTATAAATCCTCTGCTCTCCTTTCTTTCAAGGTATGCCTACTTCTCCTTTTCCATCTTTTTACAGTTCTTTTTAGTAATGATCGAAAATTCATTTCTTTATTTGTTATTTTATTCAATTGAACTATGCTGCCAATTATTCAATGTGTAGCCAGTATAGCTGATGTCTAATTGACCTCGTAAATAAATGATATTACTGTTTGCTTTGCTGTTATGTTAAGTTGTTTTGGGCGCAATGTTACCAGGGAAATTGTAACAATTTGAATATAGAAAAATCATTTGTATGCTGGATGTTAGAATACTGGGATTGTGTGTTTTCTCCCTTTGGATTTTATTGAACTGTTATATTGCTTTTGCTTGCTATCAGATGGCAGCGTCGTCTGCATGCGTTTTAGGAAATGGTTTATCGACCAGTAATGCTAAACAGAATTTGACAAAGGAGTTCTACGGCAGTCATCTTTTCGTTTCTACGGGTGTTCCCTTATGTAAGACATCAAGAACTGTAATTGTAAAGGCAGCTTTGGACAAGAGACGGAATGAAGGAAGGAGGGGTTTTCTGAAGCTGTTGGCTGGGAATGTTGGAATTGGTGGATCCGCTTTGCTGGGGGGTGGGAAAGCATTTGCTGATGACCAAGGGGTTTCTTCCTCCAGGATGTCTTATTCTAGATTTTTGGAGTATTTGGATAAGGATAGGGTGAAAAAGGTAGACTTGTTTGAAAATGGAACCATTGCTATCGTAGAGGCTGTTTCCCCTGAGTTGGGTAACCGGGTGCAGCGAGTTCGCGTGCAGCTTCCAGGACTCAGCCAAGAGCTTCTTCAGAAATTTAGAGAGAAGAACATTGACTTTGCAGCACATAATGCTCAAGAGGACTCTGGTTCCTTGCTATTCAACTTGATTGGAAATCTGGCTTTTCCTTTAATCTTGATTGGAGGTCTTTTCCTTCTTTCTCGACGTTCATCAGGAGGAATGGGTGGTCCTGGTGGGCCTGGTTTCCCCTTAGCTTTCGGTCAATCTAAGGCAAAGTTCCAAATGGAACCAAACACTGGTGTGACATTTGATGATGTTGCTGGAGTGGATGAAGCAAAGCAGGATTTCATGGAGGTAGTTGAGTTTCTTAAAAAGCCTGAGAGATTCACTGCAGTAGGGGCTCGCATCCCGAAAGGTGTTCTTCTTATTGGGCCTCCGGGTACTGGGAAAACTCTTCTGGCCAAAGCAATTGCTGGTGAAGCTGGTGTTCCATTTTTCTCTATTTCGGGTTCGGAGTTTGTTGAGATGTTTGTTGGTGTTGGAGCCTCTAGAGTTCGGGATCTCTTTAAGAAGGCCAAAGAGAATGCTCCTTGTATTGTATTTGTGGATGAAATTGATGCTGTGGGAAGGCAAAGAGGAACTGGAATCGGTGGAGGAAATGATGAAAGAGAGCAGACCCTTAACCAGCTTCTGACGGAAATGGATGGTTTTGAGGGTAATACTGGTATCATTGTTATTGCAGCAACTAACAGGGCAGACATTCTTGACTCTGCCTTGTTGAGGCCAGGACGGTTTGACAGACAGGTGAGGATATGCTATCATCTTCTTATTGGTTTCATATTGTTCTTTGGGACAGTCCTCATTACGAACCTTTGATGCAGGTGACTGTTGATGTCCCAGATATTCGGGGAAGAACAGAGATACTAAAAGTTCATGCTGGCAATAAGAAATTTGATGTTGATGTGTCTCTTGATGTGATAGCCATGAGAACACCTGGTTTCAGTGGGGCTGATCTTGCAAACCTCTTGAATGAGGCAGCTATTCTAGCTGGTCGACGTGGAAAGACAGCAATTTCAGCTAAAGAGATTGATGATTCAATTGATAGGATTGTTGCTGGAATGGAAGGAACAGTGATGACAGATGGAAAGAGTAAAAGTCTCGTTGCATATCATGAAGTAGGGCATGCCATTTGCGGGTAAGGGAGCTGGAAGCCTTTAAATATATGTCTCTTGGAAAGTCACCTCTTAATAATTTTCTGAGTTAGGGTTAGGTTCTTAACTTACTTTATAAAATATCCCATTGAGTAAATTCGATTAGAATTTAGAACTGAACACTAAGCGCAGAACTCAATTTGATGGTAATCTAAAGTTAAGAAGCATTAATGTAGCTGGCAAATTTTATCTGGTATAAAAACTTGATCTTAGAGAACTGAAGCGGAGATATAAATGACTCTTGAAATCTCTGAAAATCTCAATAGCAGTAGAAATTAGAACTCATAAGTAATTTAATCAAGAATATGAAAGGACAGGGACCATGAAACCCTAATTCCCAAGGGTAGTCCAAGAATCATGTTCAATCAAAGAGAATAGGACCCAACTTGTTTTTCAAGCTTTAGACTGACATCTAAACTGACAGTGGAAAAATAATGGTCCTGTTTATAGTAACTTCAGATGCTTGGTCTCTGCTATGCTACATTCAAACCTATCTCGCATGACATAGATGAACTGCAACACCAAGAAAAGTCTCCTCCAGTATGAAGCCACAGCTTCTCTTCTACATCTTACCTCCTATTTGCCAAAATTCCCTGTAAAACATTGTCTGCTTTGTTGGAAAATAAACTTCCATGACACTCTATTGTTTTATTCAGAACTTTGACTCCAGGGCATGATGCGGTTCAGAAAGTCACCCTAATTCCACGTGGCCAGGCACGGGGCCTCACCTGGTTTATTCCTGCAGATGACCCCACATTGATCTCCAAGCAGCAACTTTTTGCAAGAATAGTTGGTGGTTTAGGTGGCAGAGCTGCTGAAGAAGTGATATTTGGTGAGCCTGAGGTGACCACAGGGGCAGCCGGTGATCTGCAGCAGATCACCGGTCTGGCTAAGCAGGTAACCATACACCTAACTTCTTGGATTGGTGTTCACATTGTTCTACGAACATCAGTTTTACTATGTCATTTTATTTGATGTGTTTTTGGAGTATGAAATTGGATTTGTGCATTTAACATTCCAATTTCCTTATGATGGAGGGATTCACTTTTATTAAGTTGATAAGTCATCATAATCTGTATCAGTTCTTGAGTTAAAGACAGTATCTGGAGTCATCATAATTTGAATTTACATTTACCATGTCTTTTCCTTGCTCCTTTTGGTGATTTGTGTGGCATTTCCGTATTGCTCTTTGTATGTGGTTCTACATATCCTTTTGCATAGCTCATCAGAAGAATTTAATTGAATCTAGTCTTTTGTAATCTGTTACAGATGGTAACCACATTTGGAATGTCTGAAATTGGCCCATGGTCACTTATGGATGCGTCAGCTCAAAGTGCTGATGTCTTCATGAGAATGATGGCAAGGAATTCGATGTCAGAAAAGCTGGCGGAAGACATTGATGCTGCTGTGAAGAGGTTATCAGACACTGCGTATGAAGTTGCATTGAGCCACATAAAGAACAATCGAGAGGCCATGGATAAGATCGTGGAAGTCCTCCTTGAGAAGGAAACTATGACCGGTGATGAGTTCCGAGCGATCCTCTCTGAATTTGTTGAGATTCCTGCAGAAAATCGGGTTGCTCCTTCAGTACCCGCCCCGGTGTCTGTGTAATTAAATACTAGTACTCTCTATATGTTCACTGCAACTTTGACCATACATCTTAAAAGTGGGCAAATGTATGTATAATTTGTATCATCGATTTTGTGGAAGAAGGAATACACACTAATTCGAAATCCATTACTGACCATCTTGCTATAACCTCAGCGGCAAGTCCAGTAAATTGGCCACTAAGCTCTAACAGAGAATGCAATTACATCCTTGATGAACTTTTGATTTCAATTACAACCTCGTACACCTGAAACACATGGATCGTCACCTTGATATGCATGGAAGTTGTAATATGATGCAACTCCAATTCAAATCAATAGAAAAACTCTAGGCATTGAAAGAACAGCTCTTAGAAAACTAAGATTGTTATTAGAAATCAATTGTAAAAGCAATGATTTATGTGAAAATGCAATGAATGTAAACAATGGAAACAGTATGCATACAATTGAGAAAAGAATACAGAGGAAGGAAGCAAATTGATAAGAAAATGGATATGAGATAGAGAATTTCTGCTCACTACGCATTTCCTACACTATTTACTCTCTTTTATTATCCAACAAACTCAACTAACACTTAACTAATCACTAACTAATTGCTAACAAATTCACAACACCCAACTAATTACTAGCTAACAGTAAATTCACACTCAAGTTCCTTTGTCAGTTCGGATGCCATTTGTCCAATTCACTTAACTAGGTCACTATTATACTGCTAGCTAATATAATTGTCTAGCTCATCTCTAAAAAATTACATCAATACCCTTTCTTTCAAGAAACCTTGTCCTCAAGGTTAAACCGAGAAAAACGTTGCTCTAAATCAAATGTAAATTCCCAATTTGCATTAGCAATTATACCATTAGACCATTGAATAAGCAACTTAGTAACAACTTGGTTGTCTCATTTGACCATTTTCTTGTCCTAAATAGCTACCGAAAGTAGTGATACAATCAAGGACAGAGGTAACTCAATTTGCATAGGAAGAAGACCTCCGATAGGTTTGAGTTGTGAGATATGAAAAGTAGGACGAATTTAGGAGTGAGGAGGCAACCGTAGAGTATAAACAACATCCCCAATTCAATCAATAACCTTGAAAGGTCCAAAAACCTAGGAGAAAACTTTTATTTTCTTCTAGAAACCACTGATTGTTGCTTGTAAGGTCCGTAACTTTAAGTAAACCCGATCTCCAATGTGAAACACCTTATCGATATGTTTTTTATCAGCCTCGCACTTTCATTCATAGTTGTGCTTTGATCAAGTGATGTTTAAGCACTACAATGACATTCTCTTTATCTTGTAGAGACTCGTTAACCTCCGATTCCTTACCATCGTTAGGCGGATAAGGTAGACGAATGAGAGGAGAATAAACATAAAGAGCTTCAAAAGGAGTTTGTTGAATAGAATTATGGAAGGAAGTGTTACACCAAAACTCGGTTAAGCATCACCATTTATGCCGGGCATTAGGAATATCGGATCTCATGCACCTCGAATAGGTTCATAAGCACTCGTTAACTACTTCTAATTGCCCATCGGTATAAGGATGATAGGCGGTAGAAAAATGTAGTGAAACTTTTTGATAAAGAAACAACTCCTTTCGAATTTGCTCAAAAACACTAAATCTCTATCGGACACAATTGTTTATGGCAACCCATATAATTTATACACATGTTCCATAAATAATATAGCTATTGATTTGGTAGAATAAGGATAGGAGAGAGGCATAAAGTGAACATATTTAGTCGGCCTATCCATCACTACAAGGATCATTTACTTACCTTGAGAAGTTGGTAACCCTTCGATGAAGTCCATGGTTATATCGGTGAAGATGGTATGAGGTAGAGGTAGTGCATTTAGTAACCACTAGAGTCGTTATATTTTTGTACTTACATTATTGACAAACCTTATAATTTTGCACATATTCATTTACATCCTTGAGTAATCCCTTCCAATAAAATAGAGCTATTAACTTTTTTGTGATACCACTTAACCTCAAAGTGTCTACTAGTCTGTTGAATCATGAAATAATGAAATTAGTTCATTATGTAATCCACTCACAATGCCAACCACCAACTCGTCCTTCCTTCATAATGGTCGATCTTGCCACACATATTTTGAATGCATTCCTTCAAGACTTTGTAATTGTGATAGTACAATTGATAACATCGAGTTTAAACTCCAAGAATCTTGAATCTTTGTCATTAAGCCGGTAGAAATAGAGGAAACATCAATGGTTTCTAATTGCATTCGTGAAAGAGTATTAGCAACACCATTTTCTTTACCTTTTTTATCCATAATTTCATAATCATACCCATCAATTTAACTAACCAAGTAAATGGAATGATACTTATAAAGTTTCAATCTTATAGGTTTTGATCCTTCCTTCGACTTAATCCCGTAATTGTGTACTCTTTGAGGTGGTAACCCTTTGGACTCTTGAAAACATCTTTGAACCATTCCAACATTGTCATCGGTTTTATTGGAATTGATTAAACGAACTCAACTTTAAAATTTTCCAATTCCATTTCCACAAGATCAACTAGTTGATTTAATTGCAACCAATTTAGGTGTTGTTGTTTACAAATAACCCTATCCACTTTCTTATCTACTTCATTCTTACTTAGTTCAATGCATTTCCATTACAATAAAAACAATTTGCCATTTTTTATAAATTTCATCCACATCTCTTTAAAATTCCAAGTCATGTCTCCCATAGCATACAACCATGCTACTTTCAAAATCATGTCATACATTCCTAAATGCATCACAAAAACAATAGTTTCAAACACCCCTCTCTCGCATCTTCCACTTGAAATTATTGCATTTATATTGACATAAAATACCTCTACCATCTGCTACCCTAATGATTATTGGCTCAATTTTGACCATTACACATTGATTCTTTTTAGCAAATCCCAAATCCATAAATTTATAGGTACTACCTGTATTTATGATTATACTCATTCTTTTATCCTTCAATTCTTCTAACATCTTCATATTTTAATAATGTTTCCCACCCAATATTGCATGAATTGAAATTTGATATAGCTTTCTAACTAGATCGTCCCTATTTTCATCTTCCTCTTAAACATTTTCTTCCCTAACCACCTTATTCTCAAAATCACCAACTCTATTATCCTCCATTTCTAGCATAAACACTTATCTTGCCTTGCATCTATATCCAAACATAGATTTATCATCACAAAAATAACGGAATCCTCTTAGTCTCATTTCATCTAATTCATTATTGCTAGGAAGCCTTTTAGTTGTGAAAGCATAGCTACCATTTTGGAATTGAAGGGATATAGGCAATATACCTTTTTGGTTATAATGATTAGTAGTGTTGTAATTTGTTTGGGAAGTTTGGTTCATAGTGTTTAGAGGTCTTTAATTATTAAAGGTAGGTTTCTAGTTGAATATTGGAGAATTTAAGAATGGTTTTTGGTTGTATGCGGGTGAGAATTTAGTGTCGAATCTCCGAGAGTGATGTTAAAAGTGGGGGTTAGTCTCTTAAACCTTGGTTAAAGCCATTGCTTTTGTAAAAGTTTTAGATCTTATAACCTTCATTGGCACTTGTACTTCTAATCGCAAGCCTTCTATAAAGTAATTGATAATGTAATCTTTAAGTAAGTTTAATCTTTTAACAATAAAGATAAACTTTCTAAGAAATAATTACACATCATGAGTTTGCTTCAATCCCATTAGTTTTACCATACGATCATTGAACATCATAACTCCAAAATGTATACTCATCGTTTCTATATATTCTTCCTATTTAATCATAGACTTAACTCCATTCATCCTCATAAAGAACTAATGTCATTCTAAAACTTCTTTTAGATCGCTAGCGACTAAATTCACCTTAGCGTCTTTTAGTGTTCTATCCATCATAAAAAACTTCTCACAACTGAATACCCACCCTTCAAAGTCATCATTAGAAAATCTAGGAAAGTCCACCCTAGACATATGAGTATTGTAATTGTAATTGTAACTATATTTCCTACTAACTCCTTCAAAATTATTGTTCATCATTCCAAGCATTCATAGGATTATTAGGATATTCGTACTTACAAATTTGGTAACCTTTATCATTTAGTCCATCGAAACCTTTATCCAAATTACCATTCACTCTATTTAGTATTTCTTCATGTACTGGATTCTTAATTCCATTAACCAACTCCTTCAATTCACCAATCTCTTGATCATATTGTAGAAACATAGAATCACATATTTGAATAAGTTCGAGTAATTACCTTTGTGAGATTGTTAATTGACTCCTCCATCTTTTTTATGTCGAACTTATTTTTTCCATGATTTATTAGCTTAATTAACTTTTCATAAGTGCGAAAATTAGCTTTGATACCAATTGATGCAACTCTAATTGAAATCAATAGAAAAACTCTAGGAATTACAAGAACAACTTGTAGAAAACTAAGATTGTTATTAGAAATCAAGTGTAAAAGCAATGATTTGTATGAAATGTCAATGAATGAAAACAATATGCATACAATTGATGAAGGAGAAAATAATACGAGAGGAAGGAAGAAGTCGAACAACTTGAGAGAAAATAGGAAGCGATAAAAGAGACAATTTTTGCTCACTATGCTTTCCTACTCTCTATTATTATCCAACAAACTCAACTAACACTCAACTAATTACTAACTAACTGCTAACAAATTCACAAAACCCAACTAATTACTAATAAAATGTTCACACTTCGAGTTCTTTTGTCGGCTCGGATGCCATCTCGTCTAATTCACTTTACTAACTCATTGTCAATTATTAGTTAGTGTAATTATCCAGACTCATCACCAAATGTTTGCATTATAATACTCTTTAAAAAAACCAAATTTATTAAAAAATTAAAAAAATGCCTTATTCAAGGTTATTTGATTTGTTATCGATTGCGGTGGTTGTAATTGTCATGCCAAATAATTTCTCGAAGAAAAGAAGGTTTTAAAAGATGAGAGTTTTGAAAGGATAAGGGCTCGGAAAAATAGTAAGAGTGAAGCATCTTAGGTTGTAGATCACGGACAAAGTGTCCAACCACCTGCCATGTAGGGATGACAATCCAACCCGCCTCGACACCGTCTCGTCCCGCCCGGCTAGGGGCGGTGATGGGGTGAAAATTTTTACCCCGAATGGGGCACGGGGCGAGGGCAAGGATGAGATTATCATCCCCGCCTTGCCCTTTTGCCTTTAAAAAAGATAATGCGGTAGGGCCCCGCCTGTCCCGTTGGGGGCGAGGATGGGAAGTGAAATTTTGCCCCAAACGGAGTATGGGGTGGGGATGGGGATGGACAAGGGCTTAATTAAATCCAATAATTTATAGATGGGTTGATTGTATTTTTTTTTTTTTAAATTGAGAGGCGAGTTTGATAATTTTAACTAATTTAAGCCTTAATTTCCTTTTTGGGTAACGATATTTGCAAAGCCCCTAATCCAAGTAAAGGTTTCATTTCGTTGAAGCCGTAAAAATAGTATGAGTATTCTAATTGTAAAAATTAAATAAAAAATGAAATAGTCACACTAAAAAGAAACTAAGGGTTGTTTGATAACCTATTTAAGTAGCTTAAAAAATTAAGTTGTAGAACTTAATATAAAAAATTTGTTTAATAATCTAAATAGTTTCATATTAAAAATTTAAGTTCAGTCAAAAGCTACTTAATTAGTTAGGTTATAGTTTTTAACTCATTACTTTTTTATTAACAAGCTCAATTAAAAGATTTTCAAAACTTTTCAAATATGACTATATCACCTTTATATATTCTTATAATTTTAACTATACAAATCAACTAAAAAACAATCTCTACTATCATCATTGCTAAAACAAAGGAAACCTTCTCTATTATTGGTGCTTTCATCTCGAAATCGAAACACCAATGTCTAATCCCATTGTAGGTAATTTTCTTTTCATTTCATTCCATTGCAAGTGATTTTCCTTCATGCTCGTTGATATCTTGATCATTTTTTTTTGTACATTTTTTTTAAAGAAAAATTGATTCTATTTGTAGATCAAGTTGTTTTAGTTTCGGGTTTTGATTTATATTCCTTCACGTCTTTCTAATCCCATCATCATCGGTATGTTTTTTTGTACAATTTTCTCGTTGATATCCTTCAAATCCATCAAGGTTAAAATTGTATATAGCCTTAATATATTTAGTAACAATATTTATCAAACAAACTTATTATATTCAATACTTAATTTTCAGTAAATACAAAACAACTTGTAGGAACATATTTAGTACTTAATTATTCAACACTTAAAATTCAATACTTAATTTTTAATTTTATCAAAAACCACCTAATTTCTATCATGAAAAAAAAAAAAAAGGCACTAACCAGTCGTTTTAGTCTGTTAATATTTAGAAAAAAGAGAAATACCACTTTTTAGTTTTCCCAGGCTGGAACATTTCCCCGGCCACGTTCCTACTTCCTAGCCTCGCAGGACAGGACGTCTACAAGTAGCAACAGTCTAAAAAGCAATCAACATTTTAAGTTGCGCTGAGAAACCAGGCACGTTCCCCCTAAGACCGTGCTAAATAGATTGCTAATGTAATCTGACCAACACAATGCTTACAGAAGTGTTTGTCAGATCATTTGTAGTTGTTTACGAGGAAGTATTTAATAAATTTATATGACAAATGGAAAGTAGCCACCAAGAATATGTTTTGTCTGGAATAAAGATACTAACGTTGCAAGTACAACAACAAGAAGAATAAGATAAAAAAAGAAAATTAAAACAGCAATATTTCATTTGCTTCTTCTGTGTTAATTCTCAACAATTTAAAATAGTTAGGAAAGTGGAGATTGATAACATGATCTTCAATACCTCTATCAAGGGATAAGCCAGCAGCTTGGATGCTTCAAACATCACAGCTAATCATTTGATAACCCAAATTTTCCATGCGCAATAGAACTCGCCAAGACTAGTCTAAATTTCTTTATGTAAGTTTCATGTCAATGATTGAGGATCCAGAAGCTACACTACTGCAAATTTACGTCATCAATCCAGCAGGAGCATTACCCTTTGAGCCATTCCCGGAAATAGGACTGCATCTTATCTCGATTATCCGGATTCCAGACATTGACGGTAGGAATTATCTTGTCAGGCTTCAAAAACTGGAAAATCAGAATGGCAAATGGCTGATCCGTTAGCATACAATATGTGCAGAATATGGATGATAGTTGGCGTTTCTTAAGAATGTAGAGATGGATATGATGGTTAGATTTACGAGATAGACCTCAACAAACTCTCTCAGCTCTGTGAAACTAGAGTGCTCACTGTATGGAACTCCTGCAGAAGTGATTAAGGAAACCTTGATGATCATCCTGGCTAACAGAAATTCTTACAGAGAAACTAGGATAATTTTTTTTTTTCCAATTAAAAAATATCGAAACACTAGAGGATAAAAAATCAGCCTCTCAAACAGCTAGAGGCAAAGGACAAGGTTAACTCAGAATATATAATATTATGTTTTTCAAGGAACTGCAGATCCACGTTGTATCTCACCATAAATTGTGATGTTGCCTCTAGTACTAGGCCTAATTAGATCAAGATCTTTGCCTAAACCCTCTGAGTAAGTCCAGCCTGGAGGAATGAACAAGATAATGAGTACAGGTATTTGAGAAATGTAGATTTTTCTTAAAAAGAAACAAGAAATCATAGCTAAACACATAAGAAAATCAGTATGTTTCACCTGTTGGCCGGAATGCCAAAACTGCTGTGTACTGATTTACATAGTTCTTCAAGTAATCCTTCAAGGTCTTAAGCAACAACAAAGTATGATGATAAATCAACCTGATGAGGACGTAGTTCTTAAGACAAGAAAGGTTAAAAGCCCAGAATCAGACCTCATATCGCAGGGAAGATATGGGTAGCACATGAAGACATGTGTCAGTAGCTTGTGTACAAAGACTCGTTGAAAGATCAGGCCAACCAAAAGATTGCAGAATCCGTCTCCTTGAATTATTTGCATATATTTTAACCTGAAATGATTTGAAACAATTAACATTCAACTGATTCCAAGATTTTTATTATTTCTTGGTCCTATTTTCTCTTAATCAAGGAAACTGAGTTCATGAGTTCTATTATCATTTAGTCCTTTCAAGCATTGCTACATTATGGTCAAGTGCTGAGGAAAGGTGTTCTGTTTTTCGAATATCTTTCTGTGGTTTTTGGGTGTGGGGAACCTGAAAACGAAAACAAACAAAAAATAATCTACCACATTTTACTGACAACTAAGACTACTTTTCAATACCGGTTATATTCCATAGAACATGCAGATGAAATTATTCATGATATGCTATGCATATGATAATCATAGACTACGAAAGCCATAAATGTTGTGAAGCAAGTGGTTTCTTGATTGATCCAGGAAACTGTAAAGGCAAAATATCAACCAAATGGAAAGAATTTTTCAAAAAAATGAAGCTGTCTGATGAAACAATAGCAAACATACCCCTAATGCCTTAGAAATGGCAAGATAAACACTCTCTTTGCCAATACTATACGCTCCAACAACAACCAGGGTTTTGGGTTGCTTTTTGAGAAAATTTTTGGTAACTCTGACAACGTAACTCAATACATTTTCTTTAGAAGGAAACCTGAAACAGAAATTGCAATATAAACATATTTGAATACCAAAAAATCAAAATCAAAATCAAAATCAAAATAAAAAAAATACGTCTTACTTGTACTTTGGATTGCAATAGGTTGTATCTAAGTAAAGCACATTAACTCGGTTGTTTGCAAGAAGCGGATAGTCCTGCATAAGTTTAGAAGCCCTGAAATCTCCAGTATGCAAATAACAGAGTCCAGTTTCGAGACGGAAAAGAATGAGTGCTGCTCCGGGACAGTGATTAGCTTCTAGCAATGTTACTTTTACTCCTTGAATAACATAGTCTGTATCAAGTTCCAATGGATGAATATATCTGTGCAGTTCAGAATCATTAAGATAAAAACCTCAATCAATCAAACAGAAATATGATTAATTAATTTGAGATGAGGATTACGATGAATCGACGGAGAGGCAGATTGTAAGTAGGCGAGCAGTGAGAGGAGTACAGTAGATAGGGCCATGAGACCATCCTTTGGTAAGACCGCCGTAATGATCATAATGGAAGTGGGTGAGGAAATACGCAGAGCATACTTGGATCGAACCATACCGGAACGCATCAACTGAGAAACCTGTATCTATTTGTATAGACAATACTAAATAATTTAAGCAACGCAAAATGATTTTTCTCACAAATCAAATGAAATAGTGAAAGAAGAGCAGATAAATTACTTGGAATCCTTTTATAGAAAGGGCAAGCGCGAGGGCGGTTATGGTTAGGAGAGGACGTAGTCGCTCTGGCTGTGGCTTTGGCTTTGGCTTGGCCGCAAAATTGAGTTTTCTTCAGCTTCTTGTTTGGAGGCGGAGATGAAAGGGGAGAAGGTTTGTTTTGGCCCCACATCTGCCATAGATTCGCCTGTCTCAGATTTCTTGACTGTGAAAGAGAATGAGAAGGTTCAACTACTTCAGCCACCGGCGACAAGCAGGACCAATCGGTTCCGCACCGATAGAATTCAGCAGCGAAACTTCCGTCACCATCTTCTTCTTTTAGTTTAATTGATGGATGAATCTGATAAATTTCTTCCTCAAGATTCTCGATAGCCGAGAGATCATCTTCCGACCATTCATTTTCACTCCGTTCTTCTCCTCCAGTGCCGCCGATTTTGCTCATCTCCTTATCCTACGGCGGTCCGAATGAAACGGTGCCGCGGCAAAAACTTTTTGAAAAATAACTGGTCCGGTTTGATAGGAGTCTCGCACACATTTTGCATCTCGTACGTGTTTATTGGTCCCCTCGTGTTAGCCTCCAAATATTTTATTCGGTTTTCAAAGTTTGAATGGTCAATATATTTTTTCTTTTTTCATAATGATTGATGAATGTTAGACAAATAAAAAAAAAAAAAAACATCATGAATTCATATGACAGAAGAACAAAATTAGTAGTAAAATTTAGAATTTCATATTTACGAAGTTTTGAATCTTTTTTTTTAATTTTTTTATTATTATAAATTTGATAATTTGTTTTTCAATATATAAAATGTAAGAAATATGGAGGTCGAAATTTAGTATTTATGACATATCTATACAAAATGATGGATTATTCTAAATATATTTTACAGTAAAAATAAAAGAATAGGCGATAAATAATAAAAATAAAATCTGAAAAGTTGGTTTGATCATTGAAAAAGTTAGGTGGATTTGTTGATTTTTGAAATTCGACATTAAAATTATAAAAAATAAATTATTATACTTTTAAATATATTATGTTGCTGTGGAAGTATGATTTTAATATCGTATAAAAATTGAATGTTGCATAAGTTGATTAGATTATATCCTTTATCTTCGAAACAAAAAGTGAAAAATAAAGTACTTATATGTTATGAAAAAAGAGAGACATATACTAATTATGGTGGTACCACGCGTGGAAGATTATTCAGCCGACAGTTGAGTACGGAGGTAAAAGAAAAGAGCGGTCGGTGAGGTATCACGATTTTGCTATTGACTCTTCATCTTCTTCTTCTTCTTTGCCACGACCGGACCTGAGCTACACGTTGATTGATTTCTCATAATTTTCCTACACACTAAGCTAATACGCACAACCAAAGAAAGAGAGGTTGTTGGGTGGATCATTTCAAGGTCCTCAATCTTTTCTTTTCTTTGCTCGTTTCTTTTCCACTTTCGGTTAAAATCAGCTCTTTTTTTAACGGAGAAGTAAACTATAGGATAATTAATTACTGTTTGATCTGGGAATGTGTTTCCCTATTCAACTAATTTAGATCTCTTCCATTTTTTCTCTTTCTCTTTTAGGTGGATCGTCTATGCAATCAATGTTAGCTATTTTTAATGTTCATCTTTCCAAATCTCGAGTACCTTGCTTTGCATGTCTATTGCATTTATTCGTTTTTTTTTTCTTTTATGGAAAAATATTAATGGGTTTGATTTAGACATGATCTATATATGCTGGGTTTTGAATTTTGATGCCATCTGATCTATCTATGTTTGTTTCAGGTTATTATTAATTAAAAGCTCAGCAATGCGGGTTCTGTGCAAATTGTTTGCTTGAACTGGGCGATGCTGGATCGGTTATCAACCCAAGAGAAAGTTTCTTTATATTTTCTTGCATCTGAATAGTTATTATTCAATCTCACATCATTGCGTTGCTTTGTATTTCAACTGTATGTGGGCTGCCTGCTTCACTGCTTTAGATTTTGTTAGCCATGGGGGAGTGGGTTATTGGAGCTTTTATCAATCTTTTTGGCAGCATTGCTATCAACTTTGGGACGAACCTTCTTAAATTGGGTCATAATGAGGTATGTCGTCTCCATTTTCTTACAATGCGTCTCCATTCTTTTACTCATTGTAAACATTCTTTCCATCATTGAAAAGTTTATGGGGTTCAATGTTGCTCAAGCATGCTATGACATATGCGTAATACAAGCTACTGTCTTTGTGACCTGCTCTGTCATAATATGCGTTTAACTTTGGTACGAGTTTACCGTGGAGATGAAGTGAACTGATTTTAGGTTCACTTGATGTAGAGTTCCAGTCTGCTCTCTACCTTTAATGTTAGCATGAAGATGAATAGACTTAGCTTTCTTGTGATATACACCACTTAGAGACATTAACTCTAGGAAATCACAATTTTATGATTCCTTGAATGCACGATGAATTGGCTCCGATACCAATTGCAGAGACATAAAAGGTAGCAAACACACAAACACAGATTTTATTGAGTAGAAACAAACAACGGCATTTTAATTTTAATTCGCGGAACTGAGATGCCACACTCAACTCAAACAAATCGTGGCCCACACAGCTTGCACCAAGGTTGCCACTCATAACCTACACTAATCACAATGCACCCACTCTGCACCCAAACAAGCTGCCCCACAAAGCTTAACTTACGCAGCACATCCATGAACCCTTAATTTTTCTCAACATGGCTTCTTTTTCCTTTACCGTACCACTACTACACACATGGTTTTCTTTTGTTTTTACACTAATTGGACACAAACAAATAATAGGACCAACCCCTATTTTTGTACTAGAGTTAGTGACCCTAAAAAGTCCTAAACCAACTAGTATAGAATTCCTATTCTGACAATTAAATTGTACCAGTCCTACTTACATATGGACTTGAATTCCCAATATTCTATAACTGCTTGGTTTAGTTTCCAACATCAACTACTGATTGAATAGCTTTACTTTACACCTTAACATAGCTTAGAAAGCTTTAACGAATCTGGCTAAATTATTCACAGAGAGAGAGGCATTCAATGCAAGACAATGTGGGAACAAGTGGGAAGATTCCTTTGAAGCCTATCATATATTTCCAGACGTGGAGAGTTGGTAAGGACTTGTCTCATTGGTTCTTTGTTATGCCTCGGAGTTTTCTGTAAGAAATACAAGTGGATGACTTGTCTGTAATCTTGAGCTTTAATATGTGTATTTCTGTTATGCAGGTATTCTATTTTTCTTTTTTGGGAATTGCCTTAATTTCATTTCCTTTGGATATGCTGCTCAGGTCAGTTACAGATCATATATTACCACAGGCCTTCCGATCTGCAATGATGGAGTTTCCTTTTCTAGAACTACAGGAAAATGTTCTTTGTTTCATCCTTTCTAGTTCTTGTTCGTTTTATTTTTCTTTACCTTCTCTTCTTTCTGCGCAGTCGCTTCTTGCAGCATTGGGATCTATTCAATTTGTATCAAACATTGCATTTGCTTACTTTGTGTTGAACAAAATGGTCACTATCAAGTATGTGAAATTGAAGTGACACAAATTTTGAAATTTATAGCACAATTTAACATTCTATTTACCAAATTGTTGTTACTAAGTTGATTCCAATTGATCAATATTTTCTTTCTCTTTTCAGAGTTCTGGTAGCCACAGCCTTTATCGTTCTTGGAAATATATTTCTTGTTGCTTTTGGCAACCATCAGTCTCCTGGTACTTGACTGGCTCTTGAAACATGTTAGGTTTAATGTTTAATGTCTTATTGTCTCTTGAGTTTGGTACCAGGGGAAAAATGTGGATGGGAAATATCAAGAGAGTAAGATTCGATGGTGAAATGTTAAAGAGTGTAAAAAGGGTTGAGGGTTTATGTTTTAAGCACTTTGGTAGGAGTTGAAAGAATTATACAGGTAATAGTGGGTGTCAAATCCCAATTTAAGTGAAAACAAACTTTATGCTAAATGCAATTATTAAAAAGTTAAATAATATATCTGTATGTCCTAAGTGGGAGGTTGAAAGAAAAAGAAAAAAGGTAGATATAAATTCAAAAAAGATGGAACAAGCATAAAAACCAAAAGAAATTCCCCTTGAAAAAGCCTTTACTCTTCGCTAAGATTCTTAAAATTCCCCCTACTGTCATAATTGTACCAAACATATCTAGAGGTGAAAGTTGCAGTGTTAACTATTCACCCCCTACCCCTTAACAAACACAACTTTAGTAGTCTAGAATGGCTTAATTTAGTACAAGAATTTACTATAATGCCTTTTATTTTCCTTTAAATTTTTCCATAAAAGAATGAAAATGAATTAAATGCCTTTTTGTAGAAAATGGATCCCTCATCTTAGGAGAGCAATTGTTCTCCAATAATAAAATTGTACCCTTATCGGTCAAGACTACTATCTCCTTGCTTCTAATTGTGTATTTTTCATTTCCAACATCTTTTAGGTTCTTCGACTACATTTGATCCATAAATATAAATCATGCACATTGATCTTCCTTATCTGCATGGCTGTACCTAAAAGCCATAGCCATAAACTTGGTTATTGTATGGTTAGAAAACTAAATTTCTCGTCATTTGTTTCTTATCAGTGTACACAACAGAGCAGTTGGCAGAGAAATACAGCAATATGACATTCCTCTTTTACTGTCTGGCATTGATACTTATTGTTGCCTTGCACCACTACATTTACAGGTGAGATTTGGAGATTGGCTATCATTTCTCATTTGTTTGTGGATGAATTTTCAAGTCACAATCTCACTGTTTTTCACATCTAACCTTGGCAACAATATGCAGGAGAGGAGAAATTATACTTGCCGTTTCAGGACAAGATCTTAGACCTTATTGGCAAATGGTCCTTCCTTTCTCCTATGCTGTAGTTTCGGGTGCAGTAGGATCATGCTCAGTATTGTTTGCCAAATCTCTGTAAGTTTTGCTTAAAAATATCCCTGCCTTTACTGAGATGAGAGCGCTAAAACTGGGCATGTTTTATTCTGATTGCAAGTGTTTTGCTTCCAGCTCCAATCTGTTAAGGTTGGCCATGTCTAGTGATTATCAGTTGCACAGCTGGTTTACTTACTCCATGCTTCTTTTATTTCTTAGTACAGCGGGATTTTGGGTAAGAAAATATGAGTCAATTTGTGTCTTCTTATTTGCAACATGGTGGAGATAACAATGTACAAAACATCTAATTCTGTCCTGCTTCCTAATTATGCAGATGACGAGGTTGAATGAAGGATTGGCACTCTTTGATGCAATTCTCATTGTGCCAATGTTTCAGATTGTTTGGACTTTCTTTTCCATTTGTACAGGATTTGTATATTTTCAGGAATATCAGGTTCTCCCTCTATACCTCTCTTCCCCTCTGTTGAGGTAATGCAGTTTGGTCATTGATGGTGGCATTGAGGGTGAACCTCACAGAGGCTTTGGCAACTAGTGGAAAAGCTTATCTGACGTAGTGTGGGAAGGGAAAAATAGTGGAAAACAGAAGTTACAGCAGAATAGTGGCTAAAATTAGGATAAAATTGAAGTTGGAACAAGATAATAGAATTTAGGGTTCATAAGAAATCTCTAGAATCTGAATAGGTAGATAAAATAACAAAAAACTACCACAAAAGTAACCCTAGCAGCCTATTCATATTAGTTAAAGCCCCAGATCCTTGTAGGAAAAGGGTTTCTAATCTTAGTTCCCAAGTAAAAACTATTTAGCCTATAAAGGAAATACTTGAAAAAGTCACATGCTAATCATAACTAAGTAACCCTGATGTCAGAAATATAATAAAATAATTTCTAGAGAAAGCTCCTGCCCTATTATCCTTTGTGAATTTTTTTTTTTTTAAAAAAAAAACTATTTGTATTGTGTATTCTAGTGGTGAATTGAGTTAGAATTTTCTTCTCCTTCCTCTCTCCATTAACAAAGTTAGTGTGCCTGGCACACCAAGCAACTTGTTTATCTTGGTCTTGTTTCATCTGAGTACCTGTCAATTGATACAATTTCCATCTATTACATTTTAGGGCACTGATCTGACACAGAAGGTGTCCACCCTCATGTCCTAATCTGTAGAATGCCTGAATGTGTGTGATCTGCATTCACTTCATGTACATTTTGTTGTTTTTTATGCATGTAAAATGTTGATATCTTCTTCAGTGGAAGTCTATTTATTTAACTGGTTTATTGTAGCCTAGAAAGTAGGATTTAGTTCGCCTGGCAAACTTATCGGTACTTGGAACAGGTATTTGATGCACTAAGGACGACAATGTTCATAATAGGGATGACATCCGTTTTCATTGGAATTTCTTTGCTTGCACCTGATGAGTCTAAAGGTATTTTTGATAAAGTTTCTGACAAAGTCTGTTGACAGAGAACACAAATTTTAACTTAATTGCGTATTTTCAGGTGGAGAAGTCAAAGATAATGCATCTTTAGTTTCAGTTGTGTCTTCAAGCATTTCAACTGAAACAGACAGGTACTGTACATGTATATTCTGTACAGATTATATTTTTAGAAATTGATGAAGATTTTGTTCTGAACCACCCATATTCTGTTTAGCTTATGACAGTTGAAGGGAAATCTTGATAAATGAACCGGAATCCTCTCTGATACTTCTATCCTTAGATACTAGATTCTCTTTAAAATTTCTTTTAAACCTACTTCTTTTGGTTTATGTTTATTGACTGTGCAAAGTGAACAAATTAGAGTAGAAGTCTTACTTTCTGACATGGTATCAACTTGTATACTGCTGAATGGAATTAGTTTTTGGTGTGTTCCATTGTTGGATATCAATATATATTGTGTGCCACACTACATTGGTCTGTATCTGTGGTTTTCACTGGTTTTTGTTGCATATTTATCTTTTACAGGCTGGTCATCTCATCTGAAGATGCACAAAGTAAAGATCCCAGATCACTCGCGCAAGCAATGGTTATAAAAATTAAAGAGGTGTTAGCCAAGGCAAAGGTGCGGCTGTTTGAAATTATCTCTCTTCTTCTGAAACTATATGTGGATAAATATGAATTAATTATTAACGAAAGCTAATTCTGCTTGTCTTGCAGACTGCTTGTTCAATATCGCTAGGTTTTGGAGAGGATTCAATCAATGCATCTGCTGTTCTTGTGATGCCCATGGTGTCTTCAAAAATAACTGGCTTCAGAGGAACTGTCTTTGACCGACCTAAGTTTTTTTCCCTAAAAAATTCTGGTTGGAGTAAGATTTCAATGGATGATGGTGGTGTAAAAGTGTTAGAAACAAACCCAGTGCTTCCTCAAACCCTTTGATTGGAGTTGTACAAGTAGCAAGCAACATATCAAGTTTACCAGGAAGGAATGATTTTTTATTTTTATTTTTATTTTAAAAAAAAAAAAGGAGAAAGGATGTCATTGTTTGAAGGAACACAAATTGTTTAGGTATAGGATCACTGATTTATGTCACGGATGAAGTATTCTTGTAGCTTTGGGAACGTGTTGCATCATTGTTGTATATACTTGCTTACTTGATTCAAATGAAAGTTCATAATTTTTTTGTTTGTATGAAAAAGGGAAGTAGAGTATGGGCATATTTCATAACCACTCAAGCAGTACAACAAATGAACACAAGTTCGACTTTGGCTGTTCGGAATGCAGGCATTATTGCCATTGCATTGCCATGTTAAGGCATAGAAATTTGGTATTTCAAGTTGTATTTTTCTTTTTTCTTCTTCATATAAACATAAGATCTTTAATGAAAATTATTGAGATATCTGGTAAATTTTCGGTTTAGTAAACAATTCCAGCCGTTTCCATGTTTTATGATAACACTTGCAAGGTGCCTTGAGTTTGTTAAGCATAACTCAGGTTTCATGAAATGTAATCTGATCGAGTCATAGTTTAATCGGTTTATGGTACGAAATTGCACAGGTTATGGTTTGGAATCGCTCTCGTTCGAGGTCCTGTCCTGGCGTCTTGATTAAGCTGTTTCATCTAATTTCAGGAAGAAAAGGAATCGGGAAAGGCATTACAAGAGCATCGAGAAAATGGCCAACCGAACGAAATATGATGATTCAGGTTTTCAAGTTCAGAAGATTTCCCTCCTACGCTTATTATGAAGAAGGCAAACGATTGGTTTCGTCGTGTGTATCGTGGTTTCTGCTGTGTCTGTGCAGAAGCAAAAACACAAACACCAACACTGATTGAAGCAGACGTATGCATCTCACTCATCAAGCAATGCGGCACCTCCCTCCATTCCCTCAAATCTGCCCATGCCTCCATACTCAAATCCTATCTCCACCACAACCTCCACTTCCTCACCAACCTCATTGCCCAATACGCTTCTTTGGGCTCCATTTCTTATGCCTACTCCCTCTTCTCTTCTACCCCATCCACCGATCTCTTCCTCTGGAATGTCATGATCCGTGGCTTTGTAGATAATTCCCATTACCATCATGCCGTTCTTTTGTATCAGCAAATGCTAAAGTTGGGCATTCAACCCGACCATTTCACCTTCCCTTTTGTTATCAAGGCCTGCGGCTGTCTTCGGCACTTCGAATTTGGCGTTCGGGTTCATCGAGACGTTGTTAAATTCGGGTACCAGTCTCATGTTTTTATTTCCAATTCTCTCATTACCATGTATGGCAAATGTGAGCATTATAAGCTTGCCCGCCAAGAGTTTGATGAAATGCCCGAGAGAAATGTTGTTTCGTGGAGTGCCATAATTGGCGCTTGCTTGCAGAATGACCATTGTGAAGAAGGGTTTTCATTGTTTTGGAAGATGTTAAGTGAGGGATTTAGACCCAGCAGGGGTGCTATTTTGAATGCGATGGCCTGTGTTCATAGCGATGAGGAAGCTGATGATGTTTATAGAGTAGTTGTAGATAATGGACTTGATTTCGATCAGTCCGTCCAGAGTGCGGCTGCTGGAATGTATGCGCGATGTGGGAGAATGGAAGTTGCAAGAAAGTTGTTTGATGGCATTATGAATAAGGATTTGGTGACGTGGGCAACAATGATCGAGGCTTTTGCCAAGGCTGATTTGCCGTTTGAAGCTTTATGCCTTCTAAACCAAATGATGTTGCAAGAGATATTCCCTGATGCCATCACCCTTCTTAGTATGATCCGAGCTTGTTCTATTCTAGCATCTTTCCAGCTAGCACGTGCAGTTCATGGAATCATAACTTGTAGTTTCTTCTACAATCAAGCTCTAGTAGTTGAAACTGCCCTGGTTGATCTTTATGTGAAATGTGGAAGCTTAGCTTATGCTAGAAAAGTTTTTGACCGCATGCAAGAGAGAAATATCATCACATGGAGTGCCATGATTTCAGGCTATGGGATGCATGGCTGGGGAAGAGAAGCTCTCAATCTCTTTGATCAAATGAAGGCTTCTGTAAAGCCGGATCACATAACATTTGTGTCAATATTGTCAGCATGCAGTCATTCAGGTTTAGTTGCTGAAGGATGGGAGTGCTTCAATTCCATGGCTAGAGATTTTGGAGTCACGCCAAGACCCGAACACTATGCTTGTATGGTTGATCTTCTAGGCCGAGCTGGAAAGCTAGACGAAGCTTGTGATATTATTGAGAGGATGCCAATGAGCCCTAATGCAGCTGTCTGGGGGGCACTTCTTGGGGCATGTAGAATACATTTAAATGTAGACCTTGCTGGAATAGCAGCAAGAGCATTATTTGATCTGGATGCTGGAAACCCGGGGAGATATGTCATCTTGTACAACATTTACGCATTCGCTGGGAAAAGAAAAGAAGCTGACACAATTAGAAATCTAATGAAGTACAGAGGAGTGAAAAAAATTGCTGGATACACAGTTATAGAGATTAAAAACAAGCTCTACACATTCGTAGCTGGGGATATTTCACACCCACAAACAGAGCTAATTTATTCAGAGTTGGAACGGTTGATGGACAGGATTCGTCTAGAAGGGTACTCTCCAGACATAAACTTTGTATTGCATGATGTGGAGGAAGAGACAAAGGAGAACATGCTGTTCTTGCATAGCGAAAAGTTGGCCATTGTGTTTGGCCTCCTAAATTTGGGGCCTGAGAGTGTAATTAGGATTAGGAAAAATCTTAGAGTATGTGGGGATTGCCATACTGCAACTAAGTTCATCTCTAAGGTTACTGGAAGGGAGATCGTTGTGAGAGATGCTCATAGATTCCACCATTTCAAGGACGGAGCGTGCTCTTGCGGGGATTATTGGTGAAACTGTGTCCTGTAATTTCTATCACTGCTGGTAGATGACGAAGATAAGACTGGTTGCTTGGTCACTATCTTTGTCAAATTTGCACAATGCAGACCGATGAAATTTCGTCAGACTGCATTTTATAGTCCATTACAATAGCTGGTCGATTCTTCGCCTTGGAGTTCAATGTACAAGAATGAACTGTGTCGACCCTATCATATTCATATCAAAAAAGGGCGGCTAAGTTAAAGCTCCTTTGCCTCAAGTCACCATCCATGACCCAACTCTTTCCAGAATCCAGACGCCACCACCATATCCATAATTTTGACTTTTCTGACAACCTTAGCAAACACCAATAAATCCACCCAGGATGGACCAATTAACCGAGCTCGAGGGGGTGATGAAATGTTTGATTTGTGCTGCCTCATGAGAGGTTGCTTTGCTCTATTCAACAGTGAACTATTGCAGTACATCCTCATTTTGAAGTGATTCATCATGGCCAATTTTTCCAGAATAAGAATTTGAACATCTGTGTAATGTTCGTTGGAGGACAATTATGCATGCCATTGGCTTCACATGTAATTGTTTCATTACTATGTAATGAATTTAATTTCCTTCTTTTCTGAATACATTTGTATTTGCAATACAGTTCATATTTATCAGACCTGAGCTTAATTTATTTGAACTTTAATAACATTGGATTAAAGAATTTAAACAAGTTTCAAAAATAGACTTGCAGTAACTCTGGGACATGTTTGTTAGTTTAAACTGATCTTAAATAATTATGTATCTAGTGTGTAGTTTTCCTCATTAAATCATGTTCGAGTCTTAATAGCTATAGGTTTTTTTTTATTATTATTTTATTGTTATATATCGGAAGAGAAGTACGTTTATTATGTACTTAAAATTCTTTTGGATCTCTTTGGAATAAAGAAAAAATTATTCTTTAGACTTGGTATTGGACATCCTCTTGGTATCCGCCAGCTTTTGCTCTGAATTCAATTAATCCTGCCTTCCTTCCTTCCCATTAAAGCACAAAGAGAAGCTAGCCCTTGCTTGAAGAAATATATTATATACCATTCCACTCAAATGCCAACAATATTTCATGCTGGTCATCGTATATTTTATTTGGTCGATCTGATCTCTAGAATCATGTACTAGGCTAGTACTACTAACTCCTCATGTCGTCATTGTTTATCATATTCAATTTAATTTCTGCAACATTCACGTCTCTCTGAATGCTAGCCTGTAAAAGTTTAAAGTCTTGTAAATACAATGTGGTTGTAGAAAGAAAGCAGAACAAGTACAACCAACGATCATCACCCTAACAACCAAAATGGCAACATGTAATCATTGTTAATCCATTGATGTATTGGAGTAGGACCATCCTTTAGCTAAAACTTTTGCTGATGGGAAATAAAAGGCCCTCTCCTATAAAGGAAAAGGTAGGAAACCTGTGGGGGGTTTGTGAGCTTTCTGCTTTCACATGCCTGATACCATGCACAGGAAATACTTTCAGATACAAATATAAATGACGAAAAAGCATAGGGTAAGCAATTTTCTACAGTGGGTTGGTCCAAAATAGACGTTAAAGTGAAGAAAGAGTTGGTGAAAATGTGCAAAATAGTAGGCCTAATTACTAAAAGCCAAGGCCACTGTGAGAAAGCTAAAGCAGAAGCAAAAAACAATGTCCCCTTTTTCCCATTATTATTTCATAAAGAGATGATACACACCAAACCCATCTTTATCATGCCTCACCACTCAGAATTGAAATGAAGGAAAACGACAAGCCAACGTTCCAAAATGCCAGTGCATCCATCACATTATTAATAGTATTTTTAATTTAATTCTTAGCATAATCCATAAAAATCCAATTAATACACCAACCAACAGATATTAACAGCAATTAGGAGAAGGAAAACAATCTCAAATTCACGAAACTTTACAATGATTTGCACTAATTGGAATTGATTTGCGTAATTAAGATCATGAAGAGATGGACCAGATATAAACCAAATAGCTAGCCCATCTTCCTCTACAGCAAGCATCTTCTGTACGTTATTAGGATTCCTGATATTGCAGTAATTGCATGCGACTTTGTACCCTTAGCTGCTCGTAAAACCTTCTTATGAATTCCTCAGCTTCATCATCAACTTGTACATTTCCACCATCATTCTCATCTTCTGATGAATAATTTGACACTCTTACAGCTGAAAACGGTGAGAGAAGAGGGCTGCGCTTCTCTCCGGGAGCAAACTCGGAGGCATGATCAAAATGGACGTTGAAAGTGTACTCAGGAGTCTTCGGAACCATGACAACTGCGCCCTTAATCTCTTCTGCTTCAAGCTGCTCCTCTTCTATGACCTCAGGGAGATTAATACAAGGGAAGTAATTGTGTTTGCGTTTTGGCATGCGGAAAAAAACAAGATTAGGGCTGTTGCTGCAAGAGAACTCATATTCTTGTAAGCCGAAGCTACCGCGTGCCAAATCCTTTGAGTGGGGGTGGTGGTGGTGGTGGTGGTGGAGGGACATGAGGTTGCTTAAAGACTTCCTCAAGAGCTTCCCTCTCTTCATCATGAGATTCATGTCCATGATCAACTTCCTCTTTGAGACCAATCCCTTCCTTATCATAAAGAAGGTTACCCTCAAAACGTTCCATAGCCTCTTGGCTAACACAGAGTTCACCCTTGAATGTACCTCCATCGTACAATACTTCCTTTATAATATTGTGGAAGTTTGTATGTCGTATGATCTTAGTAACATTAACACCAAAGGGAAAGGGAAGAGATGAAAGAGAGAGAGAGAGAGAGAGAGAGGCAAGTGGGTTTTCTTGTTTCTACGAGGTTTGCTAGACCTCGCAAAACAAAGAAAACCCTGTGAGAAAACCGGAAGGTGAAGGGTTGTACATTTATAGGCAGGGCTGAAAGGTTACCTTTTTTTTTTTTTTTATCTATTAAAAAAGAAAGGTTCATTGATCTAGAAGGGAAATGGAAAGCGGGGGAGCCTTAAGAAAAACATCACTAGATTCAAATGGACCTAACCACCGCTCCCCCGCGTTGCCCTTTTTATTTTATTTCACACAAACAAAAAATTAATCTTTCTTTGCTTTAGTTATTCCACTACAAGCAGGATTGGATTGTTGCAGTCATGTATTTGCTTTGGGACTCAGTTTATTTTCCACATTATTACACAAAATTTAAAATTTAGAGAACGCCATAAGGATATAATATCTTTTTTTAAATTCATTAGTCCAAATGTGCATGATCTTTTTCAAAATTCTATGGGAAAAAACTTACAGGATGTGCGAAAATTGGTTTGGAAATGCCCAAATCATTAAAACCCAAAGAAATTTGGTGAGGACAACAGTCAGTCAACACATATACATGTATGTATGTGTGTGTGTGTGGTTGGTTGACATGTTGAGTTCAATACAGCTAACGCAATGGTATCAAAAACAGGTAAGCTCTCGTGGGACATTTTGGTCGGAGGGGCTGAGGAAGTTTCGCTATTTCAACGGTTCATAGATATATTACCTGGCTAAGCAAACCAAATGGAGCCTCCCTTATTTCAGGTAGAAGATTGAGTAGTCACCACGCCGGCGTAAAACCAGCAGGTGAAGTGGCCCGTTTTATGGGGAATAATATAATCTATGGTTGTATTTTACGAAAAAATGGACATTTGTACTAACTTAACAATTCAGTAATCCTTAGCATTGTCGAGTTATAAAGTTCAATTCATTAAATACAAAGAATATATATATATATATATATACAAAAACAATAAACTTATCCTTGTGTTTGTATAAATTACCTATTTCTACCCCCGTCTTTGTATAAATTTATCCTTATTTTATGTAAGGTAGTAAAAAATTATGGAAAATAATACTCTTTTTTGTGATGTTGTATGAAAAAAAAGTCATTAATCACCAAAATAATAATTATTAAATAATAATTATTAAAAAAGAAAAATAAAACGAAATCATACATGTATGTCCACAGGCCTTGCACATAGATCAAACATTGTCTTCTTTTTTTCTTCTACTTGTTACTTTCAACTATTAATTAATTATTTTTAAAATCAATTTTCTTTTCTAAAATTTGGGACAAATTATTTGCAATGTTCTTTTAGTCTTTGTATTAAGTAGCATATTCAAAATTATAATACTCTTATTTAAAAATTATAAGAATCTATCGTTGTATAGATTTATTTTTTTAAAAGAAATTAATGATAATTTATCCAAAATCCAACCTCAAAAAAAATTATTATATTTTATAATAGATAAAATTTCCTAGAAAGGAAAAGAAAAAAGTAATTAAATAACAATTTTTCATAAGACATTACAAATCAAAGGAACAAATTTTAAAAAATGAAAGTAATATAATTTGAAATATATATTTAGTTTAAAATCTAAAAATATAGAATAAATATTTATTTCTTGTAAGGTTTGTATAGATAATCCAAAAAAATGATTATTAGTTTTCCATATATATTTATATAATGATAATAATAATTTAGAAAAATATATTGAAAAAATGAAAAAAAAATCAAAAACAAAAACCATGCATGCGCTGTTGGACTTGGAGAACTAGGCCCTCGCACATATAGGCTAGACAAACGTAGGCCTACAATCATTAATTAGAATTACAAAAAAGAGAGAAAGAGAAGGCAGACGGCGTGCCACCCGCTCCTTTAATTTTCGGCGATCAAACTCGTCAGAAAATGAAGAAAGACAGCTTTGGCATCTGAAACTCAATTTCTACCATATTTTTACCTCCAAACATCTTAAAATTATACTAAAACATGTTTTAGTCCGCTCTAAATTCTAAAAGAAAAAATGCAATAATATGATTTTATTTTATTTTATTTTATTTTATCAATCTCTCTCTTTCAATAGTTTGGGATGCTAGAATCATTAAAAAATAATAAATAAAAAAACTGCATTATAAAGAATATATAAACACCAAAATCTCTATATTCTATGCTCCGATCATAACTCGTCAAAGCTTTTTCTTTCCTCTTTCTTTTCTCTACATCTAAGAACCAAAATTTAAGATAAATAAATTGCTGAGACCATTATGTACAAACTTTAAATCAAAGGACCAAAATGAATATATATTTTTAAAAAATCACTATATATATATTTTTTTTTAAAAAAAAACAACCTCGTTAGACGTCTAGAATATCCTAAACAGTGTCCTTTTAATCCTGACGAATAACATAGTACAGTGCGGTATCCATAAGTCAAAAAAATCTAAAACTAGAGTGTTGCTATAGGGAACACCATGTTTTGTTAATTGCTAGGATTTGGTGGTAGGTTGTGTTATAAGCCCATTATGTTGTAACTGGACTACAAGCCCATGTTAGTAAGCCTCAGGCCTCAGGCCTGTTAACATATCCACGTGCATGTTTTGGCAAAATAACAAAAGAACACCACACCGGAGGCTGCAGACATAACGTAAATAAAAAAAAAGGAAAAAGAATGGGATTATTAAATTTGTATCCTTACTGGCTAAGTAATACTGTACTACAGAAACAGGACAGAAAGACAGAAAACAGAATCTTGGCATTTTCCTATACAACATTACATAGAGACGGGTGAAAGGAGAGAAGGGATCTTTAACACTTTTTGGACCACTTTCTTCACCTTCCGAGGCAACCGCAATTATTATTTTCAGCTTTTGTGTATGGAATGGAAGTATGGAACTCAAGTCGATTAAGCAACCAAAAAATATCTCTTTATATTAACAACTGGCTACTGGCTAGAGTCTTTCCGGTACAGGGAAGTACGAGAGTGATTGTGCATGTGCTTATTCTTGCCATTACAACACTAATTTTTTTAATGCATAAAGCTAAAGTTGTAAAATTACCTGTGAATTGTGGTGATGATGAATCCGGTTTTGCTTCGTATTTTTTTTTAATGAATAACAAGAGGAAACTGGACTGAACTTATTCAATTTGGAGGTCATCTACTTCCAGCTACTCTCGGATCAGAACTCTTTTTTTTGTTTTTCTCGAGTTTGAAATATAAAATAAAATAAAGTTCTCTTTAGGACTAAGGTTAGGTCCCCCCTAGTTGGTCCATTCACAGCGCTTTTCAGGCCTAGTCATAATAATACGCCTTAACTTTAGTCCCGAATCAAATTACTCCCTGCACTCAAAATTTTCGAATCTCGCCCCAAATCTCTGATTATATTGCAATGTACTCCGTCGATTAACCAACTTCAGGATTCTATCATCAATTGAACTCAAAGAATACTATTTAAAGTCTTTTCTATTTCTCTCTCTCTTATCTCATTATCTCATAAATAAATAAAAATCTCTCTTACAAACCAATATATATATATATATACAAAAGTGAAATAAAATAATTAGAAGAAGAAGAATCTATATTTGAAATTTGAATAACAGTTTGAGAAATTAATTCATTTGTAATGTAATTCTTTTTATGTTGTTATTACTATTTTGCGATTACTCTATATTTTATACCAAATTGTTACCGTACATTTAACTAAGATTGTGTTTTTTTTTTTGCTTGTTGTCTTGATTTTTATAAAAAAAAATATTGCTTTTGAATATTATTTTTTTCATGATATTGGGTTTTTTTTTTTTTTTTTTTTGAAAGAGAAAGACACATAGAGAAAAATCAAAGATGAAGTAATAGTTTTTTTTAGGTTTTTATTTAATTATTAGTCCATGAAAAATAAAGAAAATGAATTCAGAGCTTTATATATATATATATATATATATATATATATATATATATATCTTCCAAATATAAATTATATTCAAAAAAAATATCTCAATATATTATAGTACAAAATGTTAACAAAAAGAAGTGGTGACTAATGGGAAGGAACGTACACGTTCCTCAAACTAATTTAATTTAAGGGTGAAATTCTGGGATTTTTTTAATTCAAGGGATTAATCTAATAAGGGTTAAAGTTCAGGGAGCATAGTTACAATAAGGCTCATTTTTCGGGTAGCTGATGAAAATATCAGTCTCGAAAAGAAAGGTGAAGCGACCACTATGTTCACAAATGTTCCAAAACTTGTAGCTTCCTTAATCCACCAAGCTCCAATCAAATCCACAAGACGCAGACACGTGTCCTTCACCTTCCCCCTTTCAACTTTAACTTTTTCTCTTTTCTTAAGCCCACAATCTCTCTATCTATTTCACTCTCTCAATGGAAAGCCATTACTTGTTTATTTAGTCTATCTGAGCTTATGTTTTTTACCTATATAAACCCCTTTCCTCGCTCTTGAACCCCTCCATGCCAAACCACTGATTTTATTTTCTTTACAAATTGGGTACAGCCTCAAGATCTCCAAAAGCTTGAGCCCTGCTATTTCTTTTTATTTTTATTATACTTTATTCCATTGTTCTTTTCTTTTGGTGTTTTCTGCAGTTGTATTCTTGAAACAATTTTATAGAAACCCATCAATAACGATGAAGAACAAAGCAAGTGGAATCTTGAAGCGGATAATGTCAGTGTTGACGTCAATGGCCAAGGCTAAAACTTTGGCTCTCAAGAGCAAAACCAATGCCTTGAGGACACGGTTGATCGTATTCTCTCTACTCAGAAACAAGAAGATTATGATGAGCTCTATCACTCAGAAGCTCCATGCTCTGATGGGACAGCATGACAAAGATCAAGAAGCAGAATCGGAATATTTAGATCAAAGCAAGGATTTGGTGCTCCATAACCACAACTCTTTGTCGTCCCTCCCCAATTCTACTCACACCGAGTTGATGGAGAATGTTGCAGAGGACGACCGGGATAATATTATTGGTTATGACTGTGAAGAAGCTCGCGATGATGATGAAAGGTATCCAGACCTAACCCACTCGTTGTTTGAGTCTGAAGATTTAGAATTTGAAGATGCAGGAGGGTCAGTGATAGATATGGTAAAGAATTCAAAGCAAGAAGGGGAGATGTTCAGCTTGGAAGACGAGATAGACCATGTGGCAGACTTGTTCATAAAGAAATTCCATCGCCAGATGATGTTGCAGAAGCAGCTATCCATGAAGAGGAGGTATCACGACATGCTTCAAAGGGGTGTCTAACTTTAGTACTTTAGAAGCTTTAAAGCGAAGGTTAACCATAAATGGTGAAAATATATATATTCGTACGTACGTAGCAGCCTAAGTTTTTGTGGCTACAACATCCAAATTCTGTACTGGAATGGGAACGGATTTTCGTTTGTTTTAGTAGGTTTTTTCAGATTTTGTAGTTTGTCTTTCATGCTTAACTCACTAATAAAATTAGAAATTCCAGATTTTATCAAATCATTTCCATGTGTTGCCAACAACCAAAATCATATACCGTACTTTACATGTACAGCACCCTAAAAAAATCTAACACGTACAACAGAAGAATGTTTATTCTTTTTTTTTCTCTTTACAAAAAATTAAAAGCAGTGCGCAATTTATTATTGGTTTTTGCTGGTAATCAATAAATCACTAGAACAAAAGCGGGAAATTGTCATGTTGGGGGTCCCTGAATTTTAAGTAAGAAATTATGGAAACGGAGTTAAACTGCATGTTAAGAAAACCTATGTTTACAATGATATATATATATATATATAAGGGAAGCCTATGTTTACTTGAAAAGAAATTTTCAATTTTCTGTTAAACCAAATTGAAAAACAAATTAATAAATTATTTTCTTTTTTGGACTGCATGTTTTCTATTTTTTCAGATTTGTAGTAATTTGAAAACTATTAGATAAAAGTTTTTTCTCGACCTTTCCATTTTAAAAATCAAAAGTCCGAATCGATTGCCTTTTTTTTTTTTTTTTGGAGATAAATTAAAATGGTTCGCTTATTATTGTTCAATTTCATTGCAATATAAATCCAGTTTCTGCCGACATACTTTAGTGATTCGTAAATTCGTTGTAGGTAAAGGTTTTATTATTTATTATTTTATTTTTTTCTTTGTTCCTGCAGACTTCGAATTGGAAGTAGAGAAGGCATTAAAAAAGATGAAGAAAAAAATCCAGTAACACAATGAAGGCATTCTATATATATATATATATATATTTCTCAAAAAAAAAAAAAATGATAACAACAGATTTATCATGGAAAGGAAAAAACCGCATTTCCAAGGCTGCCCAGCAGCACCAATTTTGTTAGAGGTTACCGAACCTTCGACCTGCGCTCAACAGAAAAATAGTTAATTGAATCCCTTAAATCTGACATTTTGATATACAACAACCCTCCCGTTTTAATGCTGTTGGATTTAAAGTAAGATACGTTAATCGAGTGGTACGTTTCTTATTTATTGTATTTGACTTTGTTTTGCAAAATCAATAATTTAAAAAATAATAAAAAGTGTGTGCATATATATATATATATATATATATAGAAAAAGAAAAAGCAGTGACAGAGAAACTTAAAGTTTTGGGCCCTTTGACAACATCAGCGCTCCAGCCTTCATCAAAGGCTCGTTTCATGACAAGGTAGTTGGTACCAAGTGGACCTAGCCCAGTAACAAGTAACAAACGAGTTGGAGATTGTCCTTAATTTACGGGTTAATTACATTCCATGTCCCTCTATTATTGAGGTTTGATTAATTAAGTTACTCTACTACTAATAATATAATTAACGGAATTCTTTTACACTGTTTTCACATAAAATTAGGACTTTTCGTTTATAATGTTGTTAAATGTAGTTTTTTTGGACTTATTGGATGCGCAATGCGTGTCTATGTATAAAATTTGACATAATTTTCAACTTTTTAAAGCAAAAGTTGGCTTGAAAAAAATGAAAGTTCATTTTCAAAAATTCAAAAGAAAAGAAAAAAAAATATATATTTTTTAAAAAATAGCCCCGTGAAACATCATTTAAAAATTAAGAATTTTTTAAGAAGTTAAATTGTTAGTGGAGGGTTTTTTGGGATTTTTTTACATTTTAATTTTTTTATGTTGGTTTTATATATTTTTATAATATAAATATTTAATTTTATTTTTCAATCATTTTTTTCTTTTAAATATGTGAAAAAATGTAATTTATATACTAATAATTTAAAATTCTTCTATTTTCTTATTTTTTTGAATGTTATTTTATGGGAGTAAATTTATTTTTAATATTTTTATTTCTTTTCAATTTATAAAATGAAATCTCATTTTTTCAAATAATTGTTTGATTAAAAAAATTAAAAGTCATATCGAATTGAGTACATATACACATGTCACACATCCAATATGTCAACAAAAAAAATAAAAAATATACGAGGTTGTTATTTACACACAAAATATATTGTAAAGGGACTCATTAATCATATTAATAATAAAAAGACTCAACTAATCAAATCTCGATAGTATAAAAACGGTGAGTGCAACTAACCCATTAATTTGCAATTACATACACTTGAATCATGCACTTTACGTAACCCTCTCCTAAAGAATCTATCACCTCAAAAATCAAACCTTCTATTATTATGTCACAATGAGTGTTTAATTTGGTTGAGTTAATTCACTCTTTAAATTTTCTTCCTCTAATCGAGGCTAGTCATTATTTAAGTTTCATTATTCACTTTGTTTTACATTTAGTAGAGTTAGTCAAATGTCTTAATTCCCTAAAGTTGAGTTAGTCAACAACTAGTGGCTATAGTAGGCTAGTGTTTGAGCTATTCTTTAGCTATCCATTCTCTAGCAGTTTAGTTCCAATTTTCTGGCTTAGTGGATACGTGATGTTTAAGTCTGCAAGCCTATAAATTCTACAAGTCTTGAATGAAATAAGTGGGGGAGGAAGATTCCCAAAAAACTAATAATTAAAGGATACCGTCTATAATTCTTTCTTGTTTGTTAATTTCTGTCAGCAACACAGCATGAGGTAGAGGATGGGGTCGAGGAGGAGGGCTGGGTCTTGACAATTTGGTATCAAAGCCAGGTTTGGCGATGCCTGATGATCAACGACTTCAGCGATTTGAAGGGCAGGTGAAGAACTTGAGTACAGGGCAAGAAAGACTTCTTAAACAGACGGAAAAAATTGGTGTTGGCAAATGAACTCTGGATAAAACGTGTCGAAAGAAGGTTGCGAATCTTGATTTTCCTTGTGGATTTGTCAAGAAACTACTTTGGATGATCAAACTAGACTTAGAGCATATCATTTAGAGAAGGAAGCACAATTATGGTATCACCGTTGCAAGAACAAAGGGCACTTAGTCACTTGGAAAGGTATGAAAGCAGGTCTGTTGGAAAGGTTTGCAGTCACTGACCATGAAGATTTCTTTGGTGACTTATGCAAACTAAAACAGATAGGTTTTTGGATGAAATTTAAACTAAAAAAATTCAAAAGTGCTAATATAGTTATCAGAAATTGAATTTTCGATCCAAAATTAAAAAAATAAGTTAATATTATTAAAAAAGTGTAAAGTTAATAATTTTTTTTCCGATACATTAATCCTTTTTAACAAGACTAGACGAAAACGGGTAACATTGAAAACATTTAGGAATCGAGGACAAAGTTGGTTCTCCAAATCGATAAAGGGTAAAATTGGGAAGGAACTACCAGGTGAGGTGAATTTTAATAGTTGATTCTCTCTCCTTTGCATGCATTTTTTTATTTTTTATTTACGAAGAAACCCTGCCCTTCCTTAATTAATTAAGTCTCTAAGCTTCGGGTTTGGATATTGGAAAAATAAACGATAGGATTTGAATAAACTGTCGAAGGAGAATTGGAAAACTTCCCTTCTTTGTTTTCCTCTGCATCTGCCAAAACTGAACTGCGAAACCCTATCGCAACAGCAAATCCAAATTGGTAACTAGTAATTATGTATTTTCTTATGTTTATTAGTAGAATTCGTTTTTCACTGCCTTCACGAAGAAAAGGGTTGCAATTTATTTGTTTATTTATTTATTTTTTTTATGTATTAGGTTTCACTCATAATCTTCAGTTCCATTCATGGGAGATGTTAACAGAGAGAATCAGTTCCAAATTTCAATGAGCGCACCACCTGTTGATGAACTCACTGGTACCTTAATTCTCAGCTGCATTTACTTTATCTGATTGCTGATTTCAATTTTGATTTCCTTAATCGGAAATTGAGTTTAAATTTTATAACCGGGCCTGTTCTGCTTCTTATTTCATTATTTATTTTATGTTTGTTAGGTCTTGCCCGTGTTTGTTTTTTTTTTTCCGAATAATTCTGACATTGAGTCTTAAGACTAGACTACTGCTAGCTTGTGATTGAATGAATTTTCATGATTTAATATGTTCTTATCCTTTAGTATCTGAGGCGGCGGGAGATGACGTGAAAAAGACATCTAGAGACCAGAGAAAAGCACTGCCTGGGGAACCTATATGTGTTGTTTGTGGCCGCTATGGTGAGTATATATGTGATCAGACTGATTCTGATATTTGCAGCTTGGAATGCAAACAAACTCTGTTAGGCAGGGCTGCCGACACCCACCTCCCAGTTGGTCTCCCACCTCCTAAACGAGTAGCTGCAACTGATGAGTGCTTTTATGTTAGAGATTCAGAATCTTCATCTTTAACTGGTGATCAAACGGAATTGTTGAGGAGAAAACTTGAAATCCATGTGAAGGGAGACTCAGTTACAGATCCCATTTTGTCGTTCTCTTCTTGTAATCTTCCTGAGAAACTCCTGCATAACATACAGACTTTAGGATATGACATGCCGACCCCAATACAGATGCAAGGAATCCCGGCTGCTTTGACTGGCAAAAGTCTACTTGCTTCTGCTGACACTGGCTCGGGGAAAACTGCTTCCTTTCTGGTTCCTGTTGTTTCTCGTTGTGCAATGTTTCGGCTTGATAACTTATCTACAAATAAAAAGCCACTAGCGATGGTTTTAACTCCAACTAGAGAGCTTTGTATACAGGTTGAGGATCAAGCTAAGTTGCTAGGAAAGGGTTTGCCTTTTAAAACTGCTCTTGTGGTTGGCGGTGATGCCATGGCTAAACAACTCTACCGCATTCAGCAGGGTGTGGAACTGATTGTGGGAACTCCTGGCAGGCTTATTGATCTTTTAACAAAGCACGATATTGAACTAGATGACATAATGATGTTGGTCCTGGATGAGGTGGACTGCATGCTTCAAAGGGGCTTTCGAGATCAAGTTATGCAGATTTTCAGGGCTCTCTCACAACCCCAGGTCTTGATGTATTCAGCTACAATATCACAAGAGGTAGAGAAGATGGCAAGTTCTATGGCAAAAGATGTTATATTTGTTTCCATTGGCCAGCCTAACAGACCGAGTAAGGCTGTGAAGCAGCTGGCTATCTGGGTGGAGTCAAAGCAAAAGAAGCAAAAGCTTTTTGACATATTGATGAGCAAGCAGCATTTTCTACCACCAGCAATTGTATATGTGGGTTCCAGACTGGGGGCAGATCTCCTATCTAATGCAATCACATTCACAACTGGATTGAAGGCTCTATCAATTCATGGGGACAAGTCTATGAAGGAGAGACGAGAGGTAATGAAGTCATTTTTGGTTGGCGAGGTTCCTCTGGTTGTGGCTACTGGGGTTTTGGGTCGGGGAGTTGATCTCTTTGGCGTGAGACAGGTAATAGTGTTTGACATGCCCAATTCCATTAAGGAGTACGTCCATCAGATTGGGAGGGCATCACGAATGGGAGAGGATGGTACAGCAATTGTGTTTGTTAACGAGGAGAACAAGAATTTATTTCCAGATATGATTGAAGTTTTAAAATCTTCTGGAGCTGTGATTCCTCGTGAGCTTGTTAATTCAAGGTATGCTATGCGTTCTTTTCCCACAGGCAAGGGCCAGAGAAAGCGAAAGTATGGTTCCTGAATTTTTAGAATCTTGGTTATTTCACTGGCTCTATTTGATTGACACACATGAAAAGTCTAGTCTATTGTTGCAATCTGAATTCCTTGGCTTTGCTGGGTGCATGGACCAAGTAAAACTTGCTTCCTTGAGAGCAGCTTCATAATTGCTCAGTGGAGCAAGAACCTTCTTCCTTGAGTTTGCAAGGAAAATGTTCCAGAGGGAGAAGCGGCCTGCATAAATAAGCTATAGCTATGCAGCAAGTTGTAAAGCACGGTGAATGACTATTTCCATAGTCCAAAATCAATTCCTCATGCTGCTAGTTGTTTGTCGGGTTTACTTGCTCATTATAGGAGGACAATGGACATTAAGAATTGCGTGAGAAGATGTGCTGATATTATTCCCCCCAAGCAATTGAAACATGCATAATCTATGCTTTTCAGGGGAAACTTTGGAAGCCACTGTACCATCGACTAAAGCATTTTGGTTTTTGGTGGTTATGCTTGAAATACTGGGCCAGTTTCAATGTTGTCGTGAAAATATTTTCAGGAAAGATCGAGATCAAAATGATTACAATGAGGACCTTAAGTTTCTGGCTCCGCAACGTTGACTTTGAGTATGTTTTCTAGTTGAAGAGTAAAGGACAGTAACTTTAAATGATTTTGCTGAAGCTGAAGTAGCCATAACATTAACATGGACACCAAGTTGTTCCTGCTGGTGTTTATATAGTTTTGGATTCTCTCTTTTTGTTCAAAAATTAACTGCTAATGGAAGTTTGGCAACTCTCTGGTTCGAAATTCTCACATGGAATGTTGGTACAAAAAATTGAACATGTGGACGTTGCATATGGCTATGGACCAGACGAAGAGTACAAATCTCAGTTTAAATTTGGAGTATCAGTGGAAAAAACTGCAGCGTAGTGATCAAACATGATTTGCTGGTCAGGAAGTGTGCTGTTTCTGAAGTTGTTTGGGTTGCAAATGACGCAAACAGGGTATATTTATGGTTTTCAGCTTGTTTGGCTTTGGCCACGATTTGCATGAAATAGAGGCACTGTATTCCAAAATAGTATTTTTTATATTTACTAAAGGGAAAAGCTAGTAATGACTTGGTTTAGTAGATAGTTTAGATACGAAACAATGAAAGTGGAAGCCAGAATAATTTTGCATTGAATACAAATCTGCCTAGAACATATTATTTAGCTCCAGATTTGAGTGGTGGGATTATAGCTCTTGAACTCTTTTTGTTGTGACAATTAGGTCCTTGTTTGTGTGTGGTGTTAGCTTTACCTTTCCTTCCCCTGGCCCGCTGATAGGGCGCACAACATCCCTAACGAAAGCACATTTATCTGCGATTGGCTTCGTTGATGGCAGTGATTGCTGTCGTACATTTCGCTGCCACCAAAATCGTTGATTTAGGACTGGCAAATCATTTTGTGGCCCATTGATAGAAAGTGCTTGAAATCTTGGATATCTCAATGGGCCACCGCGTAACCGAAGGAAGAACAGTTTGAGCGCGGGTCCACACGCCCCAATACAAATAAAATAAATCAGGGAGTGCGGACACGCGTCGCGAGGTCATTTATCTTCGAAGATTCACCTTTCTAGCAGTGGTCGCTAACCTAATAAATAAATAGTATATAGAAGAATGAAATTTAGGGAAGGAATTGGTCAATAGTATTTCTTTTATTTTATTTTTCTTTGAAAATACTTCAAACGTTTTTTTCTTTTAAAAAAAAAATCCATATGTAGATTGTTAATGTTAAAAGATATGAGAAGTCAGACTTTGTTATAAAATAAATAGAAATAATAGGAGAATTGAAGAAAAGGATGACAAGAAAATGAAATCACTATAATATGAATATAAGTGATAAGAACTTCAAAGTTTCTCTTATTCTCTGCAGAAACTTGTACACCAACTAATGGACAATCAAGCCTATTTATAGGCTTCAAAATTGAGGAGAGAATTAGAAAGGATCTATGAATGATCAATTGCATCACCCTTTCAATTTCTCATAATGAATGATGAATTGAATCATATTAAGAATCATGAGTAGTGGAGATATGAAAAGTGGATGAACATGATGATGGACATTCATTATTTCATAACAGTACTTAATATTTTCTATGATATTTGATTAATAGTACCACAGTAACTAATTGTTTCTTACATAAAATGTAAATAAGTTCAATCCCAACACTCATGATTATTAAATAAATATCAAGAAATCAGTATTGAAAATGTATATATATCGTGAAAGAGATAACAAAACAAATATGTTAGTAACCATACGATAGTTTGTTTGTTTTGCTTTCAACTCCCTCCCACATAACGTCATCAACCAACAACGCGCACGATTTTAACGAGTCAATACTTGAAACTCTGCCCATATTTCCAATCTCTTCGCTTCATTTGCCATACAGATCAAACAAATTCTTTTTCTTCCCGTAACAGGTGATTTCTCTGTTTACTTCTTCTTTCTCACTTTCCATCTCTATTTTCTGATAAGATTTCTTTCTCTCTTTTTAACTGGTAATCATACATATATTATTAATATATAATTGAAGCAACATGTCTTGTAAATTAGATCAACTTCTCTCGTCAATCATCAAATTCATCGTCTCTTGATTGTTTTCTTATCTGTTAAATGTTAATGATTTTTGTTAATTTTTTCTTCAAAAAAAAAAAGAACTCTTAACAGCCAGTTCAGTTGTGGAGAATTTATTCTGTGACATAAGGTGAAGAAGCGGTTGGTGGTTGCGCGGTTCCAGTATGAGAAATGGAACATGGAGCGTGGGTGAATCTTCCAGCTCAACTTCCTTGAGCAGTCAGCAAGATATTGATGATGATCGAATGATTGCTCTTGTATTGACGGAGGAGTATGCTAACCTGGATAGAGGAGTCGCTAAACGCCTTTCAAACCTTGCACCTGTTCCTGTAAGATACCTAATTTCCTTAATGACTTCAAATTTTTTATTTATTTTTTAATTAATGAATTTCATTCGACAATAATTTCTGGAATGTTTAGTTAGAAAAAGTCCTGATTTATGATTTGCATGATCTATCTGATTCGCACATTTCAAATCGGTGATGATGCTGAACTTTGATAAAATTTTGAATGTTCAGCATGTTCCGCGGATAAATTCCTACATTCCCAACCTAAGTGACGCCAGTTTGGATCATCAAAGGCTTATTCAAAGGTATGTCCTGCATTTGGTAACCAGGCACCAAAAGGCAGATAAATGCCTTTTTTTTCACGATTATGATAAATGAGAACCTTTTTTTCTAGGTTTACTCTTGATGCTTGATTTCTGTTTGAACTTAAGTAAAAAGTTGTTGATTCTCATTTGAAGGACCTATGCATAGGATTTGATATACGCTTCACCATACAGCTCTTAACTATAGCACTAGGGGGTTTATTGGGTCCATGCTGGAAGTTGGTAATTTAGAGAAATTAAGGTAGGCTGTCCATCTATGTTCTGAGAGTTCATCTTGGAAAGATAAGGTGAATCTCATTTATGAGCTTCAAGCCTTTAGTATCACACTGAAGACAGTTGGTAATATCAAAAAGCTGTTGGCGATATCAAAAAGCTTTTTCCTTTCATCTTTTCCTTTAAAGCACTACTAGTTTAGCTTGGGGTCTCGTTGGGTGAATGCTAGAAATTGTGATTATGCAGATGCTTAGAGATTTTTTGTTTTTCTTGCAGGCTAAATGTTTATGGTTTATGTGAAGTGAAGGTTTCTGGGGATGGAAATTGTCAGGTATTTGACTTTAAAAGTCATGTGGAAATGTTTTTTCACTCTTGGCCCAATGAAATGGTAACCCTTTGACCAATTTCTCCCTTCCTCCTTTTTGCAGTTTCGTGCACTTTCAGAGCAGATGTTCAAGTCACCTGAGTATCACAAGCATGTTCGAAAGGAGATTGTGAAACAGGTGGGAGTTCTTTGAAGTGCCTAATAGATTTCTCTGAAAGATGGATTTGGTTCGTTAAAATCAGGATTAATTTGGCTTTGGGTTTCTAATCTAAAAATTTGTGATGTGGCCTTAGTGCTTTTGCTGAGTGAAGAACTAAACCAATCTCTTGTTGCAATATAGTAAAGGAATGATATATAGATGTTTGATGAGATGTGAACTTAGTCTGAGTACAGGAATTTGAGGGGAGGGTGAAATGGCAACTAAGGACATGTTGTTGCCTTCATTACTGACACATATCACATCCCTTTCCACTGGCTTTGCTGTTGGTGCTGCTAAGTTCCAGCTTTAGAACCATGCCAATAGTTCTGATGTTACCACCATTACTACCACCTCCTCTATTGGCCTCTCTTCCCCATATCATGCAATGTTTTGTCTCACATGTGTTAGCAGCATACTTGAGTCGCAACCACTAACCAACCTTTAAGTTATACAATCACCACCATCACCTTCCTTCAAAAATGAGTACTAGTTTGCCATTTCAACTATTTTAGGATATCGTTTGGCAGCTGCTGTGCAGGCATGATACCAATACTACCTTAACATCTTTGGCACTTGACCAGACTAGCACCATACCACATTTCCTTAGCTCATCAAATTGCTTGTAATCTTCAAACATCTGATAGTTAAGCCAGTTACTTCGTTGCTGATAATACAAACACCCACAATGCAGCACCTTCAGTCATCTCAATCTTTTGCATGCCTCTAGTTCCTCACTGCTGCTGCAATCACCATCACATGCCTCTCACTATCAGCAGGACTGCTTTCTCCTTGTACAATTTTGAAGATCTTAACCCAGCTGCCATTTCAAGCTGCAAATCTCTTTAAATCTCAAGTATTTTGAAGAAGAATATCATAACTAAGATGGCTTTTCCTCATAACAAAAATTTTACACACTCATATCTAGTTTCAAGATCTGCAATTTAGTACAAATTCATGGTCTGACATAGGAAGTTCAATATGTTGTGGCTTAACAAATTTTAGTTTAGCAGCAGCCAAAGAGTTTAGCCATGTTTTCAAGTCACAAGACCTAACAGTGAAGGCTAATGTTGTTTTATCTTTCTTTTTGGTTCATTTTCCGGTTCTAGTTGAAAGATCACCGCTCATTATACGAAGGCCATGTCCCAATGAAGTATAAACGTTATTACAAGAAAATGGCAAAGTATGTTGCTTCCTTGAGAATCATTTACTTCCTTTGTTTTGTGCAATTGACCTTTGCTTTGTGGTTGCTTCTACGTTGTGTTTTAGTGTTTTTGTTAGTGATTTCAGTTTTCTTCTTGTAATAACTGCCTAATGCAGATCTGGTGAATGGGGGGACCATGTTACCTTACAAGCAGCTGCTGATAAGGTCTAGTATCTTTGTTTCAAACAGTTATGAGTTTCTTCTGTGCACTAGTTTGGTAATTATGATGCTTCATTGGGGTGTTAGAGGACTAGACCATTGTTTTAACATTCTTTACTTGAAATTATTGTGATGAGAAACATGGATAATATATTCAATCATGTGGTTCTCAGTTCCTCCTTCCGAGCTAATGCTTTTCTTTTGTCCTTGATCTACTTATATCAAGAGGTAAACATAGTTCCTCCGTCTGATGGCGGATAAGCTAAGCTACCCTTTAACTGCTACAATTTTGTTGCTTCTGGAATACAGTTATTCAGATTATCATTATTGAGGACTTTAGTAATAATATGGTTATCTGATATTGGATAAACGGTTGATGGAATAACAACAAGATAGAGGAAGTAATACTGCAAATAATAGCCTTTTCTCCCATCTAGGTTAATGTATTTTAAATCTTTATCCACCTAGCAAAACTCTGCTTGAAATATTGTGGATGGGATTTGAGATTTAATTGGGTGTTTTTATGACGTCTTAATTAAAAATAATAGCATAGAGACTTTCTCCCTCAGTTCGACTCTCTTGTGCTGCCTAGGATTGACTTTTTGCTTGTTTCCCTAAAGGATTGATTTTATACAAGTTCTTGACTGTTAGTTGAAATTGTTTTAGGGCTTCCATAGTCAATTCACAAACATCTTGTTGTGTTGTTATGTACCATGGGGTCACAGTCTTCAACTTAATGGAATATAAGTAGAAATTAGTAGTAGATCATGAAATATGCAGCAGGAGAAAATTGGCCAATGGAGGTCCAAGGGAAACATTTGGTTACATATTGGGTGTAACAGTAGAGATCGTCACACTGCAATTCTCTGAAGCTGGAACACGGAAGAAAAGATGTTATTTTGATGGCACAGATTATTCAATATTTATATTAATAAACACATGCACTCCAATGCTTAAGTAGTGTAAATTTCTTCTGAAATTTTGTCAAGTTAAATGCCCCATTTTTCCTGTGGGCTTCACATTAAGTTATATTGCTAAAGTAGTACCATTTGGCATAGGTCAGCATTAGTGTTTATTATATTTTTGGTTGTTTATATGCAGTTTGCTGCGAAGATATGCCTTTTGACATCTTTTAGAGATACCTGCTTTATTGAAATTATGCCACAATACCAGCCACCTAAACGAGGTATGAACTGGCTCTCTGTAGGCTGTCATAAAACCTGATATAGATGGTATTAACATTCTACTTGCGTTACTTTTACAGAGAATCAATTCTCTCTGAAGTTGAAGTTTTCGAGTGTTGAGTTTGTGTTCAAGTTAAACCTTTATAATTTAATCCAACTGACTTTTCTGCAGGATTTATAATTTTTTTGCTTCCTGCAACTCAAGAGCAGGCAATAAAAGCCTATCAGCTCTGAAAACTAAATTGAGCAGCTCAGCAGCCCATGTTAAAAAAAAAAAAAAAAACATTACAGGAGCTTAGTCCCAAAAAAATTTCGAGTATCATTTTGGTTTTCGTAAAAGTTGAGAAAAATGAGATTTGATAGGATGTTGTGGTACCTTCCTTTGATGCCAATGTGTACTTCTGGCTAACTTCTTTATATTGTTGGATACGCAGTAGCAAAGATATGAAGAGGCCTTACAGTTCTAAATTTGAAATTGGGAAATCATTTATCTTTAAACATCCTTTTTTTTTATTATTAAAAATGCTCTAACTGCCTTAATGGACTTGGTATTTTTAGCAATCTTGTTTACTTTTTTTACTCCTTAATGGTGCAGAGTTGTGGTTGAGTTTCTGGTCCGAGGTACACTACAACTCATTGTATGAAATCCAAGGTTCGTTTAAATAAATAAAATAAAATTTAAATTTAAATTCTTTTAGGTGTGATTTTCGTCTGGTTTTGTGGTCTTAAATGAAAAGGCGCAGTTTAATTTTCTACTAAGATGCCTAGTTCCCATTTCAGATGCCCCGGTTCCACGGAGACCAAGGAAGAAACACTGGTTGTTCTAGATGAAGCAGATTGTTGATTTTGGTATGACAATTGGGATCATTTATAAAGTTTTGCTACTGCACATATTTCTGCCGCATGAGTTACATCAAATTTTCATTATTTCACATCTTTCTTATAGAAACTAAATTTTTTATTTTTTTTGTAAAGTTGTTGAGTTTGTTTTGGGTTTTAAGAGGATTGTCTTGACATTTTCTAACTACTGATGCATTGGGATAGGACTAATATTGTAATATTGACACATTACAATAGTATATCTTTTTTTATTATTATCCAATTTCAGCTTGTTACAAATAGGAGTATGGTGATTTTGAATCTAGATGTGTTGCAGAATCAGTTAAATAGTAGTAGTAGTCGACAATGTAAAATAATAAGTCTAATTCCAAGGAAGGGTTATCGGAATTGAACCTAGAAAAAGCAGAAATAGAAGAATTGAGCTGACAAACATCAAAGAGCTAAAATGGATAGCAAGATGAGCAAGAGAAGTTTTATTTATTTAAGTTACAGTGGTGCAAGATCCACTGAAATTGCTTAGGTAGTATTTGTATTGGGAGTTGTGTCGTATTTCTAGCGTTGGATCGCTTGAATCCAGCTTCTATTTGCAGAGACGATCAGGTTAGTGAGTGGCAAGCAAGCAAACTGGCGAGATCTTAGACAAAACACGTTCTATATATATTATATATAGTCCTATAAGAGAGATTAATTGCAATCTATTGTTAAATTCCTGAAGCTCTGATTAATAACATTAACTTTGATCAGCATTGTTTGATTCCGTATTTTGCTGGTATCCATCTCCTGGAAGAGGCAGAAAAATCAGTTGCTGGGGATGCCCCGGGCTTCAGGCTTTAGGCATAATAAATAAATTACCTATTAATTAACAGCACAGCAATCGGTGCCTCTTTCCAAGAAACATAAACAATATGTTTTTGTAAACGTTTTATCTCATTGATCAAAGCAAGTCACACAACCAGTTCACATGCTCTGATCCATCTGTCTACTCTCCTGAATTGTTTATTCTTCAATTTCCTCTTTTGGTAGATTGATTGATTATGCATTCTGACCTTACTGGTTTATATTAAGATTAAAGGATAAACAGGGTACAAATTTCTAAAAATAATGGAAGTAAGGGCATCACGTGAGCTATGACTCTTTACAACAGTGCTTGGACTTAACGTGGAATTGTGTAGTAATTGAAAATGTTACTTATCCGCTTGGTCTGTGCAAAACCTTACTTACAACTTAATCCTTATACTTTTCAATTTTTTCATATATTTCTAAATGAAAATACAGTGATCGCCACCCCATAATTTTCTTATTTCTTATCATTCAATAAAATTTGCCTGCTTAACAAACATTTTCTAGAAAAAGATTGTTACATATGTTGTGGAAAACAAGAAAGAGAGAGTCGTTTTGTCTTTGGAGTTTTGCAAAGGCGACCTAGAATAATTCGTATCACGCACATGAGGAGTCCATTGAATACAGAGAAACTGACAGTAAAAGCCATCGCAGCCACCGGCCTGATTGTCTTTGATTGCTAGTAGTTTTATACGTGCCCAACTGTCTATGGACCTCTCTCTGCAGTCAAGAGAGAGCTTACGGCTACACCACATGTGGCCATGACATGTTCAAGTCATGGACAGAATGTGGCTTCCCAATTAGATCCTAGTAATGTGAATTCGTTAACTAGGTTGTCCAAATTTAAACGTACGTGGCTCCCTATTCAACTGCTTTTCCTCTGAATTTATGGTAATTGGAAATGTTGTTGTGACTATCAATTACACACTAAGTTGGATTCCTCTCATTACTGACACATGATGAGGTGGGCAGGCCGAAATATCTTCTTTTTCGACTGGATGAGAAAGGATATTTCTGAAGTTGTTTATAATAATAATAAACTGCTCTTTACCTTGCCCGAGGGGTGTCTATAGACTGACTATAAATATGTGCAATAGGAAGCACTATGGAACATGTACTGAGGCTTCTTGTCTCTCACAATCCGACTAGAGATGGCTTCTTTTCTGTGGACTGTATGCTTAAGCTTCCTGCTTTTAGCTACTGTAACCAGAAGTGCTACGCCAAAAAAAGCTGTGGATGTGCCATTCAGCCGCAACTATATGCCTACTTGGGCTTTTGATCACATCAATTACTTCAATGGAGGTTCTCAGATTCAGCTCAAACTAGACAAATATACAGGTACTATCCATTTTTTTGAGAAAAAGAAAAATCTCTCTTATAATTATCTACTTCTATGTATTAACTCTCATGTATATATGTGCATGTACACAAAAAAGGGACTGGATTTCAATCCAAAGGTTCTTATCTGTTTGGTCACTTTAGTATGCACATAAAGATGGTTCCAGGGGATTCCGCTGGAACTGTGACTGCATTCTATGTAAGTACTGCTTCCTTTTTTTAAAGTAATTTTGCGAATCTGAAGTAGAGTAGGCTTGTTTGTTGATTGTTCCCTGTTTAAGTAATTGGATTTCAGTTTGAAAGTCTTGGATTATTTCATCGTGTGCAGTTATCTTCTCAAAACTCTGAGCATGATGAGATAGACTTTGAGTTCTTGGGTAACAGAACAGGACAGCCCTACATCTTACAAACAAATGTGTATACTGGAGGGAAAGGAGACAAAGAGCAGAGAATTTATCTTTGGTTTGATCCTTCCAAGCAATACCATGCCTACTCTGTACTTTGGAACATGTATCAGATTGTGTAAGTGACCAAGTTCCGTTGCTGCTGGTGCTGCCATCTATTGATTCGTTCCGGAACACTTTAATTATGACTACCACCCACATTCTATTTATTCTTTTTTCCGTTCTGTTTTTGAGCAGATTCTTTGTAGACGATGTGCCTATCAGAGTGTTCAAGAACAGCAAAGATTTGGGAGTGCGGTTCCCATTCAACCAACCTATGAAGATATACTCAAGTCTTTGGAATGCGGATGACTGGGCGACGCGGGGCGGCTTGGAGAAGACAGACTGGGCCAAGGCTCCCTTCATAGCCTCCTACAAGGGCTTCCACATCGATGGTTGCGAGGCCTCGGTAAATGCCAAGTTCTGCGAGACACAAGGTAAGCGTTGGTGGGATAAGGAGGAGTTCAAAGACCTTGATGCTGCTCAATACAAGAGACTGAGTTGGGTTCGCAAAAAATACACCATTTACAACTATTGCACTGATCGTGTTCGCTTTCCTGCTCTCCCTCCAGAATGCAAGCGTGACCGTGACATTTAAACTTTCTTTAGCTAAAGAGCCTTCTACTTACAGTGAGTAGTACTGCAGCCATCTATTTGGACAGTAAAGGAGGATGCTGTTAGTCAGTTTCCTTCATTCAAATTATTAGAACAAGTTCTGCTATTTTTATTAATCCATTTGTTTGTATCATTATGTCTCTGTTGGATGATTGACTTTACTGATGCGTATGGAATGGATAATAATTTCTTCTTCTTTGGTGGGTGAGGCAGTGATTCCTGTGAAATGATGGCTTCCCCTAGTCACATGCTGAAGTGTGCTTTCTGATGATTCAATTATCATTTACTCGCATCCTTAAATCCTGCCACACAAACCGTAACTAAATACATTAGCATCTGCACCTACCGACTGTTGAAAATTGGATCTTTCCTAGAGGGGCGAAGTGCTAGGGGAGTTCAGAAAATGACATGATTAAGATGTATAAATCTCAATCAATGCATTTTTAAACTTGATTTTTTAATAACTGAAACCCTGTTTTTTAATATTTAATTTATGGACCCTATTCTTTCACCTTTTTCTGGGCATTAACATGTAGAGAAACTAGAGAAAGCCCCCTAATTTAGGGGACATCATATAATCCTTCTGCAACTCTGCATGTGCTTTAGTGCGACAACGATTTACAAATTTCATGGGCAGTGGGAACTGGGAAGGTGACGTCCAAGATTCTTGTCTCTATCTTAAGAATAGGAGCAGGTTACATCCTGCATGTGGGGTTTGTTTCTCAAAGACCTGAGCCCACCACCATATGATGGAAAAGCAGAAAAGATGATTCATGCAATCCCGCATCTAGTTATCGGACAAATATCAGCAGTAAAGAGAAAAATAAAATTGTCAAAAGAGGCAGTTCTCAGGTATTAAAGCAACAGAAAAGGGCGAAAAGAGCCGACCAACAATTATTTACCCAAACCAAAAGGCAAAAACTTGGATGCTGACTGCTGTTGCCTTTCAACTGATACTAAAACCCTGCATGCAAATATCAAAAAGCCACAAAATCTGACGGGATCATTCATATCAACTAAGATATAGTGGGGTTTGTTTATGGATAGGAAATTGATCACCATCGAAAAGTCTGGATGATTGCGAGTAGATTAGCAACAGACAAGCAGATCTAAGAATCATTTACAGAAAGTTCTATAAACAACCAGAATCTAGGGACTAAACAACATCGATTATGAGGCAGCCTGAAAATGAGAAGGCTGAAGCATGTGACCCAAATCCATTGTCAGCCTAATGACAACCTATTTTATTGCAGTCTAGGTCCATCCAAGCAGCCAGCACGCAAGGAATTTCTCGTTCCTTGGCCATTATGAACTCCAAGAAATGGCTGAATATGGGAAAAGGAGTTCGGTTTTTATCAAGATAAATGTTGAAGTTCAGACTTATTAGCTATCTGATTGAAGACTCTGCTAGTAAGTGTCTTAGTAAGAAAAAGTCCAGCTTCTATCAAAGCCTCAACATCCCAGTGCAATTTTTTAAAAATAATAATAATAATAAATAAATAAATAAATAAGACAGAAAAGAAAAGAAAATGGCCAGTGTGTAATGCAGAAAACGAAACTGCAATTAGCTTACTGGAGCAGAAAGCGCCCGACCATCGACTAGAAACTAAAAACATGAAATTGGAACAAAATAACAGAGTTGGAATATTGAAAAGTCGATCGTTGACACTTCTCTAATCTAGGGCAGTTCATTATCATAGTTATAGTCCTTTTGAAACATCCTACTGTAAGTACATCTGGAGAAGCTAAGTGGCCTGTGACACCACCAACTCTTTCCATCCTCATCTCATTCTACTCTCATCACTCAATTGAAATCATGCACTACGAAAGAGTAGATAGCTAATGTACACTGCCAAAAACTGAGAATATCTGCTACAAGATTGAATAAAAGAGAGACAACACCATAGGCATACGAAATAAAAAATCATGAAGATGAATGAACAAAAACTAACTCAGCAGAGGATGGTAATTGTTCTTTTTCTCTTGAAAAACATGGAAAATTGGAAAGCGTTCGTTGAAAAAAAAATGGATGGAAAGCCAGAGGCAAAGTGTGTCCAGAAATGCCATTTACATTATTGTAATCATCCAATGCCCATAAAACAGGCTTTTTAATATCTTACCTAATCCATATACGCTATGCACCAGTCAACCAGTGACATCTCTAACATCTAATCTAACCCGAAGACGCATAAATAACAATACAGTGATTTTCTTATTGTCTGAAGTTACAAGTTTATGAATAAGAGAAAAGAACTATGTAGCAGAGAATACTGATTTTAGGTTACACATCTAGCTTGATCCAGATCATGATTCAACCCCCTGTCATGGAAGTGGTAATAAACAAGGGCAAAATTTTTGAAATACTTTTTTTAAATATCCTTTTGAAGTGTCTTCTCTGATGAAATTCATTGCATGGGAAGGCTGCAGGGAAACTCAAAAGCTAGAACAACAATTTAAAGCAAATAATCAACTATGCAACAACAAGAGTAGTCAAGATATTCGTACAATGACCTTGTTCTTCTTGCCCGCAGATAAAAGTAGAACTTTTCCATCTACAATGTCTTGAGATTCAATTCTTTTAGCTTCACTATCAACTCTGCTGTTGTTCAAGTAAAGCCCTCCTTGCTTTAACAGACGGCGGGCAGCTGATTTACTATCAAGCAGACCAGCAGAAACAGAAAGATCAACAAGAGAGATATTGAGAACTTGGTCATAGGCCAAAGAACAGGAAGGCACATCTTCAGCAATGCCCTCAATGGTCTTCCAATCCAACTTGGTCTCAGCTCCAGGTCGCAAAGCCTCAGTTGCCTTGAGAGCCTCATTAAGTCCATCCTCCCCATGAACAAAATAAGTGACCTGTTCAGCCAGCTTCCTCTGAGCAGTGTTTGGGGCATAGCCAGGTCTCTTCATTTCCCTCTCCAACTCATCAATCTGCTCTAAATCCAAGAAAGTAAGTATCTTTAAGAACCTAATAACATCAGCATCCGGGACCGAAAAGAAGTACTGGTAGAACTTGTACGGAGATAACAACGATGGTGAAAGCCAAATGGCACCATCCTCTGATTTCCCAAATTTAGTGCCATCACTTTTCAATAGAAGAGGGAATGTCAGGCCATAAGCCACATCCCCATCTGGCTGAAGAATCTTTCTAATAAGTTCAGTACCAGCAGTTATATTGCCCCATTGATCACTTCCTCCAATCTGAACATTAACACCCTCATTTTGATAAAGATATAAAAAATCATAACCCTGCAAAAGCTGGTAAGTGAATTCAGTATAACTCATTCCTTGCTCTGATTCAAGCCTCTTCTTTACACTCTCTTTGCCCATCATAGTCCCCACCCTTGCAAATCTCCCTACTTGTTTCAAAAAATCAAGCAACATAACCTCTTTCCACCAATCATAATTATTCATAACCACAAAGAGAGAACTTGAATTCAAACGACTGACATCACCATTAACATTACCACTGCTATTCATATTCAAGATTCTTGAAACTACATCGGTAATCCCTTGTGTGTTTTTTTCTAAAGTATCAGCGTCAAGCTCAGGCCTTTCCAGGCTTTTGCCAGATGGGTCTCCAATTCTGGCGGTGGCGCCGCCAATCAAGGCGACAGCTTTATGGCCGCACCTTTGAAACCAGGAGAGAACAATTATTCCCAAAAGGTTACCTAAGTGCAAACTCTCAGCAGTTGGGTCAAAACCACAGTAAACTTTGAGAGTACTAGCTGTAGAGATAGACCTGAGATTGTCACTGGTGATGGATTCAAGCAAGCCCCTTTCTTCGAGGATGTCAACCACGCTGGAACGGCTGCGCATTGGGTGATTGGTAGTGAAGGCATTTTGCTGGGCTGACTGCAAGCACCTTATAGGGATGAAGCTAGGATTCTTATTACTGATGGGTCTGTGTAGTTTTTTGCAACAATTTGAAAATGGGAAGAAGAATGTTTTGCTGTGAGAGGAGTAAAGCAAGGTCCTTGCAGCTGCCATGGTTTTGGGGGAATTAGCCTTAGCCTCCCATCTTTGGTTGGGGTACAGCGTGAGGGTGTCTTTCTGCTATCTATGATTTTTGGATTTGGGGTAAAACAGGCAATAGGCCCACGCTTGACACCCTCAATCCACATTTCAGGTTCAAAACCCAGCCTTCTTAAAGCCCGTTTGGTTCCCTCAATCCACATTTCAGGCTCAAAACCCAGCCCTCTTAACGCCCGTTTGGTTCCTCCACCCCTCTTAAGATTGTAAAATTAACAAAAATAAACTAAAATAAAATGATCAATTACTATTATTCATTGTATCATTTAAAATATTATTCACCGTATTACTCATTAAGATTCAGATGCACTATTTTTTTCATTATATATGGTATTTTTTTTAGTTTTCAAATATTTTAAAGATATTTATATAAAAGTTTTCCTAACATTACTCTTTAATCCTTCTTTCTTAAACATTGTTTTTTAATCCATAAATATTTTTTGTATCAATGTGGTCTTTTTTTTTTGTTTCATTTTGATAACTTTGATCCTTTTTTTCTTTTTCTTTTTTAATTAAACATTTTAAAGTAAAAAAATATTTAGAAAAAATAATTTATAAAATAAATTTTTAGTTAAGAATACATTGATTTTGATTTTTTTATACCATTATAAATTTTTTAGTATCTAAATAGGGATAAATAAATAATGTTTAAAAAATTTATGAAAAATATAAAGAATAATCAGTCAAATCTAAAATTTTGATTAAAAAATTATAAAATTGAATGAATTTTTATTTAGTTTTGATTTGATATATTTTAATATTTATATAATATAATATGAAATATTAAATTAAAATAATTTTATCTATCTTATCTTATTCGTAGTGTAACGTAGATAAAAAAAATTAATCTATTCTAAAACCATTTGGAAACCAAAATTCTAACTTCTAAAAGGGTTTAAGAACTTTTCCGTTAGTGAGTAAAAGGTTTACTAATAAAATAATAGCTACATGCTTACTCCCTTAAATTAAAACAGATTTCTACTCCTTTGTCTTCAATTTTTTTTCCCAACGCACCGACTAAATGGTTCGAGATAGGAGGGATGAGATGCGAGTCGAAAAGAATGGAATAAATGAAAAAAGAAAGTAGCTCCTTCCATTATCTAAAAACAGAAAAATGAATAGATAGACACGATTGATCCGATAAAAGAAATTGATGTACTTATTTGAAAAATAATTTAATTAATTATACTCTGTTGAAAAAGTTTGAAAATTGGCGTAATCATGTTTCAAATATCCCTTGTTATATGGATAAATTAATTAATAACTATCGTCTGAGTTTACTTAATTTTATTTTTTGCATGTTCAACATATTTTTATTTTTGAATTCCAAACCTGAGTAAATTATAAATTAAACCATCTAGTTTCAAGAAACAAATTAATTAACTCTCTTTTTTCAAAAAGTAATTATTTAGTTTCTATATTTTAAAATTTTATTGTAACTTATTTTTTTTTGTTTGTTTTTATTTGTTTTTATTTTTTTATTTTAAAAAATAAAAAAGATTAAAAAATATGTAAGGATTGATGAAAAAAGATGAGATTTTTTTTTTTTTGAAATAAATTAATATTAAATTTAACGTGGTTATAGGATTAAATAATTAGTTTTTAAAATAATAGGACTAGTTAATTTATTTATCAAAAATAGAGGGACTGATTTATAATTTACTCTTCCATAATCAAGACCTTTATAATACGATCATTAATTCGATAAGGATTTCTCATTGGCAAGTCTCAAATTCCTTGAAACTTAGAAGACAGAGGGTAGAATGTCTTTTATTTATGATCTGCAGGAAAATTGGGACTTTGGGCACAAAGTCCAGCTACTAATTACAAGAAATGACTAACATAAAGAATAAATGGCAATCCACTATAAAATGTCATGGAAATGAGGTGTCCATAATGCGTAACTAGGTAGTGGCTTCCGTGTTAAAAATGAGATTCTTATTGGCAAGGCGAAAATGGTTCCACAATTATATAGTAATCATTATCATACAAAAATAGAAGTTGAAAATCGTTCCACAAAAATCAGAAATTACATTGTAGGATTTGAGAGACATCTCTACTTCCACTTATTGGCAACAATGTCAGCCAAATCGACGACCCTTTGAGAGTAACCCCATTCGTTATCATACCAAGCGATCACCTTAACCATGTCGTCTCCCATCACCATTGTTAGTGATGAATCAACTGTTGATGACACATCGCTGCACCTGAAGTCCACTGAAACAAGTGGTTCGTCACAGACAGACAGGATGCCATTGAGCTCCTTATCAGCACTCTCTCTGAAAGCTGCGTTCACCTCTTCTGCGAAGGTCTTCTTGGAGACTTGAACAACGAGGTCGACGACCGAGACATTTGGGGTTGGAACACGTAGGGCAATGCCATTAAGTTTTCCCTTAAGGGTAGGAAGGACTAGGGCCACTGCCTTTGCTGCGCCGGTTGAAGTTGGAACAATGTTAAGAGCTGCGGCTCTTGCACGTCTGAGATCACGGTGACTTGCATCAAGTAATCTCTGATCACCAGTGTATGAGTGAGTGGTAGTCATGGTGCCCTTGATGATTCCTGCCAAAATTTGTCATTCGATTTCCATGTCAGTAATTAATTTGATTATGTCATGTATCCTAATTAATCAAGGCATTTTCGCTTAATCAATTACTGGTTCAACCGGATATCCAAAATTTTGTTTCTTGCACGATCATCTTTCTTTTAGTTTCTGTTTCAAATGTATTTGAAGGTTTGCTATTTCTGTGACTGTTCCTGATCTCTTCAGTCACTATATATTGCCTACTAGAGCAAATCCATCTCAGTTACAACTAGAAAGTTGTCTTTGCTCAAAGGCTCAGGATTTAAAGTTAGCAGCTCTTAACTTACATGGACAGCCAGAGCTTTGTGATTGACAGGAAGGTGGAAAAGAGACAAAGAATTAATGAGGAAAGGAGAGCTTTGGTAGATTTAATTACCAAACTTCTGATCAAGGACCTTGACAAAGGGAGCAAGGCAGTTAGTGGTGCAGGAAGCATTGCTGATGATAGGTTCATCAGGGCTGTAGGCATCAGCATTGACTCCAACAACGTAGGTTGGTATATCACCCTTTCCAGGGGCTGTGATGAGCACCTTCTTGGCCCCTGCACTAATGTGCTTCCCAGCACCGTCTCTGTCTACGAAAACCCCGGTACCTTCTATCACCAGGTCGATCCCCAAGTCCCTGTAACACCAAACAACATTGAACGAATTGGTCAGTCCATCATTAGCAAACATATAAGTGTAATGCAATCTTAATTCGACTAAACAACAAGAGAGAAAGAGGCTCTTACTTCCAGGGGAGGTCGAGAGGGTTACGGCTAGAAACGACCTGGATGACCTTGCCATCGACAGAGATGCCATTATCACCGACAGGCTTAACGTTAGCTTCGAAGATGCCAAGGGTGGAATCATACTTGAGAAGGTGTGAGGCCTGCTTAACACCTCCAGTGTCGTTGATGGCAATGACGTCAAGAGGGGAATCCTTGCGTCCATGCCAGCACCTCAAGAAGTTCCGGCCGATCCTGCCAAACCCATTTATGGCCACTTTTAACTTTGCCTCTGCGGCACTTTTTCTGTATCCTCCACTGCTGCTTCCCAACTTCATAGCCACATCCGAGAAAAGGAAAATACCAAATTAATGAACAGAAGTTAACTGTCATGTGTATCATATGCTTATTTCCTATCACGTTTAGAAAAACTAGACAAAATACATATTTCACTGTGAACAATAAATTGCTAGAAATTTACGATGTACATTTAGGATGAAAATTAAATACCAAGTAATTAATCCGAACTTTGCTAGACCATAATTGGCAATTGAATTACCAAGATCCAAGAAGCTTAGCTATTAACCTCTACTTTAAAATGCGATAGCATTTCCGCGGGTGAAAGTCAACCGTCTCTTCTGTCTTGCACGTTTAAATATTATCATAAGATTACTAATCTTCCACTATTTTGTTAGAAAGAATCCATCATATCTTAGTTTTCATGAAATTTCCCAGTACAACCAGCTTGGAATGCAGCTAGACGTGTTTCTTCTATGATATATATAGTTCATGTTTGCTACAACATCCTACAGTACGAATCAACTGTTCTAATTAAACTACGAAGTTTGGATGATAATGGATACATAGTTGCATTCAATAGCCTGTCATATGTTGATTTCTCCACGTCTGCCACCAATAAAAATGGGAAATTCATGTAACTTATAGACTTACAGCAGAGGTCTGGAAAGCAACGACTGAAACAAAGTCATCTGATGTTTTCTTTGTGAAGGGAAGGAAAGCTGGTGAACTTCGGAGGCCTGAGAAATCTGTGAATCCCTTTCCATTTGCCTGTATCAAACCAAAGAAATTAAGAAAACATAACCCGGAAACCAAAAACACACCAATTATAAGAACAGGTTAATAAAGCTGAAGCGTAAGAGTTGCAATGGACCTGGAAAGATGGTTTGGCTACAGAAAAGGTAGCCGAGGCCATAATGGTATTAATCCAACAGACTGACTAAGCAGAAATTTTCTTTCAAATAGTAGTAGTAGTGTTGGTGTAGTAGCACTAGAAGTAGAGAAGGACGATGTGAGAGATAAAAAACGAGAGGAAAAATAAGAGAGGATGAGATTATGGATAGCCTCTCGTTCATTGTATGGCTGTGGTTCTGCTTTGTGTTTGTGTCTCCAAATCTCTACCATTCCATTCCCAATCATGTTAAATTTTGCATAACTGGGTGTCTCTGTACAGCATCTGGCTCCAACTGTTTTTCAATCTTTGGGCCTCAACCTTTGATGTCTTGTAAGTGGGCCAAACTAGTTTTTGCTTCCTTCAATTTTGTGGTCATGAAACAGTTAATTTTAAACTACCCAAACGAGGACGTATTGGTGTTTGCAACAGAATATTCATTACAGGGAAAGAATTTTAGATATAGGGGGATGGAACGGGATGAATGGCCTATCTTTGTTTGGCGTGACGTGATCTTTTTGAGCCATTGCTCCCTTCTCAAACAAATTACAACCATGTTCTTATCTGCCTCTTTCATTGGCCAGCATTGGCATTTCCTTTTTCTCTTGTATAATTTATAAATAAAAAGGCCATTATATAGAAATATCGAACCAACATTCTTGTGATTTTAACTAATACTCTTGATGAGATTTTTGGTTTTCAGCCGTGACCGTGAAAGAGATGAATTCTACCCATTTCATGTTCGCTTCAAATGGATGATGCCCTAACCATAGGTATCCAAATGTCACCACACGTAGAAAGAAATAGTTCTTTATTGGTCTAGATACGAGAATAAGCTCCAAAGCACTCAATCCTTTAGCATATTTAAAATTGGGTTTAATAACGGTTGTTGTCACCAAAATTATTGAGATTACCATTCATTCATGTTTATACTATCAATTTCATCAATTATTTGAATTTTTTTTTTTTTTTGTTGAGTAAACATTGTACTTCAATTTTTTTTTTTTTTTGCCCATTTTATTGGTAGCGTGGGTCCTATTTTGATCATTAACTAAAACATTTAGGAAAATTCATTTTTTGATCTTCGGGTTGAAACCATTCTATATCTAAGATTCAATATATCAAAAAATTATTTCAATTCAAAAAATTAAATTATTGGGTGAAACTCTAAAAATTATTTTATATTATTCTATAATAATAATTATCTCGGTTCAAAAATTTAACTTATTGGATGAAACTATCAGAAATAGTTTTATATTACTTTTTAACATATTCTTGATCCTTTCAAGTCATCGAATTTACAATTATCTTGTGTTTATTGTTCAACATATTCCTTTTTCCTTCGAGTCATAAGCTTATTATTACCTTGTCTTTAAGTAAAAGAAAAAGTAAAATTGTGATATTCAAATTCGTGATCGTCTGATCGTCAAAACTCTAAAATTATATCAAAAAATTATTTCTATCTAAAAATTTAAATTATTGAGTGAGACTCTAGAAATATTTTATATTATTCTAATACAATATTAGAATAATATTATAAGTTTTCTTTGATTTTTTCTGTATCAACGAACCATTTGAAATTTTTAAAGTTTTTTTATAGCAGGACCGAAGCAAATAGGAATTATTCGAATCAATTCTTGTTACACCATTTTTGAAAGCCCAAAGAGTCGATCATATGGATAAAAAAAATACAAGATTTTCAATCTTAATTAAAAAAAAAAAAAAAAAAAAACCAAATATCATATATGCTCATATCTAAAGTACATCTTCTAATTAATTATAAGAAAAATATAGGAAAATATACTCCTATCGTAATCATCTCGTACCTGCTTCTTAAGATAGTATGCCTCCTTTTTCTAAAAAACAATATATATATATATATATATATATCTACTAAACACTTCTATTTTAAAAATTAATTAAAAAATGCTTAATTTATAAAATACATTAGGGCCAAACAAAGCTCATATTTCTCTTGTGATTTTATCTTCTATCTTTCTAATTCATGATGATGTTGTGTATAAGCTAGGAATCATTGTTTTGTAAAAGCTTTCAATTTGAATAGGAATTCTACTTTATTTTGTGGAAAAGTCGCATATCATTTTGCTTCTTGATTTATTATTATATATATATTTATATATTCATTGTTCCACGGTCATTTATTAATTTACTTCTCTACAATAATCTACGTTCTTTTGCTATCATGTTAAAATGGTAGGACCCTCTTTGAAACATTTTAAACTGTTGTCTAATCTTACTGCCAAGTGCCATACTAATTATTAAAATAGAATTGGACGTCATGAATTTAATACCGCTCCCTTTCTTTTTCTTTCTTTCTTTTTATAAAAGATAATAATTTTATTTAATTATATATATAAATAAATATATCATCTTTTTTATGACATAATGATACCAAAAAATTTCTTAAAAAATTTCAATTTGTTACATAAAAAAATTAAACAACTTTTTTTATAACAATAATAAATAATGATATTTTAGATAATAAATAGAATGTTCATTTCTTTTTCTTCTTCTTTTAATTTTTTTAATATATTATAGTATGATTCTTTTTCTTTTAGAAAAAGGAAAAAATCTTACCGCATCAAAAGGTGAGGTGAGGGTTCAAAACTCCGGAATAACAAAAGAAGGATAGTAGCCAAACTAATTGAAATCCAACAGATCCGCCTTCTAATTATCAGAATATTCGAAAGTCAAACCGAGGCAGTCTCGAACAAAACAACATAGGTCGAGGATAATAATAATAATTTTTTTAAAAAAAATGGGGCAACGCATTTTTATAAAGAAGAGAAGAGGTGGCCAGACGTGTGGAATTTTCATGGTGGCCAATTGCCCGTTTCCCCAGCTGGTTAAACATAGAAACAATCGATGTGATTCAAAGCTACGGAAGGCACTAATTGAGAGCAACAGAGCCACGTTCAATGCCCTATAAATCTGTGGAATCAACATTGTCTCCAAATCTTTTAATAATTTATTCACATCTTGGAGATAGATAGAGAGAGAGAGCAGTCATTAGGAAATTCAACTTGGACTGCATCTGTTCTTTAACCTTTCAACTTCATATTCTAGGTCAAAATTTCCACGTGGACGGCTCCTATTCTCTTACAGCAGTGCAACCATTTTTTGTTCTTTTCCCCGTCTCACTGCTAAAGGTTCGAGTTTGATTGATTATATATAGGTGACCTTCATGATTAGGAAATAAAGCTAAAAGCAAGTGAATATAGTTTGGTTGATTATTGTTGTCTTAGACCTAATGTGGGATCCTTGTTGTCTTTACTAAGCCAATCGACCGAAACAATAACACGTAATAGCACTAAGATTCACAGAACACTTTTAATTTTATAATCAATAGTTTTTTTTTTTTTTTTTTATCTTGATTGATTCAAATCCAAACTTGTGCATTTATTTAAAAAAAATATATTTTTTTATATTTTTATTTAATCTGAATTCCATAGTGAGTACACTGGCTTATCAATTGAGTTAGAAAGCAATTGATATTTGTGTTCTTTTTTCCTTTTTTTTTTTTCCTCCATTGAATGAGTATATAAATAAGTTACTGTGGATTCAATACGCTAGATGCCAAGTCAATATCTTTATCAACCTAGCAATAAGCATTTTGATTTCTTTCAGTATGTAAACTTATGGATTTGGATTCATTGACATATCTCATAGCAAGATTGAGTCCCGTCACATCCTGCTGCATATTTTCGTGCCCATCACTAAAATATCGCTGATTGTAATTTATTAGAATTAAGGTTAAAGATGTAGAATGTCTACTATTTTATTTATCTTAACCGTATTTTTTAATTAATTTTTTCAATAATTACATTTTTGTATTCTTAATTTGCGTCTCAATCTCATATCTCTATCTAAATTTTTAGATAATTATATCAATTTTTTACGATAGACGAACATAAAGCTAACACATGACATTTTAAAAATAAAAATTTCAAAATGTTCCTCTTTTTCTTTACTTTTATATATAAAAATAATTAATTAATTTCATCCCTTAAATTCTTTTTTTTTTTTTTTGCTATCTCTCAAATTCAAACTAAAAAAAAATTATTTATAGGAAGAAACAGGAAAAAAAATTTATTTATTTTAAAATTATATTTCAAATCCAAAAAAAAAAAAATTTATGAACTTTCCAATAGGATTTGAAATAATTTTTCATAGTAAATTTCTGAAAAAAAAATTTATTTTATTTCTTCCTATACATAAAAAATTTTCTTTTTTGGTTTGAATTTGAAAGAAAGCAAAAAAATAAAATAAAAATTGAGGGATGAAACTAATTATTTATTTCTATATAAAAAGATAGAGAAAAAGATGAGCATTTTGAGATTTTTTTTTTTCAGATTTCATCTTATGCATATATGTTAAAAATTAATAGAAGGATATGATTAAAATAAATAAAACAGTAGAAGGACATAATGTACTTTTAACCCATTAGAATTAGTACAAACATTGAGTAGGAAAAAAAAAACAATAATCTTGGATTAGCAAGCTACAACTTATAGGTAAACATTGTTGTTAACCCAAAAAATAAAAAATAAAAAAACTGAATCTGTATGGACAAAATTTGGTCAGTCATGTTATTCCTATTTCGATTTTTCTTTTCGCATAGCAATTACCAACACCGGATTAGGAAGACGAAATAATTTGGCATTAAAAACTCACCTATTGATCATGTCTATGTTACATTAACTTTCATGTTTGTGGTAAAGGTGGTAGTATTTCCCAAAAGGGACTACAGCTCTGTCTTAAGACTACATTGTCGCGTGGAATGTTTAGAGGAATGAAAGCGGAGGAAAGCATTTGTGGACGCTCAAAGAAGGGATGATGTTGCAGGTTTTTTTTTTATATATGTTAATTCGGGATATTCGGATCGGTTTACGCGCATCTCGATTAATTCCTAAGCTCATTGAACACCTTATAAGCCCAATAAACATATAAGACATCACAAGTACGACAGACGTATATAAAAAGAGTCGAAGAACCTAGATGTTTCTCAGGAGTAAGCCCGCAAGTTGCAGGTATTTTGCTTGTAGAGAAAGCTGTCCCTTGCGTTGGAACAACAGCAACGGAAACACATATAATATTTATATACAAAAGGGAAGGCTATTAGACCAACTGCATTATTCGAGTGTTGACCCCACCTGATATGATTTTGTTGCATATAAATACGCACTTTTTCTCTCACCAATACATTCTTAAATTTTTATTCTTTAATTAAGGTATTTTTAAACTTATTTCTCAAATAAATATATTTTTTTGTCACATAAAAATTTTTCATCCACATTATTTTTTTAATTATTAAAAAATAATTTCATGATATTAAATAACTTCATCTTTGTTTTAGATATTTTATTAATTAAAAAATATAAAAATGTTAAGAACTTTCTTTCTAGAAAAATAAAAATAAAAAAAAACTTTCATTTTTTAAGGTTTAGGAGCTGGCTGGCGGCTAGCCCCAAAACCCTTTTTTTTCCTGTTTGTTCCTCTAAATTTCTTTTGAGATGTAGTTTTTTTTACCGTACTTGTACAAGATCTAGACAGAGCCATGGACTTACCAAAGAAACCATCTTTAATACTACAGCTGAAGTCCACTCTCCAATCACAAAAACATCAGTCTCTCCTTCTCAGAGACCTTGAAAAGGAAGTTGGGTTTGTTCAAAAATGGAACTGTATGTCTGCCATTGAAAAGTACCCTGCAATTTTTCATGTTGGTGGTGGTAATAACAGTAGGACACCTCTTATTGTTACTCTCATGAGAAAGCTGGAAAGATTGCTGGAGCTAGGAGTTGATGGAGCCCATTTTAGTTAAGAATTTGAGGAAGTTTCGAGGAAGCTAGTTTTTTTTTACCATACTTGTACAAGATGCAGTTGAAATTTTTGAAGCTACTGTTGACTGTAAATTTACGATGGAAATATTATTGGAAAAGATTTACTAATTAACAGAAGAGATGATACTGAAATTCATAACAAAAATTATTGGGTGTAAAGATTTTGGACAAATAAGAAAAATTCAAGAAATTTATTTTACATCATTATATAGATATAAAAAAAATAGAGAGATAAGAAAAAAATAAGAATAGGAAGAAAAACAGATTAATACAAAGACAAAATAGGAAAAAAGAAGAGATTAACGTGTGAAAATAAAACATTTATTTAACAAAATGATTTTTTTAAAAAAACTGACATGTTAAGTTATATATATGAGATAAAATCCTATATGGCATAGAGTATTTTATTTTGATAAATAAGTTTAAAACTATTCTATTATAGCACATACGATTTAAAAGTGTCTTATTATGAAGGGGGAAAAAAAAAAAAAAACTCTATAAATACGGCTTCAACATTTAGCAAGTAGTGGCAAAAAAACTCCTCTGTTCTGTTTCAGGTTTCTAGTTCCGGGCTTCCAGCTTTTACTCCGGTTACACAGCCTGGTCAGCACAGGATACATGGCTAAGGAAACAGAGGTAAAGGTACTAATTCATCAAAACATCTCCACATGCATGTTTCTTTTTTTTTAGCCTTTTCGTTTCAGAGCCCCTTAGCTTTCTTCGTTTTTGTTTTTATACTTCGCTAACAAGGTCTGAAACCAACCCTGTTTTTACTCAACTTCAGAAGATTGAACTCAAGGTATCTGTCAGCTGCTGTGATGGCTGCAAGAGGAAAGTTAAAAAGGTTTTGCAAAGTGTTGAAGGTAATGAAGAGAGTAATGGCTCAAAAAGTGTGTGTTCATTTTCCGTAAAGAGTCTTTTCTCTAGCTAACTCGGATGAAGCTTTGGTTTCAGGTGTTCTAAAGACTGAAATCGATCCACTGTATCCCAAGGTGACAGTCCTAGGAAATGTGAATCCACAAATTTTGATCAAAAGACTCTTGAAAACTGGAAAACAAGCAGAACTGTGGAGTAGTGGAAATCAGAATGCGGGAAAAGAAAAGGAAGAAGCAGATATTATAGTTACAAAAGAGAAAGATAAGTCAAAATTTGAGCGTGAACCAACAAAATCTTCAGATTCATGCGGCAAGACAACTGACAAGAACAGAGAGATCAAAAACGGTGGGGATGGAGGTGAGAATAATGCTTCAAAGAAGCAGTGTAATGAGACAGATGTCAATGTTAAGGCTTGTAATCCTGAAGTGGTAAAAAGGGAAAATCCTGCTTCCCCATCTCCAGAAGCCAGCAATTTCAGGACTTATAATCAATGTTGTTACAAGGTTGAGCCCTACGCAATTGCACTGCCCTGTTATGCCATTCCTTCCTACACTGTTCCTCCTGTCAACCCCGCAGGTTATGGCCAGGAATACCTCATTTACGAGAGGCCATTAATTCAACCACCATTCCAGACGCCGACAGTACGAGTTGGGGATTACTTCAGTGATGAAAATACTTTGGGATGCAATGTGATGTGAGGCCTCCGCACCATGCACTGAAGATGAGGAAGAAGTAATCTGTTCACTCGCATTGACTAACTATGGGATAGTTAGCCAGCATTTTTGTAGCCTACCGAATGAGTTTCGATCTCTTTCTTTTTGTGTTGTTTTTTTCAGGCAATTAGAACTTTTCTTATGCAAATTAACGTCATATTTGAAACTTGCTCCCAGCTAGTTTGAGTTCATCTCTCTTCTAGGTTTTATGTCCATAGATGATCATGTTTACATAGCTCTGCTCTGCTTCACTTCCACGAGCCCTCAAGAACAATTTTGTAGGAATACTTCTACAGTCTCTTCTAGACTGATTCCTACAGTGATGCATATAACAGATAATTTGTTCAGGATTTGTATGAACTTGATTCAGTTCTTTCAACTAAATTTTTAAAAATACTAATCGAGGATTTCTTTGATTAATATAGTCAACTGCTAGAGGCATCCCCAGCAGGCCATATAGCTTAACAAACGTCACAATTGTTTATTGAAAAAGTAGCACTAAAACATTCTATCTTAGCTTAAGTTCCCCATAGGGTGCTTTACCACAAAAGCAAATACCAAATCTAATCAATGAAGTTGGTCAGTTTCCACCTCTAATCCACCTTTGGAACAAATTCTAGCACTTCGGACTTGTGAAGAATTGAAACTTTTTGATCGAGTTGCAAAGCCATTTTACATTCGAATCAAGCTAGATAACCACCAAATAAGATATGCCAACATTCTGATTAACCATCCAAGCAAACAGTAAGGCTGGACTCATTAGAGATGGGCAGAATAGCTATTCCTAGATTTCTCTATCATGAAAGAGAGCAAACCATCTATAACAGTTCATATCTCTGAGCCAAGCACAAAACATGGTTAGGTGCACTCTGGTTTGGATCTGTAACTACCCTTTCTACAAGACATTAATGAGAGGAAACAGAGCTTTTGGTAGATGTCAAAACCAATCTAAAGGAAAATATAAAACCACGGATAACATAGTATGATTATACACAACTCCAAGCGCCAAGAGCAGTAATTTGATGGCGACAATGGTGTATACTGCAGACTGCTTGAACAATACTTCACAATCAGATTCAGATAGACTTAACCCTTAAATTATTAATTGCAGGACCCAGATGTATATTTCCCAGAGTATAAATGTCTTCAAGTTTCCTCCTGCCTCCACATAAAAACACCAAAGATGTTATAACCACTAACCAGTAACCATAATAGTGAACAAAAACAAAAACCGCAAAAGATGTAACCTGTGAAACAATTCAATCCAACAAAATTAATGACCCAATTAACTTATATCCCACTTTTTGAACCCTGTTCAAAGGCCACCAACATAACCTTCCAATGCCATGGAAAACACAAGATTAGTCCCTTGCTACCAGTAAACTTACTAGACTAACCTGCACATATCCAACAAACCTTATTTGACTAATTTAATCAGCTATTGATGCTATCCCAACATTGTCCTTTCATAATGTTATCATGTAAGTGACAATATTTGCTCCACTACCTTGATCGAAGATAGTTTTCCTACGTCATCCTTACAACAGCCTTATTTTAGCTAAACTGACATATTCCACTGATACCTCAATCATAATATTATGAAACATTGCCAAACCTAAATTTGTGCTGAGGAACACTAATCTTGTGAGAAATAGCAAGCTTAAGAACTTGCAATATCAAATGATATGAAGGTGATGCTGCTTCAACTCAATATTGAAAAACCTCCAATCCATTACCCAATTGCACTTCTGCCAGTTACAGAAGACTAGCCTGAAATGCTAAATTCATTGCATAACCAAATTATGTTTTGTTACAGTCCTTAATCACTTGTATGTGCAAAGTTTCAAGCAATAATTCCTGCATTTGAAACTGCAACCAATCTCCATCTTACCACCAGAAAGAAAATTTTGAATTCATCAATTCCAAAATAACCTCAACTACAATCATAAATCATAAGGGTAGCATCCCACAAAAGTTTCTCTCTTATACAACAAGATAACAGAGACGAAGGGACATAAAGACCAGAATGCAGGATATCAAATAAACTATATTGCATAGTGGCCCATAGCTGTGAACCTCCTCTACAAAATCCTAAGGTGAGAACGGCAATTCAATATAACGATTTCTCTTTATATTCCTAATTGAGATCCTAAAAATTGATGGTTGAACCATGATCTAGCTTTATAGCTATTAAATCCGAGTTTCTTTAAACTATTGAAAGAGCTAGTTCTGTTTCCTATTTTTGCAAATCAAAGGGACAAAGACACAAAAATAATGCAGGATAAAATACACAAACTACAAGCAGTATACAACAAAAGATTAAAAGGTTGGATTTTAAAAGAACAGTCAGATAGCAACAACTAAATTAAGCTTTCTTTTCTTTTCTTTTCTTCTTTTTTTTTTTTTTTTTTTTTTTTTTAATACCACATTGGAGCTTCTACACAGAAAAGCTAAAGTCCTACCTAGCAAATTCAATCAAACCCTGAGAATCTGAAGCTTGGTAGAGAAAGCAATAGCAACCCAATCCGGCTGAGAAGACGACCACTGCAACTGTTCGATTTCGGCACCAGCAGTATAAGCAAGAATTGGGTCCAATCCACCCTCAACCGGCTGACCCATGGAAGAGAGGTCCCAAATCAATGCCTGTGAATCATCCCCAGCAGTACAAATGTGACAAGAACTATGCGGGGCCCAAGCAACGGCATTAACACTAGCATGATGCCTCTGCAATTCCACCACTGGAAGAGTTGGGAAGCGAATATCCAACACTACAACTTTGGCGCTGTCCATGATTATCGTTGCCATGTACCTCGGATCCTGCTTGTTCCACCCCAGCCTCACCAAAGGCGTGTCGGGCTCCGAACTCTCGTAGATTATCGTTGAATGCTCCTTATCCCGTAAATCGAAAACCCTAACCGACCCGTCGGCTGAAACCGAAGCAAAAACCCCAACACCGCCCCATGCGATATCGTATACCTCCTTGTCGTGGGCGATTAACTGTGTATCAACAGTCTCCCTCTCGATATCCCAGATGGTGCATGTCGTATCGATGCTGGATGTCCCAATTCGCTTCGGCTCCGCCTCGTTCCAGTCAAAGGAAGTTAGAGGCCCACAAAATTCGCTGTTCTTGTTACCGTTTAATAGGCTTTTGAGCTCCACGCGCGGCTGGTCATCGTTTATGCGCCACACACGCAGGAAGTCGCTGGACGTCGCGAGGAGATCAGGTTTTTGGCACTCCTTGTCTGGAATGAAGATGGTCTTGGTAGGTGGATAAGGGTGGTCGAAGGACAGATTCGGGTCGGATCGGATCTCTCCGTTGGAGTCATCCAGCTGGACAATCTCGACCCGGTTTGGGTACTGTTCTAGGAGACTGGCGATGGCGAGACGGTATTTCTTGTCACGGCGGACGCTCCAGTTCATGGCGTAGATGTGCCATGGTGCCTCGTATGTGTAGATCTCTGATCGTTTTTGTTGCTCGTCCGAACCGTCTTGATTCGGGTCGCTGCTAGCTCCCATTGTCTGTTCTCTGGAAAACAAGAAACACAAAAACCAAAAAGCAGCAGCAAGCAGAGAGGAGTGCTTGAATAGAGAGAGAGCGGAGAGGGGAAGGGAATCGGTTTCATTTTATTTGTTTATAAAAGAAAGGTCAAAGTCAATTTCTAACGATAAAGATAACAAAGATATTGTCTACAAACCATGGACCTAGCCTGATTTGGCATCTCCATTTTTTTTTTTTTTTTTGTCTTTTTAATTGATGAAAAATATAGAAAGTAAATTTATTGTTTGATATAAAAAAATTCAAAATTAATTAATATTTTTCTTCATATTTGGGCATTTAGAAATAAAAATATACTCGCAGTAATTAATTGTCACTCTTACGAAGAAAATGCTATGCACGTTTATATAAAAAAAGGAAAGAAAATGTTATCCATATAAATGATTATTTGGAGTTTTTTTTTATTAGATTCGGATTAATACATTCACATGGTTTTATTTTTATATAATAGTTCAATTTTTTAATCTGTCTCTAAAAAAAAAATATATAATCTGTTTTTATATTTTGAACTTGTTTCTAATATATCATTTTAGTTAAAATTTCTGATTATTTTTTATAAATGAATTCATATCATTAGATATAAATCACTTGTGTTAAATAATAAAAATAATTTTACTAAATCACATACAATGTGTAAATAACAAGCTTAATTTAGTCAAAAATTTTAACTAAAATGATAGATTAGAAACAAGCTCAAAATATAAAAACAAATTATAAACCTCTTTTTTAGGGATAAATTGAAAAATTGACCTATCATATAAAAACATGTGAGAATATTAATCCAAGAATTAAAAATTAAATTAAGGCTTTTTTTATCAATAAATTTTTGGTTTAGTAATGAATTTTTGTACTTGTAAGTTATCATAGGTTCAAATCTTTTTTCAGAGCATTTGAAAAAAAAAAAAAAAAAAAACCTCTCAAAGGAGACTAGAGTAGCCTCCCATCTCATCTTTATAATGATGCCCATTGTTAATGCTAACTTTATAATGCCTAAAAACTTATATGGACTGTTGAGTCTTTTTTATTAAAAAAAATAATTAAGTTTTTCAGTCGATTTAATGACAATATTCCATATGGATCTACTGTATTTAGAAAAAATAAATTTATCTAAATGCTAATTTAAAAATTCAAAATCATATGTTTCTTTTTTTACTATTAGATCAACTCTTTAGATTGTGATTAACAGTAAATGATATACTTTGCAAAAATCATTTGTCTATCCAAAATGTTTTTAAAATTCTTTTTTATTAAAGCAAATTGTTTAAAAAATATTCAAGACATTTTGAGTGTAAAAAGAGATTTTGTAGTATTTATTTAGATAGGGATGAGGTTTATGTCAAATCGTTAAACTTTTGAATAGTCCGGTAATTTTATACTACTTGAGGGAGGGTTTGCAATTTATCCATTTATTAAAGAGGATGTAGTTGTTCACGCATCACCTTTGCCTCTTTCGCATCCGTATGCATTTGAAAGAGGCCGTTGGTCCGTCCATCCAAAACTGTTTTTTTTTTTTTTTTCAGTTACGCTGAATTTGAAGCGATGGTTTAGTTCGGTCACATTGACTTCTAATTCAAATAAGTTGTACATAAAACTATTCATTTGTTGCATGATCTTACTTTAATTACATGTTTTATTATATTTTTCATTATTTATTTTAAATTTTTTTTCCAGCTCTTTTAGTCATCTCTTCCTTCAAATCCTTTGTTTGGAGAACAAAAAGTCATGATGATCGAATATGTGTACATGTTATTTCTTCATCATGATATTTGTTACATTGATATGCAATCATGGTAATTCATTTGAATCACACACTTAAAAAATTAGAAATTAGAATATTATTATGCATTATTTTTATTTTTATTTTTATTTTCCAAAATCATCTTGTTGTAGATTTATTTTCTTCTCCTCTTGTGCAAGCTCTAAAAGTTTTGTAATAAATTAACCTGATGTTATTATCACATTTCGCACAATGAAGTGCCTGCTATTGCTACAACAAAGTAATTGGAAAGCAAAATAGGAGAAAAAATTAGAATAAATATCATGTAGGTTAACATTAGTGGCAAGACCAATTATATGTGTTTTGAAGAAATTGTACTAATTTATTTATATAAATAGCTTTGATCTTTTTTTTTTCTTCTCTAGATTTTGTTTGGGTGATCCATGAGTTGAAAATGATTACACGTATTGTGAATTGAGATTATTGATGAATTACATATCATTAATTTAGGAGCCTAATAATTATGAAAGACTATAAAAGCAAGATTATGAATTCATTATGTTGCTTGTTTGTAATGGTGCAAGGTTTGCATTCCACTGATTTTCATTGCAAATTAAATTTAAATTCTAAGATCTTTTATAGGGTTTTCTTAACAATGAGCGCTACCTGGAGTCTACCTTGATACATGTAAGATCCTTAAGAACATTCTTATCATGTGAATTCAATTTATTATGCATAAAAAAAATTGTAACAAAAGTTAAGTAAGTCATCTTTATCTTTATTTAAAATAAAGAATAAAAATGATTAAGTTATGTTTAATATTTTTTTTTTGCTTTATTTTATTAGTTAAGCTAACCTAATAGCAGTTAAGTCCTTTATTTTTTGCTATTTTTCGCTTTATTATATTTGTCAAGTCCAATTTATTGTACCATGGCTGGTTTGATCAAATTCATATATATGGTAGAGGGATATCTGATGAATTTTAGCTAGGTCTCGTGTTTGTATCTCATTTATCAGGTGTTAATCGACTAAGTATGTTAGTTAAACTAACAGACTTCCATGACCAAGGTGGATAGAAGGGTTTAGGAATGAACATAGTTTTGGTTAATCAAAAAATTGAATCAAATTGAATTATGTATTTTTATTCGATTTTAAACTTAATTTTGTAAAATTAAAAACCAAATCGAAATATCGAAATTATTTTCGTTTGGTTTGGTTTTTTTTTTTTTTAAATTCGGTTTTCATTGAAAACCAAATATATTACGATAAGATTAGAGATTTATAAAAATTTCACTTCCCGCACGTAATTTGAGTTTAAATTATGATATTTAAGAAGGAAACATATCCTTTATTAGTCCAGCTTATATACTAAAAAACGAAAACCCTCTACATATTAACCTAGCTCATATTTAGAATTCACCAATTAAAAAATTATTTTAGTTCAAATCAAATTTTTATGAAACGGAAGCAAAATAATTATGTTTCAAACCAAACTTACTAAACTTATCTTTGTTTAGTTTTGGCTTTAGTTTTTCTTAATTCAGTTAATCAAAACATAAACAAATTTATAAAAAACCAAATCGTTTAATAATTTACTCACCCTTAGAATGGTTAATAAATACCAAAAGTTCAAATAAAACGATTGACAACCAAAAATAAAATATAGGAGTCGATATGATTAAAAGTTAAATGTATAAGGGTATGAGGTGATTTTTTGCCCCACCTAAAGTTGGCTAGGAATATATTCTGGCTAGACAGGTAAAACTTAATTTAAAATCATTTGAAAGTGAATCCCTGTAATGTTAATGTCAGTTTTAACCTCTTTGTATTTTTAGATATTTATAATTAAATCATTCTGCTTTTTTTTTTCAAGATTCCCTCTATATCTTGCATGTAAAACTAATAAAATAACTTAAACGTCAATTTGATTTTTTTTTCTATAGAATTAATTTTAATTTTGAAAAAAAATCAATATCATAATTTTATTTATCCATCTGTAAATTTTGTTTTTAATTTTTTTAGAAAAGAAAAAGATTTTAAAGCTACCAGTAGTTTTTTTTTAGGACAAAAGGGTATCTAGCAAACTATTTTTTTTTTTTTTAATCTTGACCAAAATTTATGGATGGATAATTATAATTAAAATTTATTTTTTTCATTTTCAAAAATTTAAATTAATTCTATACAACATAAAAACAATCAATTAGGTTGAAGATTAATGAAGATGAGAGTATTTAACTTATTTCATTAGTTTTTTTTATACAAAATATGACGGAAACCTTGAAAAAATAACAAAAAGATTTAATTTTAAATATACCAAAGTATATAGAAAAGTCAAAATTAAAATTAAAAATAAAAAAATTAATTGTCAAATAACTTTAATTTTATGGATGGTTTGGCCAGTTTAGCCACATATTTTTCATTGACTGAATCTTCCATTTGTTTTGCAATGCAAAATGTGGAACTTTACACGAAACAAGCACATCTATGACTTTCTCTATTTTTTTCTTCTAGGTACCACTTGCATATATTTTTAAAATTTAAAATAGCGTTTGTCTCATAGAATGCTTGATCTAACGCAAAAATTCAAATCTTTTTCAATAAAATTACTAAAACTCTCTTATTAATAGAGGGATTGATTTACAAAAGGCACTATTAATTGGTCCTATTAAAATGATATAATCTTTTTTTTTTTTAATAAAATACTCCTAGGGAAGATATAATCCATTGACTAATGTAGTCACAGCTAAAAAAAAAAAAAAATCCTAATGTATCGGTATTTTCGAAAACTGGAAGCAGTTACCTTACCAGGTGTTAAAATAGGGAAAGTTCCTCGATCATCAAATACTACTATCCAAGAACTGAAGTTGCGATAATTTTCGGGTAAGCTGTGAGGCCCAGGATTATCGCCAGATAATACTATTCCCCTGCTACAGCAGAAGAAGATACAACAGCAGCCAACAAAGAGCAGAGCGGTGAAGCGTATAATGGTTGCATGCCTTTCGTGCACTCTACCTGATGCCCTTATATCCAGAAGAAGAAACCCGTTATTGAGCTCTCGCTGTCACTCCAGTTTTAGAACTAACCCTAAGTTTGGTTCTCACGAAGCTCTCCTTTTACTCCAAAACTGCACCAATTTCAATCGTCTCAAGCTTGTCCATGGTAAGATCATCCGCAATGGCCTCTCTGCTAATCAATTACTTGTTAGAAAATTGATTCACCTCTGTTCTTCTTATGGGAGATTGGACTATGCTACTCTACTTTTCCATCTAGTTCAAGAACCCGATACTTTTACTTGGAATTTCATGATTAGGACATACACTATCAATGGCTATTCTCAGAAAGCTCTCCTTCTCTATAACCTCATGAGTCGCCATGGCTTTCCTCCTGATAAGTTCACTTTTCCTTTTGTTATCAAGGCATGTTTGGCATCCTGTGATATTCGCAAGGGGAAGGAGGTCCATGGCCTTGCTATTAAAACTGGGTTTTCGAAGGATATGTTTTTGTACAACACTTTGATGGATCTTTATTTTAGTTGCGGGGATGTGGGGTATGGACGCAAGATGTTTGACAAAATGCCTGTTCGAAATGTGGTTTCGTGGACCACTCTGATTGCAAGGCTTGTTGCTTGTGGAGATCTGGATGCTGCTCGACGGGCTTTTGATCAAATGCCAACACGAAATGTTGTTTCCTGGACTGCAATGATTAATGGGTATGTTAGGAACCAACGACCTCATGAAGCATTTGAATTGTTTTGGAGAATGTTGCTTGCTAATGTGAAGCCCAATGAGTATACGCTGGTTAATTTGTTAAAGGCGAGTTCTGAGTTGGGGAGTCTTAAATTGGGTAGATGGCTTCATGATTATGCACTCAAGAAGGGGTTTGAACTTGGGGTTTTCCTTGGGACTGCTCTTATTGACATGTATAGCAAATGTGGCAGTTTGGATGATGCCAGGCAAGTATTTTGTGAGATGCAAATCAAGAGTTTAGCTACATGGAATACTATGATCACTAGCTTGGGGGTACATGGATTTGGGGAGGAGGCCCTTTCTCTTTTTGCAAAGATGGAGGAGGCAAATGTACGGCCAGATGCTATCACTTTTGTAGGTGTCTTATGCGCTTGTGTACAGACCAACAAAGTAAGAGAGTGTGATATGTACTTCAAATATATGAGAGAACACTACGGAATAACTCCTGTTTTAGAACATTATACTTGTATGATTGAACTATATGGTCATGCCAACTTGATGAATGCCCCGAACGAATTAGCAAAGGGCATGCCAAGGGAGCTGGATGATGATTTAGCAGCAGCATGGATTAAGTCAAGTTTCATTGATGGTATGGTTGACACGGAAAATTCTTTCGAGCACCATGGCAAAGAAATACTCTGCTGGGAAACACAAACAGAACATTTGTCCCGGTATCAGCTTCAGTGCTTCAAATGGGATGTTGGTTGATTTCAATGACTGGGTTTTGACTATGTTATTGTTGTCAAATGCTGCAGAAAACGTAAGTTTCATGCCAATTTGTACAGCATTTAGACTTCGTTTTTTTGGCACGTAACAAAGATTTAACCTCCAGACAAAAACACCTATTTCTGGAGTTTCGCAAGTAGAATAACTTAGAAGATGGCTTTTTTGGTTAAAGAAAGCTTGTCAAGCATATTTTAAGGAAAGGTGGCAGGGGGCTTCTCTTGGCAAGGATGTTTCTAGAGATGGATGTCATTGCTGTTGTAGCTGTATATTAATGTATAGTTGTTTTTATCTCCGTTATGTATACTATTATTGTATTTAAGAACATTTTAGTTCAAATAGATATACTGGTGGTACAGGTATGTTACACCAATTAGTTGTACACAGATTAACCATTTAGCATATTTGATTTCAATATTAGATATTTGACATGATGCAAATCAGTAAGATGACCCTGGTAGTATTAGTTTCAAAGGAATTACTCCATGTTCTTTAAACCTGTAAACCTATTAAATCTTCTATTGTGTTATAGAATTAATGATTGTAATGCTTTAGTTAAATATAAAGATTCCATGCAGGATAGTTTTACCCGTTTTGCAGGTGGAGCTACAACTTCTCCCTTACAATGTTTGGAATACCAGAGTAAGTCTCTGATATTAACATTAAGTTTGGGCTGAATTGTTTAAATTTTATGTACTTATGATGAGAAGATAGTTTTAACCTGGAATCTATTCATATAATAATTCCAAATTGTTCCAATTGGCCTCTTCGGTTCCTTTTCCATATTATCATATACTAGGATTGTACCTCTCTTTCAGTTTATTCATGTTATGCTTCATTTAATTATGCATTACTTGACCTTGTTCTGGCCTTTTCCTAGCACTTTGCCTTAGTTTCTAATGATGTCTCTATCACCCAAAAGAAATCCTTCTCATGTTTTGAATAAAGCACAGTGCACGAGTAGCTAAACAGTTCCTTGTGGGTGGAAATGTCATCGGAACCTGTTTATTGTAAGTATAAAAAATTCTCTTTAGTGACCGTCTTGTGAGCTCAATTCACAAATTTGCTTTGCTTGATTGCTTGCTTGGCAGGGTGTCATAATCTGGTATATTAACTTTATCAAGTTATCTTTCTGTTGCATGTTGAAACAGAGCTTTATCACCCCAGAAAGCATGGAAATGTGGTCCAGTGCCAAACTACCTGGCGTAGAAATTATTTTGTTGGATTTCTGTGCCACAATTTGTTCAGTGATGGTTCTGCTCGGTGCTCGGTCCATTTTTTTTTTTTTTATGTCAATGATATAAAATCTGCTGTGATCCCTTTCTTCTTTTTTTCTGAAGCAGTTTTGCACCCATGTGCTTCATGCAATGCCTTGCTTCTGTTTTTAGTATTAGGGATAACCTTCTATATTACAGTGCCTACAACTTCTTTGCAAAACAAGGTGGAGCCTTCCCAAGCCTCAAATCAAGAAGTGTCGGAATTGGTTTGGCTTTTCACAGTCACCCTTGTCAAGTTGTACGTGTTTTCAGCATTAAAGGTGCGGGTGGAAATATCAGGGAGTCCTTATCTGCTGCTGCTGGTATAAAGGTCAGTGAACTTACAGATATTGAGATCTTATAATCTGAAATTTATAGATGGAGGCAATATTGACCCTTGATTTGGCTGCTACCTGAGCCGCCCAATCTCAGGACCACTCTCTTCCCTCCTCAAATGGAGCTACACATTGAGGTTTGGGAGCTGCCAAACCTCAGCACCACTCCTCTCCTCTCTTCGCAAATGGAGCTACACTTTGGGATTTGGGTGGATATTTATTCATAAATTATCTCAATCATAGTCATTGTAAGCTCATTAAACTGCCAAACCATTCATAAGAGTGGTCCTCGCCTTCCATGACTTTTGGTCAGTGCTTGTGGGAGTCTGGCGGTGTCACCAGAAAAGAGGAGCTGGAGTTTCAAAGGATAGTCTGGGTATGATGGATGATGGAATGACAAATGTGGAGGATGGGTGGATGAAGGATGGATGTTTTCAACCCTTCAGAGATACAGAAATTCACCACCCGAAGGAGAAAGAACAGGATTAAACTCACAAATTTCAATGACATAATCACATCACAAAGAGATTAGAGTTTAGAATAGCTCAGCATTTAATGGAATCCACCGAAGAGATACAGGGTTGTAACTTAGCTTAACAAGCTCAATATGATTTTAAATTCAACAAATTATTCTCTCTCTCACACAAACGCAATATATATATATAGGACAAAGGAAAACGTGGCCATGTGAATTTCAACTGATCTACCATAGAAAACTTCATCCTATACTAAAATACTAGTTTGACAAATGACAAAAAAAAGAAAAGAGAAATGATGCCTTAGGGTGGCTATGAGATATCCTAGGTTTTCTCAAGGTGTACAAGTCATATGGTTTTTAATTTGCCTGACTATCATGTCTATCCGTTAATAATATTTATTATTTAAAATACTCTTCTCTCTCTCCATGTATAGTCATTGATGGCTATTTTACAAGCCAAAACAAAATTGGACTTGATGAGGTGACAGCAAATCAACATAGTGTGAACCAACGAACGGCTCAAGTTGTTCATGCCTTTTGCTATTGGTGGCAGCTATTTCTCCTTGTCAAATTTCAAATGTCAATGTTGAACACTTGATAAGAAAAAAGAGGCTGGTTTATTGATTTCTTTTGTGGCTGAAAATTTCTACTAATTCAACACCTTCAAAGTTACCTTCAAAGAATTCGTTTCACATAGAAGAATTCTTCACTTGCATGAGAGAAATCTTATATATCCTAATTTACAGAAAATTTAGGATTTTTACTGTCCATTGCTTTGGATTTGAGCTCGAGTCTTTCGATAACATTGTAGACTAGATTCATAATAAAAAAAAAAAAAAAAAAGTAATGCCAAATTGAGATTACAGTCCTATCCAACAACCTAGTTTACCTTTTTCTTCTATATCTCCTTTGTTCATGCTCAAAACCTTTCTTTGCATCTCAAATTATAGAGTTAGATGACAAAAATTAGCTTCCATCAAAAGAAAAAAAAAAACTTTAGTTTTATGATGAATGATTTTTTTTTTAACTTTATATGTTAAATATCTTTGATTTAACTACACAATATATGTTTTACTTTAATATTTTTTTCTCATATGATTCATCTTTTAATATTATTAAGTGATTTAAATTCTAAAATCTTTACTAAACTGTTGAATTTTTTTAAAAATTAATATCATATAAAATAAAATAAAATAGTTAAAATTAAAATCTATTCAAATTTTTAAATTTTGCAGTCTGACATAAAAGTGTAGTTGTCTTTTTTATTTTTTTGTATTTACTATCTTATGTTGTGCTAGTAGCCCTCCCCAAACAACTTTTTATTCCTGGTACCATGGAATGCGTATATTTCATTGTTCGTTTGATGGGGTCGGCCATTAGTGCCTTTTCCTCTCTGTTGTCGCGTGCTTATCAGGTGTCATTATTTGCGTCTAGAAATTTTAATTTTGATTTTAAGAAGATCTGAATCCATAAAAAACTTGTGAAAAGATTTTCATATAATCTCGATTTTTTTTAAAATTTTTTTTATTCTCTCTCTTCTTAATTTGTCTCTATCTTTCTGAGACGAAATGAGTATTGGATGTGACTCCTGGATTAATATAAAATTTCTGATGTCATTGGTAACGGTAAAGCTCACGTTTGTTCGTGTTTTTTCATTATTTAAGAAAAAAATTCTTTTACTTTCTCCCGTTTGCTATTTTGTTAGTCCAGCTGCATGCTTTGCCAATCCTTGCTCCTTTAGAGTAATTTCGAATTCTTTTGTCCCTTTTTTTTCTCGTTATGCTTTGTATTCGTAGAAAATTTTTATAATACATAAAGAGTAATCGGTAATACGTATAATAGCTTACTTCATACGTCCACTTTGAGGAGAGAAATAGATATAAAAAAAAGAAAAAATTACATCCATACTCATCAAAAGTGATAAGAAGATTTTCATATTAACTAAGTGATATGTACATGTAGTTATTCCATAGACTCATTTTGAGAAGGAGAGACAAAAAAAATGAGAGAGAATAAAAAATTTGATCGAATGTGAAAATCTTCTTATCATTTTTTATGAATATGAATATAATTTTTTTTTTTTATCTATATCTCTTTTTAAAGTGAACCTATGAAGTAATTAATATACATATCACTGCTTACTTCTTGTATGTATTATAAATTTTCTCGCGTTTATCACCTCTACTAGGTATGTCTTCTTACCTCCTCCTCTCTCTCGAGTTTATGATTGATTTTGGAGGAATTTTTCCAGACTTACAAGGCGTCGATCAATCCAGTATGGATATCCCCTTCCCTCTAACATTTCTCTAAATGGGGTTCGATCTTGAATTCGACCCTCCTTTACCAATGAAAACTTTAAGTTCTAGTGTAGAGAGACAAAATTCTGGTCCTTTTGAGTCATCCAGCTCGTCTGACTCCTCGTCGTCAGATTAGTCTTCATCTAGTTTCGATCATCATTCCAATTCGAACCCCTCTTCTCTTTCCTTGGTTTTGTAGACGAGATGGCTAAAAATCCCATCGATGCGCTCGATGTCGATCTGACAATTTTTCGATTCAACTTTGACAGATGAGTCTGTTCAAGATTTTCATGTCTTTTTTAGCATTTCTTCGCCTTATAAAATCCAAGCATCCTCCGACCGTATTTTTAAGGTTAATTCAAGATAGAATGATTATATTGCTTTATATAGGAACTCTAGAAACTGATCTTTGTTTTCTGGTGCTCTTGTGCTACCATCTTCATCGACTTGCACTCTTAGGATTATTTGTTTCTTTTTTAAACTCACTGCCCTTCGAGACTTGGATGGGTTCTACTACCTACAAGCTCGTTCTGGTTTCTATTGGTACAACTCCTCTCACGTCTCTGATTCTTTAAAGTTTTGGAAAGAGCATCACTTTTTTGTTCGTCACCCTGATGTCCATTGGCCTTTTCCTGTAGAGCGGCGAGCACCAATGTGAGATTTTAATGCCAATCCTATACGTACCCCCAACGAGCAAGATATTGTAGCCCTTATATGCAGAAGATGTAAGGTTACGTTTGCCAACCTTATAGATACTTATGGAGGAGGTGTTTCTGATATTATAAAGCCCACTGCAATTTTAAACCTTTCATCTCTTCTAGCAGCAAGTCCTATATGGCCGAAGGGTGGGTGTTAGGAAAGTCCTTGTATTGTTATATTTATTTTCTTTCCTAATCTTTACTCTCTGTTATCTATCTTTATAGGTACAAAATGTGATCTCTCTATTTTTCCCCAAACCTAAAAGGGTGCTGCCTCTTCATCTCCTCAAGGAGCATTTCCAATCCACGCCGATCCATCGTTCCTCCTAACGAACCTTCGCGGGAGCGTTTGCAAAGTGAAGCTATTGAACTGATGTACTTTTTGATCGTTCGAGCTCTTCTTGTCCTACTACAGAGAGTCAGATACCACTCCTCTTGCTTACCGTTCTAGGAATGGCTATACTACTGATTTGTGTGTTCTCTCTTGGAATATGGCCTCCGAAAGCTCATTTGCTTATCATTTGATGGCTCTTGAATTTTCTCGATCTGCCTTTAGTGCTGCTGATCGGCAATTGGTCGGCAGGCAGAGTGCGTTTGCCATTCGTGTTGAAGCTTGCGAAAGCGACATCATGGGTATTTTTTCTGTTTTCCTTTGTTTTCTGCTCCTGTTTTTTTCTGGTAATTTTTTATTTGTTTTCCATTTGCCCATTTGGTGAAGTATTTGCCTTTTCTTCTCCAGAACCTGTAATATGCTTTCGAGTTTATCTCTCAACACAAGTCCAAGTCTCTTGGAAATGAATTCGATGCTCAAACCCGTCAAGTCATTTCTTTACGAGATCAGCTAAAGCAACAAAATTCTGAGAAGGCCTTGGTTGCCAAATTAAAGGAGGCTCAAGCTGAAACTGCTAGCAACAAGACCAAGCTGGTAGACCTTCACCTTCAATTTGACACTTTCATGGCCGATCATGAGAAGCGCTTCGCTCAAGCTCGGAAGGATGCCATCTTACTATAAAGCTTGGAAACACTTGCAATGGAACAGTAAATAAATTGAGATATTTTCATAATATAACTCAAGACACATTGATCAAACTCAACAATCAACAACCAAAAGAATTATATCATCTAGTATATACTCCAATTCAGCAATTCTAACTAACAACGTTCGAACCCAACAGTCAAATACCAAAGCATGAAAGAATAGCAAAAACCAAAGAGAGAGAGAGAGAGAATTTGTTGAGGAAGTCAAAGAGCCAAAATAGAAAGGAATTCAGCAATTCTAACTAACAACGTTCGAACCCAACAGTCAAATACCAAAGCATGAAAGAATAGCAAAAACCAAAGAGAGAGAGAGAGAGAGAATTTGTTGAGGAAGTCAAAGAGCCAAAATAGAAAGGAAGAATGCAGAACTTACAAAATCACATTTTATATATTATTTATTATTGATTTAACTATTTAATATAGAATATGTTATAACAGGACTGTCCATAAAATGGTGGCAACGGAAAAAAATTAAGGGAATAATATATTTTTTAAACAAAGAGGTGCAACACCATTATTATAGTGCATTAAATCCATTAATAAAAAATAAATGCACTTACAAAAAAGGGCACGAAAAGCTACTAATAAACGAATGGAGATGATAGCATTAAGATAAGATTAAAAAAAACAGTCAATGGCACAACTTAAAATGAGCTAAAAAAAAAGACATATAAGGGAGTTAAGATGGAGAAAGTGTGAATTGACAGAAAACATTGTTGAATCATAAAAAAAAAAAAACAATAAAAAAGAGACAGAAGAGTAATAGAACACGACTATCAAAAAGCATTAAAAAGATGAGAAACAATAATTAAAAAATCACACGACATCAAAAAAGCTACAATAGATGCATCAAAAAAAGATGGTCGAAATGCATACAAAGAATGAAAACAGTTAGACGGAGTCATAGTCTATAATCATTTGAGTCTTTATAAATAATTTACGAACAGTAAATACATAATCTCTTTTACTTTTTTTTTTTTTTTTTTTGTAATGTTCTAAATCTAAAGAAACTGAATTAAATCTCACAGGAGTCACAAAAATACGTGAAAAATGAAATTGGAATTCTAAAGCTCCCGAAAGTCCAAGGCTTTCATTAGTAAGCCAATTCTAACTTTTTTTCCTCTGCTTGTACTAAAACAGTAGTATAACGTATAAACTATAGCTAGCTAGCCTCTCTGTACGAGGCGAGGCTGGGGGATGGTTGAAATGCAAATATGGTAGCATAAGTCTCTTAAACGTGGGTTCAGAATCCCTTGAATCTCCAGTGTCCTTTTTTTTTTTTAATTTACAGCACACCTCAAGGAAATGATTCAAGGACAGCACAATAATATCAAAACCAGTTAGTATTAGTGGTATAATATAAATGTAAATCCAAGTAGCTAGTACTGCACGAATTTACCCACAAAGAAAATAAGAGTAATAAAAAAACACATGCACTGGAACGGTAAATAAAGCTTGGATGCTAGCACCACCACTGGCGGGCAAATAGGGTGGCGACAAAAAAAGTTATCGTAGAAAACGAGACGTATGAAATTAAGATTGATAGCTCCCCTCCCCTCCAGAACCGACCCTATGGGAGTAAAGTAAATCCTCCTCCTCCATCCTCCTCCTCCTCCCACTACTAAAATATTATAGGCTATAGCTACATCAGGCTGGGCTGTGATTTGTGAAGGTGAACCTGGCGTGGGGATGGTTGGGTCAACGAAAATATAAATACATCAGCATAATCTCTTTCGGAAGTTGGCTCGAATCCCTGAATTCAAGATCTCAATTTTTTTTTGCTGTTTGCTTTGTTTACAACTTTTGGGTTGAACAAGGTAAGTGCAAGTTTCATTCATGGTGTCATTTGTTTTTTTATCTCCTCTCTGATATCGACACTTTCTATTCAACCCCAACCCATTAAATGAACCAAACCCAGCATCGATACCATCACCCATTTGCTTTAGAATTTAAACTTGAGAGTATTTATTTCGCTGTCAAATTTTGGAAAACGACTACAATTTTTTTTTTTTTTGGTTTTATGTAGTCGAGGAGGACGACGGCTATGATGATATCAGTTTGAAAAGTCACTCCGTCGAAGCGTGGGAACCTTTTCCTGTTTGTAATTGTTAGATTAAAAAATAATTAAAAAATCAGCATTACTCCATCTGTCAGGGCAATAGTAATTTATTAAACATTAATGAAATAATAAATAAATAAAAATAAGTAACTACTCTAGCAGGATTAGTATTAAAAAAAAATTCACAAGGAGTCAATTAATCTTATATATATACATTAAGCAAAAAATTATAGAGATGCTGAGTCCGTTGTCCATCGGCAATTTTGGTGGAGGCAGAGTCCCCTTGTTGTTTCCAAACAATAAAAAGTCGCTGGACCAAAAAATCTCCTCCACCAGCAGGTCCACCACCACCTCCTCCTCCTGTGTTTGCTCAATTTCAAATAATTATTACCACAATAAGAGGATTGGGATGGCGACGGGCAATAAGTTGAGGCATGTGGAGTCATTGCAGGAGATGCCATCAGGAGCCGGCAAGATTTCTTGCCTCAACGCTGTTATATTAGGAGAAGCTCTTGCTTCTGAGGAGAACGATCTTGTCTTTCCTAGCGATGATTTTGCTCGTCAAGCTCACGTTTCCTCTCCTCAACAGTACTTGGAGATGTACAAAAGGTCTGTGGAAGATCCGGCTGGTTTTTGGTCTGATATTGCTTCTGAGTTCTATTGGAAACAGAAATGGGATCAACCTGTTTGCTCTGAGAATTTTGACTTTCGTAAAGGCAATATCAGTATTCAGGTTCGTTCTTTTTTCGTCCCTGTAATCTTTATCTGCACTCTTTTGCTTGACTTTTTTGTTTTTTATTATTGAAGTGGTTAATATATTTATATTGATGATCTAATTAATAAACAAATTGAGCAATTTTGTGTATGGGAATGTAGGTTTAGAGATTGATTTAATTTTAGTAATTACTATGAATTCATTCAACATGAGGTCCAGATTCAAGTCTCGTCACTGGTTCCTTATGGAATGTTTAAGTCCAAATAGCTCCACTCGTTAGAGGTATCCTAAGCTTCTGTCGAATGTGGGTGCGAAAGTTGTAATGTTTCTTGTCAGGGTGTGGTTAGCTTATTTGTACACCCGTATTCCATCTAACCATATTCATTTATTATAAATGTGCAGTGGTTCAAGGGAGGCTTGACCAACATTTGCTACAATTGCTTGGACAGAAATATTGAATCTGGAAATGCTGATAAGATTGCCATTTATTGGGAAGGCAATGACCTTGGTGTTGAGGACAGTTTAACCTACGCCCAGCTCCTCGACAGAGTTTGTCAGGTCTTCTTTCTTTCTTTCTTTCTTAATTTTACTTTTTAAGTAAGGATATTGATATAGTCTATACACGTTGACCACTTGGTTGAATTTTATAATTTTTTCTGATTCTCTATTTATCTCATTCATTTATCTGTAGCTAGCAAATTACTTGAAAGCTATTGGTGTAAAAAAGGGTGATGCTGTTGTTATTTATTTACCAATGCTCATGGAACTCCCCATTGCCATGCTCGCTTGTGCCCGTATTGGTGCTGTTCACTCGGTACAGTTGCTATGATTTTCTTTTCTCCTTAATCTGTTCTCTAAATAAATAACCCTTACCCTTTTTTCCGTTCAATTAGGTTGTATTTGCAGGATTTTCCTCAGAATCTCTTGCCCAGAGAATCTTAGACTGCAAACCAAAAGTTGTGATTACTTGTAATGCTGTCAAAAGAGGTGCTAAAGCTATACACCTTAAAGACATTGTTGATGCTGCCCTCGTTGACTCTGCAAAAAATGGAATATCCGTAGGTATGTATGTAAATTAATTAATGGAATATCATGAGAAACTCCACTTTTTGTTTGTTCCAACCTGAATAGACAGTCATACTTCTCAATTTTTTTTTTTTTTGTAAAAAAAAAAAAAACTCAACAGATGTATGCCTAACCTATGAAAACCAAACTGCCTTGAAGAGGAAAGACACTAAATGGCAGGAGGGAAGAGATGTCTGGTGGCAGGTTAGTTTACTTCTACTCTGATGTAAAAACTTCAACATGCCTGTGAGGCTGAGTGAGTAATTTTATGAATGCTAGCCCTGCCTGAGGAAGAAATTGTAGTAAATCCACCAGTTGATAATAATTGCATTTGCAAAGTTGTTTGTTTGTTTTTTTTTTTCCCCCATGGTAAATGAATGGAGATATTATTATTGAGAAAAAAGTCAGCAGAGTGGCCATGCGATGTTGTTTTTTTCATGGGAAATGAATTGTCCTCAGGATTTTGTTCCCAAATACCCTCCTACTTGTGAAGTGGAGTGGGTTGATGCAGAGGATCCCCTTTTTCTGCTATATACTAGTGGAAGCACAGGAAAGCCAAAGGTAATGGAAGTCCTTAGTGTTTGACCAAGGTTTTTTTTTCTTGTTTCTTTGCTTTTCTAAAATAAGTAGTTTTCAAGGGAGTTCTTCATACAACGGGAGGATACATGGTTTACACTGCAACAACATTCAAATATGCTTTTGATTACAAACCATCTGACATATACTGGTATCCATGAAACTACAACCTGTCTTATTGTTTCCATAGCTTTCTCAATATGAAGTGGGTCCATAACCTACAATTTATTTTTTCTGAAATTTTTCTTGGCATTAGGTGCACAGCTGATTGTGGTTGGATCACCGGGCATAGCTATGTGACTTATGGACCTTTGCTTAATGGAGCATCTGTTGTTGTATTCGAAGGGGTAACTTGTTTTGAACTTAAAGTCAAGAAAGTTCTCATTTCTATTATTATTATTATTATTTTAATCAGAGTACTGAGTTAACAACCCAGAAATGTCATGTGCAAATCTGTATAAACTTCTTGCAATTTGAGATTCTACAGCAAAGAAAATTTTGAATATAAACTCATGATATCGGTAGGATGGACTAGGCTTATTTGGAGGAAAGCAAACTAGGCATGTGCTTCAAAGTTTACTTTTCATGTGATTGCTTTATCCCACAGATCAAATTTGCTAAAAAATTGTGAAAAAAATTAAAAAATTAAAATTGAGGAGGTGTGTTAGTAGAATATTAACTGAAATATCTTTTGGTGGAAGATTCTAATTATTTAGCTGAATATAGTGCTTGTGGAAGCAAATTAAGATGTGTAATTACGTGGAAGCTATATTTCTTTAAACATGGTCTCACTACTTTCTTCCTACCATATCAGCCTTCAATTCCGGTTATATGGTTTAACCTTCTTGGATTTGAAGAAGTTTCATTTTATACATGGATATGTCCTGCAGGCTCCAACTTATCCTGATGCTGGACGATGTTGGGATATCGTTGACAAATTTAAGGTTACAATATTCTACACTGCACCTACACTTGTGCGCTCTCTGATGCGTGAGAGTGATGAGGCAAGATATCCCCTACCTTACATATAATTTCTGTGAAGGCATTTATAAAGTTTATGAAAGTAGGATGGTGTTATTCCCACTCCATTATCTTATACCTTTCTATTATATTCAATTTTTTCCCGTTCACTATTGTGCATATCTATATTTAGTTTGTTCTAAAAAGAATTTGTGGACATGCAACATTATTTTCATTTCTTATAGAATATATTGTTTCTTAGCATAGTTTGTTTTTCTTTGTTTTTTACGTGTACTCTCAGGAAAAAAAAATTGTTGAACCAACACAAAAAAAAAAAAAAATTTAACTATAGAAGTGTGTTAGTAATTTATCTTAGTGCTATCAAATTTGGTTTGGGGAATTTATGATTCCAATCAAGATAAGATTAAAATTTAACAGTGCCTTTTCAAAGCCATGTTGTTGGTTTTTCATTTCCTATTTGCAAATTTGTTTGATATATGCTCATAGTTGCTCTTAAACATGACTCTCATTCCTTTTGGGCTTTGTTGTCCTGGTAGATGTAATTAATCCAAAAAATGGGTGCATGAGGAGAAGAACAATCTGAATTTTTCAGTTATTATGAACGGATTCTACATTCAGTACTTTATATGATTATGGAGGGTGCTTTGATTCTATTATCTAGTAAATTATTATCTAAGTTACATATTTATCAAAGAGCTTGTAGCCCCGTGGTAGTGGTCTCTTGCAATAAGAGGTCACGGGTTCAAATCCTAGCAGACTAGTTCTGTTTAGAGCCTTGGGTGTGTGAATTATATATATATATATATGAAAAAAAAAAAATCTAAGTTACATATTTTTTAAGTTTATATTTATGGTGCTTTATTTTCATAAGATTAAGAACTTGTTATATGCTATCAATTTTACACACATGAGCACACATGCATGGTCAAAGGAGCTCTTTGAGCAAGTATTGCGACTTACATGTTAATCTCAACTATTGTTGGTAATGCAGTATGTTACTCGCTATTCACGTAAGTCCTTACGTGTCCTTGGAAGTGTAGGCGAGCCTATTAACCCAAGTGCATGGAGGTTGTTAGCTATATTAACTTTTACTTAATCTGGAAAGTTGTCTTTACTTTAGAAAGAATTCTTCACCCATTTCTGTTTCTTACAGGTGGTTTTTCAATGTAGTTGGAAACTCAAGGTGCCCTATATCTGACACTTGGTGGCAAACTGAAACTGGTGGTTTCATGGTATTTCATATATTCTTTTTATTTGCTATCAGCGCAATGCCATCACTTGCCCATTGTAATTTTACTATAATTATTGTCCATGGCTACCTGAAATTTCTTAGCACTTGTACTTCTCTTTGTATTTTCTAGAAGTAGATTTTATCATCACTTTACCATTGGAATAGTAATAATAGTATCCGTTGCTGCCTGTCAGATTACTCCACTACCAGGTGCCTGGCCACTGAAGCCTGGTTCTGCTACTTTCCCTTTCTTTGGTGTTCAGGTTTTGATGCTATCAAACATCTTATCCTTTTTTCATCTAATATCTTCGCCTGCTTTTGTCTCTGCCTCACTCCACTTCATCAATCTTCTTCTGGTTCAATTGTAGCCTGTCATTGTTGATGAGAAGGGTGTTGAGATTGAAGGAGAGTGCAGTGGGTATTTGTGTGTAAAAAGTTCATGGCCTGGTGCATTCCGAACTCTTTATGGGGATCATGAACGATATGAAACCACATACTTCAAGCCGTTTGCTGGCTATTATTTTACTGGTGATGGCTGTAGTAGGTCTGTTATAACTACGATCACATTTCCATTTTTTGTCTGCATCATTTTATGTGTACTTAATTTTGGATCTTGATGGTGTCCATAACGACCTAACCTTGAAGCATCGTTTTCATTGTTACCTGGGATCCAAGAATGGCCAAAAGATTGCTGATGGCTTACATCCATGTTTCAGGGACAAGGATGGATACCACTGGCTAACTGGAAGAGTTGATGATGTCATCAATGTGAGGTATGTTTTGGATCTCAGACCTTTCCTTTTTTCTTTTTGCTGCACATATTCCAGCAAATTTTAAATAAATTCAGTGACTTGAACACATTTCAGTTAAGTACATTGACCTCTCTCTCCCTGTAGTTGAAATTTGTGTTATTTCCTATGGTTGCAAGTGTGCCATTCTTTTCATTGTCACCTTGGTAAAATGTGCAGTGGTCATCGTATTGGAACTGCTGAAGTTGAATCTGCTCTTGTTTCACATCCAAAATGTGCAGAAGCTGCTGTGGTTGGTGTTGAGCACGAGGTATGCCAGTTTGTGTCTATGCGGTGTGTATGTGTGTTGGTGTTTGAGAGAAAACTGTTAAAATTTTCATTCTGCAGTATTTCTAAGCCTTGGTATCTTGTTGCTGTTAGGTTAAAGGGCAGGGAATTTATGCCTTCATCACCCTCGTGGAGGGTGAACCTTACAGCGAAGAACTTCGGAAAAGTCTTATACTCACAGTGCGGAAGCAGGTCTGTATTCAATAGAACAGCTTGACAAGCTTTTCAGACATATTATGCTTGCTCCATGGTGTGCTCTATGTAGCGTTTTCTCTCATTTTCAAAGTTGCATCTTTTAGATTTAGTTTGCTGTTCATGTTGGACCCTACCCTACTTCACGGAAAGGAGGCCCTTAAAAGTCATTTAAAGAAGTCTTTTGTGCATACATGGTGAAAGTTTCTTATCTGATATCCCCTCATCTGACCAGTTTAGTTTTGTCAAGCCCAATACAGAGCAGATTCCTAGCATCTGATTGGCTGGCTTATAACGGAGTGATTTTAAACCATACAATCCTTAATTGATAAAATGAGGGTGTTGCATACAAATACATGTGTTCTATTAGTAACATTTCTGGAGCCTTATTGTTCCATCTTTCAGATAGGAGCATTTGCAGCACCTGACAAAATTCACTGGGCGCCTGGCCTTCCAAAGACAAGGAGTGGAAAGATAATGAGGAGAATTTTGAGGAAAATTGCTTCCAGGCAGTTAGATGAACTCGGCGACACTAGCACACTTGCAGAGCCACATGTGGTGGAACAACTTATAGAACTAGCTGATCGCTGAATTTCCCAACTCTCAGCATGCAAGGTCACTTATTGGGACTACATTTAGTTATATTAGAGGCTTTCGTTCAACTAATCGTCCCATGACAGTTTCTCCAGTTAAATGAAGGTCCAAGTATCTACATTTCATTTATATGAGGGTACTGGCATTGCCTTGGTACCGTGTTCATGTGAGTGATCCCAGTTGTCTATTGTCTGTCCATGTCGTGCATTCAACTTCGGCTGCTTCTTTTCAATGCTCTATATGAATCAGCAGTTTTTGATCCTTGGAACCCATTCTTGATCTAGTTTGGAGACCAGGATTTTTTGCTACTCCTCCATGGTTTTAATAACAAGCAATTTGTTGTATGGTCGGAGCATCACAGGGGGGACTGCAGTAAATCTGGTACTTGGGAGGCATGAAGGCGTGGCCAAGGCAAACACAGTTTTCTGGTTTCTATTTCTTGCTGCAGCCGAAGTTTCTCTTCTTCGAATTGTTTTCAGCTTTCGTGAACACTGCGTGTCAATGTTAAATTTGATGTCAGGAACAATCTTTAAGAAAATATTTATTTGAATAAGATTGGGGGCTGTGGCCATCATTTTCATCGTTGCTAGTGCCAGGTCCTGTGCATTCGGGAGAGCTTATCAGTGTTTTGGGTTTTTTTTGTTTTGTTTTTTTTTTTTTTGGGGAATTTTTTTATTTTCAACGTTGCAAAACAATAACGCCTGTAATTAACACTCCTTTTCCGACCAGGAGGGGTAGCGGAGCCAAGTTTAACTCCTAAATTCTACTTACGAAAAGATTCAAAACCATCATGGCTACCATTCTAAAAATCCTTCAAAACATGCTTCTCTATGTCCTGCAATAGGATATACAAAACAACTTGTAGTGAAAAATACGATACGCGCGAGCTTTAGGAACAAAGTAGTAATTCGAATATTTTTCAATCTAAATTGATATTTATCATTTAATTAAGGTGTAGTTTGATTATTGAAAATTAAAAATATAAAATGTAAATGTAAGAATCGAAATAAAAATTAAAAAATCAGAATGAAATTTAAAATTTTTAATATTTAATTTTTAAAACGAATAAAAATAATAATTAAAAAATAATAATTTTATGAAATATGATTGTTAAAAATAATAAAAGTGAGTGTGATGGTGGTAGAAGAGAATGTGGTGGTGATAATAATGATAATATAATAATAAAAATAATATATTTTAAAATTATTAATTCCACCGTTATAGGAGGTGACACTGAAAAAAAATGACGATAATACAATAAAAATGGTGGTGATTGAAAAAGAAAAAAAAATAATGACAATAATAATGATTCCGAATTTTCTTTTATGGGCACATGTCTATAAATAAAAATAGTATATTATTATTTTAAATTTTGTTATTGTAAAAAAAATAAAGAAAAACAACCCAACAACCACTAACAAAAATTTGACAATCAATTGTTGGTTTTTTACATTTTTAAATAAAAAACAAAAAACGAAAATGATAGCAAATGTCCCTTCTTTGCTGTTGAAACTTCAACGATAAGATAGGCTAAATTTTATCCATCATTGTGTTACCATACGTGTATATATACATGCGACTTCACGCTATGTATATATACAACATAAAAATACAGCACGATGATTCCTTTTTGTTAAAATACAAACACGATATCAGAGTCTCAAATAGCCTTATTTACTGCAACTATTATTTCAGATCCTCGTCCTTCTCTTTCCTCTTAACCTAGTCATTCTTTCACAACCAAACTTTTGTTCAAAAAGTTCTGTTGCATGGGAAACTTCATTTAACCTTTATAGAAGGCTTCACTGATGGTGCTCTTCCATCTCTCCAGAAATTCCAAACGCACAAACTCGAAAATTGAACATAATCCTGCCTACCGTAAATAGTTTAGGGAAAATCAAACTTTAATGTCTTGGCTTCTCTCTTGTAGCAAGGTATCCATGCACTGGTTTTGTTTCTAAGCACAAGAAAATTGCAACTGAAGATTCGACTTCAGGAGCTCACTCTGGAAGACAAAACTGTAGCTCAATTCCTTCAGGAAGCAAAAGTTTTGGCATGGGCTAGCTGCATCAGGCAACCCAGTTTCTCCTTCAAGGAAACATGTTTCATTTTATTAACTTAATGGTTCACATAAATTGAAAACTTCAGACGATCAGTAAAAAACTCTGAATGCAGCCTCTAGATCAGTGCCCTCAATAGCAAGAAGCCTCGACTTATCCCTGAATCCAGCTTGAGGAGAGAACGAAAGGCTATAAAACTGCAAAACATCATTAGTCAATAGCAAGAAGCCTCAAATTACCTTTGAATCTGGCATAACAAAAAGGTAAAAATCGCAAAATGTCACGAGACAATAACTAACATAAAGTTGCATGAAATGCCATATCTGGCCAGCTGTCCACATCCCAACAACAACACTAATCGCACAGAAACTGCAAGCAAACAATTAGACTATTCTTTTATTCTATTGTAAACTTGTGACTGTGAGATCCTCATGGGGTAACCGTAGTAGTTTGGCACATTGCAATAATTCACGATCACTTCAAGGGAAAGGAAGAAAAGAAACAACGAGAAGAAAAAGTATACTGTTGATCACAACCCTAACAATCCAAAATATCTGATGATGATCAGCTGAATATCCAAATACTGAAGTAGCAAAATCTTATATTGTTTGATCAAATCATAGGCAACATCAGTCACAAAGGCCTGCCAAACTTGATAAAAGCTTTCACACAGTCATGTGCTAACATAGCTCATGAATTCCTAATCGGAATCTTCATAAGGTTCCCCATCGTCAGACAACTCATCAAATGATCGTATGTCAAGCTGGTAGCGAAGAATACCACCGATTCCACCAAATCCCCTGCAAAACTGTGATCCCTCCTGTGATTTGTTGGTGACAAATTCAAGTGTACAGCCAAATTTCTTGTACTCATTGGCAAACCACTCAAGCAAGGGCATCTTCTCTTGAACCTCCAACTCTGCAGAAGTGGCTGAATCCCGAAAGTTATTCTGATCAGCCTCTTGCTCCTTGTTCAAGTGCTTTATGACAATTTCACCTGTAACACTGTTTTTCAGCATGTACCGATTGATATCTAGATTTTCCCACAGGATAAGGATTTCGACAGCACCCATTTCCAGAGCCTTCAATGTATCATCGACCCCAAAGACATACTTACCAGTGTCCTGGCTGATCTCCTCAAAGTATTTCCCTATCAAACGTTTTTCCTGTATAAACTTCACATTTGATAGAATTTCAGCTGACAGCTCGATAGCTTGATTGAAACCATTTTCTCCACCATACGAAACGTCAACCACATTCAATATCTTGGCTTGCAACCGTGGGTCAAACATATCTGACTGACTGAGCTCAGTCTTGAAGTCAGCTGAACCAGCTAGTATCAACCCAGAAACATTGGGCTGACTGGTAGCAGGATTAATGAAGAACTGGGTGGCAAGCTCTGCAGTCTTCCTCACGTAGTTGTGCCGTTTTTCCATCCGCAGTCGAGCAAACCGCAGAGCAGACTGCCCTCCTCTTCCGTGCTTCTTTGGCAAATCAACAGTAAATTTATGAAGCACTTCTCGTGTGTTTCCGCTCAGTGTCCCAAATAAGGTACCATTCCCATCCATGACAATAAAACCAAACTTGTCATCAGATTCTAAGAGTTCATTTAGTGCTTCTGTGTGAAACTTGTTGTCACAGAGGTACAATGATGCATTTATAGGCTTGAAAGGCTCAAAATCAATTGTCACCTTCTTCTCTTTTCCATCTTCAGTAACAATTGTTCCCGTATAAAGCACCAGCCCATTTGGTGGAACCTTGTTATAAAGCTTCAGCCTTTGTTGAGCAGATGTAATGGCACCCAAGACAGACTGGCGGTTGACCCTACTTTTAATGTTTGAAGCAGTTCCAAATTCATCACCTAACATCTTTGTGACCCGAGATATTTGATCACGAGGAGGCATTATAAGAGATATCATGCTAGTACCATTACCCCTTGCAGATTCCAATGCCTTGATCAACTTTTTGATTTTCCATATCTCAATATTCTTATCTGATTCACCGTCAGCCATGTTGATTTACTATAGGCCCAAGAAAGCTATACGGTTACCCTGCATAAATACAAACCAGCTCTGCATAAGTCAAGGTGATAAAATTGTCTATCAGGAAAATGGCATGAATAAGTCTTTTGGGACAATAATTGTAGAAAGTGTAATGAAATAAAATGTCCAACACATCTTTTTTAGCATTTTTGTGATCAATTTACTTACACTATAAGTGATGCATTTTTTTCCATGTGAGAATTCTAAAAAGTCTGCATACACAGCATAGCATGTACTCATGAATCTACATGCACATTTTTGTGAGAATTTAACAGAAAGTAAACTTTACAATTTCAAGATCCACACTCAAAACCCATTCGTATTTATGTGCCAAAATGCAATGTCACTAATGTTATAAATGGTCACTTTCTTAACATGTATTCATAAATCAACTAGTTAAATGTTAGCATACAGGCACTTCGATGACAAAATAATATACATTGTGTACTTGAGTGCCTAAAATTATATGAACCGACAAGAAGCAATTCACAGAAAAATTCTTAGGAGGCCAGTATGTCATTTCCCAGCGTCAACAAAGAAAAAATCAGAGTGAGAAGATGAAAAAGAAATACAGATTTCACATCTAAATTTTCACTGACATGGCTAACAAAAAAAAAAAAAAAAAGGAAAAAGAACAGAAGAAAACCCCATAAAACATACACTTAAAGCATCCTCTTATAATCATTTGATATCCATGCCTATCATATGCAAACAACTTTCACAGTTCAAAAAGTTCTGAGCAGAATGCATTTCTATATTGTAGCAACATGTTGAGTTGGGTCTACCACCTTGAGTAATAAAACACTTCCCTGATGATTACACCTACAACTTCCATTAATAAAAGAGATGAAGCTAAATGTATTTAATGGAATCTATAAACTTCACATAGAAACCCATAAGATGGCTGATGTTTGAATCTTCATTCCACACCATGTCAGGAGAAATAATATTGCTGATTAAACTATAGACGGACCTTTTGACCTTCAATGATGCAAGAGCATACAAAAATATTGTTGTTCCACAACAGGGTTTTCAAGAGTGAGGTGTCCGGCATGGTAAGGCCAGACAAAAAGTACTCTAGTTTGGGGGTTAAGAAAGTAATAGGCAAAAATAGTAAAAACAAAAGAGCAGAAGTAAATATTCTCATCAAGGAAGGCCTATTGCTATTTGACAACAAAATTCCAGGTAAAAGTGATGTTTTGAGTGTTCCTCATAGTTTCCTTTTCGTGGCTGGATAAAGAGAAGCCAATAAAGAGAACCAGGCATCCTTCAAATTAAACGCTGTGTGTACTACAAAGAAACCAAAAATAGCATTCTGTCAAACGTAAGATCGGTTGGCACTGGATCTGCTAGGCATGCCAAAACATCGAAACTATAGCCTACCTCCTAACAGTCCGAACAACCAACAATTTGAAATAATAACAAATTCCCAATGGTTTCTTAAGATACCCATATGGACACATTCGTATTTTACACGTTGCAAACAACAGAACCATAAAAGAAACAAGAAAGAGAAGGAAAAGATATCAATGCACTTTACTGTCATTAAAACATATGACACCAGCATCTAGAGACAATGGCTTATGGTTTAAGAGAAAGAAAAAGGTGAGCAGAAAAAGAACCAAAACCATCCAAAAACAAAATCTACACCTAAATCATATGAGCCATTTCAGCCGCAAAAAAAAAAAAAAAAAGAAAAAAGAAAAAAAACGGGCGAGGCTGGAGGCAGCACGCATATCGTAATGACATTTTCAGGAATCAGACACTCTCTGTCAAACACACTAAAACTGAAGTCAAGAAGGCCAAAGCTCAGCTAGCTTTGACTCTATGTCAAGACACCAATCGAGGGATACAGCGACACAAAAACACAGATTAGAAGATGAAAAATATCATCAGATCTACTTCCATAGTGTTGTGCTCTACTTGCAGAGAAAAGGCATCCCATTTTCAGACAGTTTTGTTTTTTTTTTCCTTACAAAGAGAAAAAAAAAAAAAGCAAATCGTGAGAGAGAAATGTAAACAAACGAGGGTCAGATTCAGAAATTACCTGTATGAAGAAGAGCTTGATTTAGGAATTAAATGTCTCTCTCTGGCTCCGGCTTCCCTTCCTTTTCAAATGAAACGAGTTGCTTTGCTTGCTCCTCTCTAGTCTCTAGAGTCAAAGATGTTTCTTAGGGGCTAGGGCTTCCCGTTGCGCGTGCATTTTGTCAGATTGTATCTTTTTCTTCTTTAAAAAAAAAAAATTATTAAGCACACTAGTAATTGTAGTAAATAATTACTTTTTTTTTTCTACTGAAACTTGTCTTATTTTTTAAAAATCAGGAAAATCAGAAGAAGCTGATATCTAAAGTAGAAATTAAAAGCTGTGAGTTTTCTAAGCTCCTCATTCAAAAACAATGTTCAACACCCAGCTCTCAATTTCCAGCCCTTCATCTATCGAACTATGAAGTATGCATACAAATATAGGATATGGATACAAGAAGATAGATTGTAGCGATATAAAAAAATTTTAAAATTTAAAACATATAAAAGATATATCAATTTTTTAAAAATATTATACTGTTAAAAAATTAAAAATTAAATAAAAATAACACTCGTAAAATCATTATATACTCGATAGAATGCATAAATATATGAAGTTGTAAAATTAAAGATAAACATTATGATATTTATTTTTATTTAACAATGAAATAAATTTGATCTAAAAATAAAAATAATTATTATGAAGATCATATAAGATTGGTGATAATTTTGTTTTTTCTTTTTCAAATTTAATTATTATTTAACAATGAAATAAATTTGATCTAAAATAAAATTAATTATTATGAAGATCACATAAAGATTGGTGATAATTTTGTTTTTTCTCTTTCAAATTTAATTATTACATCAATTTGTTATTTATGCTAAATTCTATAATTTTTAAAATAAAAAGGACATATTTTCTAATAGAATTACAAAAAGAAATTTTTAATATTTTTAATATTTATTTAAAATACATCTCGTGTGAAAATATGATCATTTATTATCATTGAACAAAAAAAATTAAAAAAATATTCAAGGTCGATTAAGTTAAATGTTTAAGTATTTTAATTAATAAAATAATAATAATAATATTCAACTCAAGTTTTTTTTTTTAATTATAAATTTAATCGTTAGAAAATATTATGTCCAAACCCTTAGGTATCATCAACATACCCTGATTTAAATTTATTATATCTTATATATCTCGAATTGTATTTGGCACATGTTTATATTCAACACTTACCCATCATGGATACAAGGCATTTTAAAATGTCCATGCCGCTTCCTAAATACCTTCCCAACATGACACGTGTCCATATACCTAAATACCTAGGAAAGGATTTTGTCTGAGAAAGAAGGAAATTTTGCCTGTAGTTCTTTAGGAGCTCTCATCCAACCAACTTTAAACGATGACCTTTAAGCAAGCAATTTGGTGGCCAATTATTTTTTTAAAAAAAATTAAGTGATTACTATTCATTTACTATCACTCCACACCCATGCTTCCTATTCATCGAGACTCAACTACGCCATTTGGGCCTTTTTTTCGATCTCAACTTTTCATCGTGATTTTGTGCTTCCTGTAATCGTTGGATGTCCTGTGCTTGGTCTTTTTAGTTTGTTTTTCCTCTTTCTCGAGGGTATATAATTGCATTGTTTTTTACCTAACCTTTTCATTAATTTCTCTTTTGCCATTTCTTTTCTTTGTCCATTTACTTCTCTACTTTTGAACACACCTCTTCTCCTTTTTTTAGTTGTCTCTGTTGTGTTTTTTTCAATCATCGTCGTCTATGCTTTCTTTCATCGTTTAGAGCTCCTTATTGAATGCTATTATAAGATTTATTCTCTTTTACCATTTCTTTGCTTGTTGATGTACTTATTTGCCTTCAACACGTCTCTTCTCATTCTCTAGGTCATTTATGTTCTTTTTTTTTTTTCAATTATAATATGTTGTTTCTTTCACCGTTCGGTGTTCCTCATTAAATGCTATTGTGCAAGTTATTTTGGGGGTTTGTTTTGCCTTCTTAATCTTTCCTATTATCATCGTTTGCAGAGCCATTTGGTATGTTTGAGGGCCCAAATTGTTATGTCGAGGAACGAGATTGTTGAATACTCTTTCCTATTTTTGTGTAGGAAGTTCTACTGTCTGTCGTTTTCTCGTTTCCTCATGTTTATGAACTACTATCCAACAATCATTTTTAATCCAAAAGCTTTTTTAAAAAAATTATTCAACATCTCATTGCTAAGAAACTATTTATTTCATAAAAAGAAATTACACTCCAACTTCATAACAACTTGTGCTAAGAAGCCTTTTATCTAAACAATTGATCACTTGCTTAACACGCCATAATTTATACACAAGTTTGATGGTATTATCCGATTGAGAAAACAAAAAACATATCTATGGACAACTATTTAACAACCACTTTCAATGTGACATCTTTTCTTTTTCATTTTTTTTTCAATTGTGTTCCTAAGAAACTGCCTAGTTTAGCAAACAAAAAAGGTTAGTTACAACCACTTTAAATAGTTAACAAGCAAGGTTCGTTGTAATTAATTGTTTCGAATAATAAATGCATTACCTCTAATAATTTGTTTTAAAATCACACAAACAAAATTATATCATTTTCTTTCAAACACACCAAATGTTATCCGATTCTAGTTGTTTTACATACTTGATGAACTTTAACTATAGTTGCTCTCTTTTTGTAGTTTATTTGGTTTTATATCATAGGGACATAGATTCACCTACATGACTCGATAACGAACTTTGACCTCAATTAGAGATGATGGTGTAAAGCCTACCCTACCCGCAATAGACTTTTGCATCAAGATGGTGCGCGTTTGAGGTGCCAAACACATGACTTTATTGATAAAGCTCCGAGTGCCATGATGTGCTCTAAACTTTATATGTCGCCTTTCGTTCAATAATTCATTACACCACCCTATAT